AGGCTGGGCGCCTGCTGGCTCGCTTCCTGTTTGAAGATGCTCCCGTTCCCTCCTTTCGGTATGACGGGTACGTCGGGCCCTTAGGGTCCCGTCTGGAGCTGTATGAGTTTCAACTTCAAATTCACTTTCGGTATCATGGTCCGACTGAACTTGAGGGTCGTCTAGGGGACGCCTCTCTTCAGGAGTCGGTACAGACTTGGATGCCATCTCAGAAGTACTCTCCCCACAGACGGCGCCAAATGTTTCGGGGTTTCCTGATGTCCTGCGGGAGAGTTACAATTCCGAGACTGGAACCGGACGCCTGTACCTGCAAAATAACGGAGACTCCTGAGAGCTCCGCCTCCAACGGTCAAGTTAGTACCTGATTAAGGAGTAATTAATACGGAAATTAAAGTAATAAGGTCTCTCTAGGTGAGAGTGCTTAGTGTTGGTAATCTGCTTTGTTAGCGAGATCAGCCGGTTATTACTGTGTGTAATTAATGTATTTTTTATCTTGTCTCTTTCTTTCTGTCCGTCTTGTTTGTCTGTCCTTTTTCCTCTTAATGAGGATTAAGAGGAGTATTTATAGTCTTGAGAAGCGTGCCACTCTCTAGGTTTAGGGTAAACCTAGGGCTGATCGGGCCTCTAAACAGGATTGGGCCTTGGTGGCCGGTTTTCCCATTTGGCATGGGTGGACACGTGGCGTGTCTCAATTGGTCCGCAGAGGACGAATCTGTGATTGACACGTGGCAGGCTCCTATTGGCCTACGTGAAGGACACGTGGCGGAACCTGGTTGGTCCACTTGTCAGAAGGTGATTGGAGGATAAAAATCCCCTAATCAGAGGTAAAGAAGAAGAAAGAGAAAGAGGTAAATATTAAGAGGGGAGAAGAATGAGATAGAGAATTAATGGAGGTAAGGAAGAAGAAGAGAGAGGGGGGTAAATATAAATAGGAGAAAAAAACGTATGTTCGTTTTTAAGTACTATATGTTCATATATAGGGTTGTTGCAGCTAGCTTAGCTACGTAAGTGTGTAGCTAAGAACCTGTGATATATAGGGAATAACCGAATAAATATTAGCCTTGTCTAGACTTTGTATCTAGGTTGTGGGCTTCGGCTATTCTACTCTTTTCGTGTCGTATTGGGGCTTTTATTGAACTAAGCTGAAGTGATTGGAGCTGAACTGAACTGAACTGATTGGAGCTGAATTGAACTGAACTGAATAGAGCGAAAATAAATATTATATGAGAGAAGGAAATTAGAAGCTGAATTGAAATGATTGGAGTTGAACTGAACTAATTAGAGCTGAATGAACTAAACTGAAATTAAGCTAAAATGAACCGACCATTAATCGTAATAATAGGTATTATACAAAATTTTAGGGAATATTTATAGGATAGGAATCATAGGGTTAATTTTTTAATATAAAATATAGTTCGTAGGAATATACTACCTCTGTTTCATATTATTTGCAACAATTAAACATTTTTCCTTTCTACTTTATGTAATGTGTTAGATTTTGGTAATTTAGTGTTTTCTTGATGGATTTTTTTAGCCCTAAAGGCATAAGAGCTAATAATGAATGCTTTTTAAAATTCAGACATAAGAAGAAATTAAAATTCAGATATAAGAAGGAATTAATATTTTATAGTTAGTTTAATTACTATGAAACACACGTTGATTTTGTAAATGTAATGTTATGTGTACTCCGTAATTCCGTATACGTTTAGCCTTTTATAATATACTTATAATTTCTTTAATTCAATCGGAGTTATTTTTTTTTTCAATTTCTGTGTTATTTAGTATTATTATGATATAAATTTTTTGAGAACATGTTATTATGATATAAATTGAATGTACTTGTTTAATTTGCCGTCTTGGAACTTATAATTAGTGTAGAATTAGTATAAACTTACTACTTGAGTTTCATTAATCAATCAAAACCAATATATATACAATGCTCACCCTAGAATTACCAACAAAAATTTAACAAGGCTCTGAATCCTTTGATACCATATATAATTAGTATAAACTTACGGCTTGAGTTTCATTAATCAATCAAAACCAATATATATATACGATGCTCACCCTAGAATTACCTTAACCTAGGTAACTAGAGATTAGGAAACAATATAAAAGATAACCCCAAATAACTCCCAAAATATCCCATAAAATATATCCTCAATAATTAGTAGACTTCTACAACTTTATGACATTATGTATTTTTCCATTGACAAACTTTGGCGTGACAATTAAAATTTGGATTGTGTTGATGGGAGCTCTACAAGCAGGTGCTGATGTGAGCGTGATTGAGATATTTGGAGAGGGTGGTGGTGACAACCAAGCACAATGATGATGTATGTGCAATACATTTGGGTGTTTCAGGCTGGTGGTTCTTTCACAGTTACTAGGAATATTAATGGACAACCTTTAGGCAGGGGTACTAAGATCACCCTCTTCATCAAGGATGACCTGGTATAATTTCCATACCAATCTTTTGAACTATTAATTGGTTTTATGTGTATGATTTTACTATGGTTTTGGCTAGTCGAAATTACCGAGGATGATCGACTAACCAATCATATGTTTATTATGGTTGTTGGGTATGATTCAAATTTTATAAGCCTAATATTTTGGTGGAGTATTGCGCATATTCTAGAGGCTTCCGGAATCTCTAGAATAATATCCTAATTGAATGTTCTAGAATATTATTGACATTGGAAGCTATTAGCTAGAATATAATACATGGTTCGTGAATTTTCTAGAACGTTATGGATCCAAGAATGATGGAGGAATTTCTAGAATATTCCGTCCATTTCCTCCAAGCTCCATCATAAGTCAGGGTCATTCAATCATTGTATACAACAAAACACAAGAAGCCATACCACACATAAGTCTTCCTACATACTACACCAAGCCATACCACACATAAGTCTTCCTACATACTACACCTCCTGTACTATTTACCTTCTTTACGACTCCACTATTCCTACTTTGTAATACTCTTTTGTGAGTAATATAGAGAGAGTCATATTGTAATATAAACACCTCCTTGTACTATTTACTTTCTTTACGACTCCACTATTCCTACTTTGTAATACTCTTTTGTGAGTAATATAGAGAGAGTCATATTGTAATATAAACCCTTGTATTCTCCTATTTTTAAATAGTGGAAGAAAAGTGTTCGTCGTAACATAGAATCGTGCGTTCATTTATATTAATTATTTTGTCAATTATCAATTCAATTTATACTTCTCAATCAAACATATCTTCACTACCACTGAACAAAAGGAATTGGAACTAACAAAAGTGTAGGTGGAGGGTATCGATCATATAAGAGAACTTTGCATAATCTCCAATTGTTTATAATTGTGTAGGCCATCAGAAAATTTGCTGATGTTAATCCTCTCCCAGATCCACCTATTTGCGAATCCCCCTGATGTTGCAGAATGGCCTTCAAAAGGAAATGTGTCAACTAAAACAAAACTTCCTAAAAAGGAATACGTGTCAACTAAAAAGAAACGGAGGTAGTATATTACTAAAATTATCAATTTATAATTAGGGGCGTTGAAGTAGACGAAGAAGTAGAATCACAAAGCCGAAAATTGCTAAAAGAAAAGGAGATCATCATTTATGAGGAATAGGTTGGGGGAATTGAAACAACTAACTGATAAGACATATCGTACAGATGAGGCGCCAGGAGTTTGGAGAAACATTAGATCATGTAATTGTTCATAAGAGACAATATGACAAACCAGTTGTGTTTCTACGCAAATTTGAAAATCAGCCTGTGTTGTTAGACATTCCGAAGAGTAGCATTACATCTAAAAAAAGGGTTGATCAGATAATTCATTTCTATAGAGCCTCCCATGGAAGCAAAGAGCCCTATGATGGTGGGGAATCTCCCTTAGACCCATGGTTTGACTACATCATTTCATATAAAGATCAGAGCTAGAATATAGAGGGGGAGAGGTTGAATATGGTGTTGTTGTCGAGGAACAAGTGATTGAGGAAGAAGTGGATGAGGAAGATAGAGACGAATGGGATGCATTTACTCAGAATCTCAAGTATATAAATGTTCTACCACTGCACAATCAGGAGCAGGAGCAGGAGCAGGCGTTCAAGTTTCCAATGGCAAAATGAAGACGCATTGTATAGATTCATCTACATAATCTTACTTTAGCCACTTTTAACTAACAAATTAATGACTTGGTACAGATATAAAACGGATTGTTTATACCTATTATAATATAGTATAGTTTTCGTAACTTGTTGAACAGGCTGCTTCACATTTATCAATACACTTTTCATTCTTGAAAAGTATGGATGTAGTAACAGATCTCCTACAATAGGGAATGCAGAAATATCAGTTGCACATTCTCCATATTGATTTTAATTAGACACAAAAAGGGCATAAAACTCGATCTGTACTTGATTAGTAAGTTAATAATTCAAATTACATTGTTTTGATACAAGTAGTTTGTATTTATACAAAATGGTCAACTTTTGGTGTGCAGTCTCTTAGATTTGGTTTTATCGTGTGTTTTTCAGAAAAATATCTCTGAATTATTCAACAATAAACGTTAATAGATTTAAGAGGAAAACGACAACAATCTTTGGAACTGATTTCATTCTCTGGCCAGGACAAGATTGATGGAAATTACAAAGGTCTTCTACTGGGAAAGGGATTGTGATAGAAGTTATAAAGCATGAACATCATTTATATCATCAAGAGTGCAGTTTTTCACATCAAGAATTAGTTTTAAAGCATCTTGCTTTGGTAAAACACATTATTTACTTTATTATCACACTAATCTTTGGAGGTTTTTGAAAGGGTTCCTTGTGATTGTAGCTACCAAAGGATGATGACAGAGAATCTGCAGAACGGGTCTCACATCCTGTTGGGTTGGAGTGGACAACATTCCGTGGTTAGGTTCAAAGATATTAGCATGGTCAGGCATTCGTATTTGAGAGCTTTAAGTGTATTTATGTGTGGTTTGTGATTACCAAGAAAACAACTTTGGGACTACATAATACATATAGAGATAACGAGCTACATCAATCCTTCTGCTTTTTATATGTATGACCTTTGAAAGCTGTAATTCTTATAGTCTTGTTAATTTTACACAAGCCTTGCCTTCTCTTATCTACAACTCTAAAGCTCACCTCGTAAATGTTTAGTACAGTATAAGCTATATACTTGACAACTTTAAATTAATGAACTTCATCCCACTATGTCTTTGTATGCTTTGCTGCACAAGTTTGCAATTGAAAAAAAGGCGCCTAAAATGTTTGAATTCAACTGACACCAAATGGATAGTTGCTCGTATGTTAGTAGCAAAATATTGATTTATACTTCGTGTTTTATTAAAAAAAAAAAAAAAAAAAAAAAAGTTTCATATTGCAATTCCAATAAAACCAATCATCTCTAATAAATTCAAATAAGTTCGATTAGACCATTAGAACAAGGGAGTAGCAAAATCAGTCACATTCCCGCCAAACCTAAAAAAATGACCGTTAAGAAAAACCTCTTCAAACCCATAACTTCCTTTACCTTCCTTTCTCCCCAAAAACGCCTCAAATTTCATCAATTTCCCCCCAAACTCTCATCCTCAAAACTCTGGTCCAATCTCAAATTTGGATTTTCCCCAGAAATCAATTTTGATGATAGAGAACAATACAAATTAAATCTAAACCACCCAATTCTCCAGAAAGTAGATTCATGTTCCAATCTTGCTCAATTTCATCAAACTCAAGCTCAGCTTATCATCTTAGGCCTCCTTAATCACCCTCTCGCCGCAAGCCGGGCTGTGAAGAAGCTCTGTTTTCTTCCTTATGGGTTATACCAAGCTGTTTCGCTTCTGGAAAAGATTGATCAAGTTGATGCTTTTATGTGTAATACCATTATTAGAGGTTTTTTGAATCAGGGTTACCCAGAAAGTGGTCTTGCATTTTATTATGATTATGTGATTGGTGGGTGTGTTTTGCCAAATCATTTTACTTTTCCGCTGATTATTAGGGTTTGTGTTGATGTTGGGGAGGGTGTAGAAGGAGAAAAGGCGCATTGCCGGGTTTTGAAGTCTGGGTTTGGGTTGGATTTGTTTGTTAGGAATTCGTTGATTAGAATGTACTCGGTTTTTGGAAAGATGTGGGATGCAGATAAGGTGTTTGATGAAAGTTCTGAGTGTGATATTGTGACTTGGAATACAATGATTGATGGGTATGTGAAGAATGGGCAGGTGGGTCTTGCCCGCAATCTGTTTGATGAAATGCCTGAGAGAGATGTCTTTACTTGGAACTCAATGCTTGCTGGGTATGTTGGGGTGGGAGATATGGAGTCGGCAGTGGAGATTTTTGGGGCAATGCCTCACAGAGATGTTGTTTCTTGGAATTGTTTGATTGACGGGTGCGCTAGAACGGGGGATATCTCGGCTGCTCGTGAATGTTTCAAACGTATGCCTGACCGTAATGTGGTGACCTGGAATTCCATGTTGGCCCTTTGTGTGAGGTGTAAGGAGTATGATGAGTGTGTGACATTGTTTGATAGAATGATACAAGGAGATGCTCAGCCTAATGAGGCTACTCTTGTAAGTGTGCTAACAGCATGTGGCTATTTATGTAAGCTGGATTTGGGTAAGTGGGTCCATCACTATATAGAAAGTAATAGGAGGATTAAACCTGATATTTTGCTTTCTACAGCTCTGTTGACTATGTATGCTAAGTGTGGGGATATGGACATGGCTAAAGTTGTCTTTGATGGTATGCCAAAGAAGAGTGTCGTGTCGTGGAACTCGATGATTATGGGCTATGGCTCGCATGGTCTTGTAGACAAAGCCCTTGAAATGTTTCAAGAGCTGGAGAATAGTAAGCAAATACCTAATGATGCCACTTTTGTATGTGTTTTAGCCGCCTGTGCCCATTCAGGCAAGGTCTTGGAGGGCTGGTGGTATTTTGATATCATGAATAGAGTTTACAAGATTGAGCCGAAGGTTGAGCACTATGGTTGCATGGTTGATCTTCTTGGGAGGGCTGGTCTGCTCAAAGACACAGAAGACCTCGTGAGGGATATGCATGTGAAGGGAGGACCTGCTTTATGGGGAGCCTTACTCTCATCTTGTCATACCCATTCGAATATACAGCTTGGGGAGTTTGTTGGGAAGTGGCTGGTTGAGCAAGAACCTGAAGACATTGGGGCTTATCTGTTATTATCAAACATATATGCTTCCCAAGGGCGATGGGAAGATGTCGATACAGTGAGGAGACTTATAAAGGAGAAAGGTTTGCACAAAGAAGCAGGGTACAGCAAGACCTATTTTGGACTGGGCGAACTAGATTACTCTAAAAAAGACGGATCCCTTCATAGAAGAACTATGATTCATTCAATGTTGAGACAAATGAGTTCTCAAGTGAAGCTGTCTGGAATTAGCACGGCAGACTTGTGTAATACAGACTCTAATGCTGAAACCAAAGAGTGAAGGGACCATGATGGTGTCAAGGCATTGGCAAAGAACTCCTTGGAACAGGTACTTTTGTGGGGAAGCAGTCCTAAAGAAAATTGATAGTAGACTTGTTATATTCGTTCTTTGTGCAAACCTTTCTCCTGATAATGTTGGCTCACATAGACAATAGACTTGAAATTGCATATGATTCAGATATCGGATTATTATAGACTTGTTTCTTCAAAAATATTTTGCTTTAATAATCATGATGCAATTCACCCCACCTATGTAAAATATGTATTAGTGGAAGTATTGTCAACTATATTGAAATAATATAACATAGCTTTCAACACTTTTAACCCTCTAGATTTTGCTATTCTTACCTTAAATTTCTGGCTGTACAGTAATTTTGAAATGATATTATCTTAATCTTATTGTAAAGCCAGTCTGTGTTTCAAATTTATTTGCATTCATATTCTGCTATGTCTCCTGCTTCATTAATCTATATCTATTTACCAAATTATGTTAGTTGGCGTTAGCAAAGTTCCTTCGCTTGTGTGCTTCACATGTTGACTGGAATTCATTTGGTCCACCTGAAATTACTTCAACTGATTTGATCTGATCATCTTTCTAATCTGATCTAGTTCTAGATTCGTGAAATCCAAATATTATTTTCAGAGTTAGTATTCTGATTGAACACAAATATTGTAGTGATGTTGGTTTTTATTTTGGCAACAGTGATGGTTTTGATGTATATTAGTTGGCATGTTTTATAACAATCCAAAATTGCTTGTAATAAATTAAATTTGTAATAAATTAAATTTGGTGCATGAGTGATGATCTCTGCTTTGTAAGATGTTAAGCTAATAAGGGGGCTTAGCATTATTATAAGAAATAGTATCTTGAAACTCAAGATTTTATTAGTCATTGAATGTAATGATGGATTGAAGTTTATAGCCTAAGCTTCAATCTATTGAAAAATAATTCCAACATAAAATAATCTATAGTATATATAGAGCCTATTTTCATTGCAAATCTGATTAATGCAGGATACTTTTTCCTTTTAGCTCACTTGTACTCCAGAGTCATATATGGCTTCTGATTTCCAATCTTGAGGTATATTATTGACGGGAACAACCCAGGTATCATCTGCGTAATCACCATCACTGAACAACATTCTTATGGACAATGGTCCACTTGGTGGAGAAGTACTTGTCCACACAGCTCCATGATCCCGTTGCAGTAACTTGCAGGTAAAATTTTGTGTCTGCACATATCAAATTCATGTTAATACCTGATTCCTCAGCCTTTTATCTGTATTTTGTAGTCCTAAATATGGTGTAATAGAATCACTAGATAATTGATTAGAAGATAGAAAAGGTAAAATAAGCTGAGGTGAATTTTTTCAATGGATAATAGAATTGAGACCTCGCATAGTTGCACAGCAGTGATGTCCTTTTCTCCTTGTTGGTAATAGATAGCAAAAGCTAGATAACTAGGGTAGTTGCTGCTCTCGTCAATCTTGAATGTTATGTTTTTACCTGGGTAGCTGCATGAAATCCTGTTTTGAAGAGAGAGGTTTTGTTAAGTCATTTGAAGTTCTAATATAGCAATCCCCAAATTTAAGTAGACAGGGGATTGCAACTAGTAACGGGAAACTCTTTTTTTTTTTCAAATTTAAATTGTCTATAAAGAAATGTAAATTGTTTATAAAGAACTGTTATAACTGAAAAGCTTTTTAATAAAATACCGTTGATACTCTATGTCCACTACACCAAGGGATCTCAAAGATGCAGCTGCATCTGTTGTTTGAGCCATCTTGCTAAAAGCATGCTCACTGAGAATAAAATCAGTATGCTGTTGGTGCATTTTACCTATAGAAATAACAGTTGCAAGAATAAAGAGTTTGTAAAAAGAGTTGGAAAAAATTAGATTGTGGAAGCTTTCCTTGTGTCATCTGGTATAGTAATTTAGTTACCTACCTGATAGCAAGCACCACAACCTACTCCATCACGGTAGAGTTCTGATGCAGTTGATACATCTCCTCCATTGACTGTTGCTCCAAATGCCCCGAACCCACAAGCTCCATCTGCATTACATTTAAAAGATATAGTCAATTCATTTGTCATATCTAAACTGCTGGAATGTAATTATAAAATTAAAACATATATTTGACAGCATAATATTCTTGCATATACTCACTATCTGTTCCCTGTGCATCAGAGTTTGGATAATATGATGCACGCGAGTGAACAAAACAGTCGCTACAGTTTTGAGCATTAGCTACACTTATCAGGAGAAGCAAGCAAATTGAAAGATAAAGCAAATTTTGCAATGAAAAAGCCATCTTGAGACAGTTACAGAGACGATAATGAGAGTAAGATCAAGAGAAGACGTGTTAGTTGGTGAATGAGGATTATGTGATAAGCGCGACAGTATTTATAGACTACCAAAGCAAACAAGGCTTCCCTTTAGAGGTTGGTAAGATCGTAAAAACTTTTGACAGTCAATATGAATAGTAAATTATCAACCTGAATATAAAATTTTTATTTGTTGTAACTAGTTGAATGCTTTTGACCCAACATCCCTCTTAGACTTCAGACTTTCCTTGAATCAGATGACGTTAACAAAACAACTCTTGATTCCTTAGCCTCCTTCCTTTCACATGTTAAAACTTTTCTTTGCAAGCTTATCTTGTGCCTTGATTGGCTGTCAATTTCGACGTGCAATGCATCGTGCAATGCTTTCATCAGTATAGTGATATGATTTGATCTATACATTAGACTTGGAATCTGGCCATCATATATTTGTTAGAATTAGAATATGAAGTCTTATTGGCTTGGAAATTGAAGTATACATTATTTCAATTTTCAATTTTTATAAATTGTAAAGTATCTATCAGTTAGGCACTTCTGCACTAGTGCTTCAACTGGTCCCTGTGGGCTGTAACCCAGGGACCTGCTTTCTTCCATGAGGAAATTGCTCTGAAATGAACGATCCTTTTATCCTGCTTTATATTACACATTTGTTGAACATTCAAGCTCTCCTTTATCTAAAATCGCGTCAAAGATGGAGTAAGATGTGAGCCGCCAATAGATAATTTTTTGAGCCCTTTTCATGCATACCTTTAATTAGTTGTTAATTAACCTGAAGAGATGATAGGATCTTTTCATACCACTAAAATACTAGACATAACAACATGATGTATGTAAAGTATGGAAATGAAGAATAAACAAATGGTTACCGTTGCTTAGAAATGATTAACAAAAACGCTATTTTAAGAGAATGCAACAACTCAATTTGATGTCAACATCTTTAGTGATAATGGGGAATAGTGGCCTGGACCAATGTAGCTAGTATATCCATTATCCTAGTATTTGCCTAACATTGAGAATCAGACAATCAGTGGGCAAATTTGGTTAGCCTAGCCCTGACTTGAAAGCAAGAACAATTGAGTGTGAATACCGACATAAGGGGTTGAATCCCCGACTTTATGAGTCGATTGGTATATGGGAATAAAAACTTGATATACTACCTCAGTTTCTTCTTATTTGCAACAAAAGAAATATATTTTATATCTCATAAATAAATAAATAAATAATATCCTAAAATGAAATCAAAACTTCCAACCACATGCTCATTGTCCACATTCCAAACAATCAAATACCACAACATAGAATAATTGGTGTGACGAAGGATATGAAAATGTACCAACAAAAATGTTAAATTCAAAACCAAAACAATATGATAGATCTATCTAATAATGTACAAAGTACTTGTAATAATTCCCTTAAAATAAATAAAAAAAAAATTAAAAAAAAAAATATAACACTTGTACTTAATTGAGGGGCTCTGCTTTTTAGTTTTTACTTTGTCCTATTGCAAGAAAGTTAATTGAGGGGTGAGAGGAATATATCCCATCAAATAGAAATTGGGGTGATGGCGTGATGCTCCAACCAATTGGGAATTGAAATCTAACGCTTGATTTTGTTGGATGCTTTAACAATTTGGTATCATAATGTTAGGAGGCCAAAATTTGAAAATTAGATAATACACCCGGGTGCACCATACACTTATGGTGCACCCGAGTAACAAAAAAGGCGGAAATAACATATAGTGTTTGATAAAGAACATACATATGTTTGACAAAAAACATACCTTTAATATGTTCTTTGAGTGTGATTAGTGTATTTTTTAAATAAAATTATACGAAGTATGTTCTTTACATTATAACTTATGTTATTTAACATATGTTGATAAACATATACCAGTATGTTTTTTTTGGGTTTAATAATACAAAGTATGTTCTTTGAATTTGGTGTGTATGTTCTTTGAGGTCGTAATGACGCCCAAATTCTATTTTTATTATCATATGTCATATTTTAATTACTTTTATTATCGTATATTCTTTGAGTTTGATTAGTGTGTTATTTAGGTATTAACTATATGTACTTTACAATATAAATTATGTTCGTTTAACACATGTTATTTTGATATTTGGTATTGAAATCTTAAATTAATTTTAATTGAAAATAATATTAAAGTAAAAAAACTAAATTATTATGGGAAGTTGAATTTTTTTTTGGAGATATAGAAAACTATTTTTGGGGGAAATGATAACTTTGGTAAGGATTTTTTAAGTGGTGATCAACATTGGCATGACTTGCTTCCCGAACCGATCCGGCCCGAAATAGGGTGGGTTTGGGCAAACCTAAAAATGCATTTTTAGTTAAAACTCGAACCGGGTTCGAAAAAAGCCCGAAAACCCGCTACTTTTCTACGGGTTTGGGCACGAGAAATTATGATATGGCTCGGCCCAACTCGATTTTTTACCACCTCTAAATTTTTTCCATTAATAATGTGTAATTTTTCAGAAATTTTTATTAAGTTTTTATCTCGTTCTTTTTATTATATCTTTCTGTTCTTTGGTAATGCATGTTTTTGTCAAATGCATGTATGTTCTTTCTGAAACACAGGATGTTCTTCCGCCTTTTTTTTATTTATCCGGGTGTATGATGAGCACTGTACACCCGTGTGTATAAACCATGGATTACCAAAAATGAGCAGCGATATGGCTAGAATATTATGATTAATTGATTATCATATTTTCATGTGCTTCGCATATATGTAATTCCTCCAAATATTTTAATTTACTGCATGATTAGTATAATTCGAGAATAAGGGCCTATTCTGATTTACTGAGATGAATTGGACGGTTTATGAGAGAAGAAAATTAGGAACCGAACTGATAATTGAAGCTGAACTGAACTAAACTGAGCTAAACTGAAATTAAGCTGAAACGAAAAGCTCTAAGACATCTAAAAAAAAGACCGGCTAAACATTTTTTTTAAAACATACACGACCATGGCATGTATTAAAGAAGGTCAATTTCCGAAGGAATCAAGCAAATAAATTTGTTATTACTCAAAAAAATAAAAAATTAAAATTTGTTACAAGCTAATCCCACCTTGTAATGAGGTGAGCCAAAGAGTTACCTGACCGCTTAACTATATATAAGCTATATTCTACTTCGTATTTAGGAAAAAAAATAATAATAAGTGCAATGAAAAATAAAGAACTTTATATGAGATTTTATTGCTTCAGATGAAGTTTTTTATCAAAGCGATTGTTGATCGAATCTGCGATGTAATTAGTTATAAGTGATTAGTACTTGTGTTGGAATTTTAGATTTCCTAAAAACAAATTAATATGGTGTAGCCAAACAAAAAAAGCAGGAGAACAAGAACCAATAATCAACTTCCTAGCATTTTAGCAACCACATAGAATGTGCTTAAAGACAATTGGCATAAATCCTACTAGTATATTCTCTTTTTTTTTTTTTTTTCTTAATTTTTTTTTAAATTTCCACTACAATTTCTGAGGACTATTCTTTTCAACAACATTTTTCTTTTAAATTATTTACTTAAGATTTTCTTTCTCCCTCCTCAAATCACATCATACCAGATTCTCAGGCTCAACTAATCTGCCTTCCCACAATTCGCAATTAATTTGTTGATTGCCATCTTACCAATTTACTATGACTGCTGATAATTCTTCCTCTGACTGGTAAAGTTCTTCCCTTTTCTTTCATTTTTTCCGTTGATTTTGAGATTTTGATCGGAATCTGATGTGGGGTTTTCTCGTTTTTATCTAATTTGTTGTTAGATTGTATATTGGTCCATTTAATTTCAGTTAATCTTATTTATTGGTTTGATGAATCTGAGTGATTGGTGAGAGAAGAATGATCATTTGGTTGATCTAGTCTAGATTCTAGCATTTGTTAATTAAGCCGGGTTTTTCTATAAGAATCCCATTGTTACAAGTTGCTGAAGCATTATTATTTTGAATGAATTGTACTCCGTATGTTTAAACTATGTTACTCGGACTTTTCATTTCAGGCAAGGCACACGGATATTTATTGATATGTTACATAGACACTTGACGTGTACCTTATGACCAACTTAGCTAGCAGACACCCAAATACTCCTCAAATAGTGAATTTGACATCTTGGTGACGGTTTACAACATTTGTGGGTCAGAGTTGCTCTTTCCCATATTTTACTTAGTTTCAGAGCAAGCTAGCAAAGTAGAAATTGTAAGAAGTAGAAACTTCATTTTTTGTAGTGTACCTTGTTATTACTTCAAGTAATCTGACATGGATGTTGATATCAATGATATGTTTTGTGCAAGTATTGTTGATGCCAAATTAAATTAGTTATTGGAATGATCATAGATATTTTGATCCAATCCTACACCTAGCACTATTTTAGGGAATCCATGGAACAGACATGACCAAATAAATTCATGGAAAAATTGTACAGGTTAACTGACTCTTGGTTTTCGACTCAACGAGTCTGCTTGTTGCCTGTTGTTATTTTCACCATCTAGATGTACATACATACTTTTTACTTGCATAGATATGTATGATCCACAACTAATGATTGTTGAGTGACCCTAATAATGACTTAACTCATCATGTGAATGACAAAGTATCACTATATAGAACTAGGACATGCACCCAACACATTTAAACTTAGATTTTGTTGGATTCACACGTGATTATGTGAAGGGTTCGTGTCCCAAATACTGCCAGGATCCTCATGGGAAGAATCGGGGCAATTGTGTATTTGATGTGTAGAGTTTGGACATTACTTATTGGAAGGTTTGAATTTTTATTCTTACATACTTTTTCTGTTGTAGCAGCAAATCTGCTCTGCTCAAACTTGCTCCTGTGGAAGCTGTCTTATTTGATGTGGACGGAACCTTGTGTGATTCAGATCCTCTCCATCACCATGCTTTCCGTGAAATGCTTCAGGAGGTACATCTATTAAATTAAAAGTTCTGACTTTCTAGTAACTAAATCACCGCGGTGAAGATATGAAATCTCTCTTGTGAATCATGTCAATATTCTGATGTTAAAATGAACAGCTAGCATCATTGCCAGATAGTATAGATGATGAGAGAGTGAGAGACACAGGCTGTTTTTTAAAAAAAAATTAATACTTTTTCTTGTTTTAAATAGATCGGTTTCAATGGTGGTGTTCCAATAGACGAGGAATTCTTTATTAAGAACATAGCTGGAAAGCATAATGATGACATTGCCAGGGCTCTCTTCCCTGATGACTATGAGCGAGGCTTGAAATTTACAGATGATAAGGAAGCCTATTTTAGAAGGTAAGTTTGTGTCATTCTTTGGTTTAGCATTTAGCTGAATTCTCTAGTAGCTGGCTTATGCAATGTGGTCTTTGTAAATCAGGCTGGTGGTTGAACAGTTGAAGCCTATAGATGGCCTAAGCAAGCTAGTGAAATGGATTACAGATCATGGCTTGAAAAGGGCAGCCGTTACTAACGCCCCTAGAGCTAATGCTGAGCTCATGATCTCAATGCTCGGCCTCACTGAATTCTTCCAGGCTGTTATAGTTGGAAGCGAGTGTGAACATGCAAAACCACACCCAGCACCTTATTTGAAGGGTTTGGAAGCAATTGGTGCATCAAAAGAGCATACTTTTATCTTTGAGGTTTGCTTGGCTTTTCTCTGTTTTTCATTTTGTGTTTATTCTATATATTGAATTTATATACCTCATAAAGATAATGTTAACCCTTAATTGCAGGATTCTCCTTCTGGAATCAGAGCTGGTGTAGCTGCTGGAATGCCTGTGATCGGCTTGAGTACTAGAAATCCCGAAAACCTTTTGATGAAAGAAAATCCAGCTTTCCTCATTAAAGACTACGAAGATTCAAAGTTGTGGTCTGCTTTAGAGGAGCTGGAAAAAGAAAACGGTGTTAGAACTAAAGCAGAGGCTGCTTGAGATTCTTTGAAGTAGAAGGTGCAGATTAGCTGTAGTGAGGCTGCGGAAAAATCATATTGGTATAATAATGAAAACTAATTTTGGTGTTTGATTTGATAAGCATGCAATGCTGCATCTCTTGGTATTTTGTAGTTATGCAGCTCATCTATTCTTACTGCTGGAGGCAGATATATTTTATTCAAGTTCCTGTAATAGGTACAATCAATCCACCAGGCTTGGTGCAAATAGGTATTAATTTACCATTGTCACAGTACAATCAATACACATAATCTTTAACGTCGCTTCAAATACATTGTCTTTTTACTACATCCATCAAAATTTACCATTTGACTTTTGTGGTCAACGTTTGTTATCTTTGGCCATGAAATTATTATGTGAATAATTTTTATTGTAAAGTTATTATCTTTAGTTCAAAGTTATTTCAGACATATTTTCTTAAATTTATACTGCGCGCTTCAAATTATGAGAAGAGAATTGTCAAAGTTTGATCTTGGAGGTCAGGCAAAGTTGATTGTGAAGTTAAATATGAGACGGAGGGAGTACATGCATTGCTTTTGGCCTTTATCGTCTAGACCAACAAATATGAATTAATAAAAAACTATTCTCTTGAACATTTATTAGCTGAAGCAAGATGTCCCTAATGATATGTACGGGTTAGTAATATGAATACCAATCTACTCTGAAGAAAAACATCTAAGCTTATACTATACACAGCGGAAATTTTCACCACGAAAAATGATCTCATTCAGTCCATGAGACTGAATCAATATCGTCTCTTGCAGCTCTGTATAGCTCCAGCCTCTTTAAACATTTCTCTCTCCTTTCCATTAGCTCAAAATCTTCATCCAGTAGACGAGCAAGCTGCTTACCCTGTCACAATCATCAATGAGCAATGACTAATTATCACTTTGAGAAAATTTATAGCAAACCAAACCAGACTGCAGTCTGCAGCAACTTAAACATGCAGAAAATGTGCCTCAGGTTGACTGTTAGATTACCTCTTTCTTGCCGAGTTGCAGGTAAAACTGATTCAGTAAAGACTGCTTCGCCTGCCTAACCTGGCAATACACCACAGCCTTGGGAATTGAGTTCTTCAGCGATTCAGACACCATATTGACATAAGAAGCCACATTCGAGCTGATCTTTAAGTAGTAAGCCTCTGTATACGGAACCACATTTGTGGCAGACAGCTTCCGAAAGAAATCAGGAGTGATATATGAGGATTCCATCTCTACTAAGCGCAAAGTGGTCTTCTTGCTCTCTTCACGAAACCTCATCAGTGCTGCATTTGCAGCTGATGCTATCTCATATTGAAGAGTAGGGAAGCGCCTTAATTCCTGTGTCACAAAACCATAGATAAAAACCCTTTATATGTGCACTGTCTGTATATTTCTACTAAGATACGATGATTCTACAGAAAAAAAAAAAAAAAAAAAAAATCAAACCTGAGTTCCTACAATGGCTTTCCTGACAAGCTCTATCAAAATTCTGTGGACCTGAACATACAAACACGAGTTGAGTGGTTGCACATCGCAATCATAAGTATAAGCATTAGATAGTGAAACAGCTTTAAACTTACAGTTTCTACTGAAGCTAAAGCTGGATCTTTGAAACAATTGAGTGCACCTTCAATAAGCCGCCTGTACCCTTCCTCGGGTGCAATAAGATGAGGCTGATAACCATCAGCCTGTGAGACAACCTTCTTTACATTTTGTAAACATAAATGACGTTCAAAGGGAATTTTCTTCACGGCCTTGGGAAGCATAGTGCCGAAAACTTCATATATACGATCACCACCTGACCGACTGCAAAAGGTTTACAGAAGGTGATCAGGTACTACTAATTGACACAACCTCAGTGGCCAATAACTTCAAACAAACTTACCCTCCCTCTAGATGCTCTGCAAATGTCTGATCAAATGCGCGGCAGAGTTCTAGAATAGTGTATAACTGTGCCTGCAAACAACAATACTCGTAGTCAACACAACATATGAAAAAAACATGTCCTACAAGCCTACGACTCAGCTCATATGAAAGGAATAGACATGGTGGAACTCATTACCCCTGCATCAACGGCGACTGGTCTACCAAGCTGATCTACTTCAGATTCAGCTTCATCAATGCCTTTCTTAATCAAAGACGCGATCCCTGGTATTCGTGCCTTGATTACATTCTCTAGATCCTAACAATAATATGAATGTCTAGTAAGACACATTGCATTGTTCAGATCTCACAGGACTACGAAATTGGAGAAAAGATCATACTCTTGATAGAAGTTTTGCAAGATATTCTGAACCCATTTTGCTAGCAATGTGTGCATAGTCTGGGCTAGTGGCAAAAAATTCACGTTCCCTTTTCCTTGCAGCAAGCATATCAACGTTTGTATTGATATCTGCTTGGGATCGGTTCACAGTTCCGACCCAAGGACGTTGCAAACGAAAAGATTTTCCTTCAAGAACCTATAAATAGCAAGGGCAGTAGTTTAGATAGATGACAACATTAAAATAAAATGAAAGAAAAAGGTAGTAGAGTGAACACAATTTTCCAACATACATAAAATACTCCTTTTGTCCCTAAATAATAGGCCACATTTCTATTTTAGACCGTCCAATTTTTGACACTTTTCTAATAATATTAGTACATTTAACATTTAATTTACCTATATTGCCCTCAATAATGTCTCAAGTGAAGGGTAATTGTTACAATTTAACTCGATTTTATTATATATGCAAAAATTGGCCTAAAAAACCAAGTATCACCAAAAAAACAGGTATATTGGGAAAAATCTAACCTCTAGAGCATTTGTTCCCTTATCCATTAGATCAAGCTTAGTCAAAACACCAAATGTTCGTTCAGCTGGCAAAAGATCAATTGTCAATAAACAAGAAATACATAAAATCAAACAATATTACTCCATATTCCGAAAAGAAATCTTAGTCTAGATTACCTGCTGGATCAACTTCTCTGGCAAGCCTGATAGCATCAGACGTAGCAATATCTTGGTTTGCTGGTGTTATGGCTAGTATGATGCAGTTAGGCTACACGGCAAGAATAGAAATAGAGAATTACAATATTGAGTACAAACGACACAAAACCTTAGATAGATCCATATACTACTGATAGTAGATGTCGCATAACTTTTGACTAATGAAATGAGTCTTGGAAATCATTCATCAGTATTTTGTAAAAAGCCACACTAAAGATGCAAATTTGAGCTCAGATTAAGTTGTATCGTACAACAATCCTCTTAAAATGATTACCTTCTCCACATATGAGCGGACCAACTTCTCAATATCCTGTGCAATGGTCTCTGGTTGCCCCTCTGTCAACAAAATGTTAACAGCGTAGTCTCAGAGAGATCAGAAATTCGTAAAGAGGAACATAACAGGAAGATTAGAAAAACTACATTATGCAGCATCATATAGAGGCCAGAGTTGTCATACCTACAGCTACCTTTGTTAAACCAGGTAAATCAATCATTGCCAAGTTAACAACTGCAGTAGACAGTATTACAGGAAAAAAAATATGTCAGAAACCTATTAGACTTATCAGTTCAAACTGCAGAAAATAAGAAAACTATATTCAAATGATCATTCAAGATACCATTGGGTGAATGTATGCTAAGTTGGATTGGGACTGAAGAAATCTGCCTCGAGTTGCTAGTTATCTTATCAGTTTCGTCTTGAATTTCTTTCCGAACCATTGCTGCACGAATAGTAAGATCAAGCAGCAGCAATGAAAAGTTTTCAGCTACAAATGATGCATATCAAAGCATGATGAAAAAAAATTTAAAAATCATGAATCCAATAGAATACAGCTCAGACAAAGCTAACATCTTCCGAAGAACAAAGGGTAAGGAAATTAGCATACAGTAATCTGTGAATCGTTGTTTTGGTAAGTGAAGAAACTCTGCATACTCCTCTTCTCCTGAATCGATATTGTGTAGCTGTAAAAGCAAAGGCCTTCGAGTCACGATACCTGTATGTGTACATTGTAACTTATAAGCTACAGAGACGGATACTCAGCAATTACAGATGATATTTACCATATTTTGAGACAAAATCAGTATAGAATTGTGTCCTCCATCATGGATGCACCTATTTTCAAGTAAATCCGAATATATAATAGACATGTTGAAAGGAATTCGCCCGTAACAAAATTCAGGATCAATAAAGTTGCATCTCATTAGATTGCAAATAAAGAGTCATGGTAATTAGCCATCATGTTGTATTGATAGTTTTTCAACTTCATTTAGTTAAATAATTTAGGTGTACCTACTCTAAACGTTACGTGGTAATATGTTAACTTCCAATCAACACTAATCTCAAATTGGACAATGCTATAGTGAAATCACCCACATACTACGTTACATCGAACTTTAATTTTTCACTAATAACAATCCAATTTAAAATTACTTGGAATCGGAAGTAGCATTTTTTTTTTCTTTTGTGTTCCACCCGATTCGCTCTTTGACCTAATTCGAATTTAGGGATTAGTTCTAAGTAGTTAGATTTCAGTTCCCTCCCGATTATAATAATTAGTAATTAGAATATAATGTACAGCATATCCTAATCCATGAAAATAAATTTAAACTGTCATGAATGTTGTTCGACTAAAATCCCTAGAAAATTAAAGAATAATAAAGTGGGACCGATGATGTTGATTTGAAAAGTTGAAAAAGTAAACCTGAACCACGGGGAAGAAAGTCACGTCCAACGATACTCTCAAGCACAGATGACTTTCCGGAACTCTACATTAAATTACATTAACCATCAAAATTAAATCATCAATATAAATAAATAAATAAATAAATAAATAAATAAAACTACACCTAAACTCAACGATGAATTTGATAGTGTCGATAACTCGAGGTAGAGGAAAAAACAACACACCTGGCCGCCAATGGCGACGATAGAGGGGAGAGAATCCCAAAGAGAAGGCAATGGGTCACTACCAAAGTCACCTAACTTGGTACATGATTTGTGTAATGTGCTAACCAATCCGATCAATCCTTCCATTAAGGTTTTTTCGACTTGGAATACTAATGAAATTAATTGAATAACAGAGAGTTTATCACTTATGATGATGTTCGCAAGTGATGAGTATGAGTGAGCACTTGAATGAATATTTGAGGTATTGTAACCGTTAATGATTAACGTCAGAATATTTCGGCGTTGTTGTATATGCTAACTTATGTTTTTGCGGGTGTTATTGGTTATTAATGTTATATTTTTGCGTCAATACTTAATAGGGTTGGACTCATTGGTCTTCGCCTCTTCGGGTTTAGGTAGAAAATCGAAATTTTATTTTTGAAATATTTCTTAAATCGGAAACCAATATATGAGTTGTAATCGACTAAACTTAACATAAAAGTAGATAGTTGAGTAACATTGTTACACTATAAAAGCTGAGATCGGATAAATATACTTTCCTCCATTTTTAATTTATTGCACCATTAGAACTTTTACACTATTCACTTAATCTTCTTAAACCATCATTTGTGATTTGTACATTAGGAAAAATAGGGTCATATGGGATCTAGTTAGATTCGTATCAAACTCTACTTTTCAAATATCAAATTTTTATAATTTATAATTGAAGATATTGATAGCTAAAGTAATGCATTGACAAACGTGAAATCCAAAAAAGGACGGAGAAAGTAGTACATTTTCACATTTACTATACTGAACTGATTGAAAATATTTTATGAAAGAGGGAAATTAGGAGCTAAATTGGAATGATTGAAGCTGAGCTGAATTGAAATTAAGTAAATGTCCCGTCAAAAAAAAAAAAAAAAAAAATAAATGTGAACATAGTCGTATTAATTTTTAATTTAATTTGATGGATCACCTTTAAAGTATCAAAATTTGAATGTGCTGTTTATTATAAATAGTGATGATCATATATTTAGAAGAATATATAATCCAAATTTAAACAATTTCTAATTGTAAATCGGTGTACATTAAGAAAGTATGGAATAGTAATTAATAAAGAAAATAAGTTCACACATCATTTTAAAAAAGGGAGTTGTACATAAATACATACATATACTTCATATAGATTATAGTAGCATACTACTATTTTGATCTTGGTCTACATAGTTTTTTTTTTTTTGTTTTTGACAAGAGTACATATGTACGTGATCTATCTTATTATTCATGAACTAGACTAGATGCTAGTATTGCTATTGAGCTACAAGTTGTGCTGATGTAAGGCGGTGAGGCTAGCTCAGGACCTCAGGTGGCGGCCTCATCAACGTCGTCGCCTTCATCGGGGCTGTCCTTGGTAGCGTGCCCACCTTTGCGACCCATCTCCTTGTACCCTTCTGTCCCTAGCTGTTCTTTTCTTGTTTGCCCTCCTTTGCTCCTTCCTGCATGAACAATTAATTATGCACACTGTATTAGGGTGTGTTCAATTCAACTGTACGTATTTCTCATTCAAAATTATTTATCATAAACTTATTTATCATAACTTATTAGCTTTAATTTGGTTGTATAATGTGAACTAGAGACCTATGTGATCAATTTTAAAAAAATTAAATGTTACATGTATATAGGGATAGTCCATATGACAGACCTTTTTTTACCAGAGCTTTTCAAAATACTTCTATTTTTCTAAAAATTTTATAATGATCGATTGAAATATGACTACCATCAAAATACATATATACAAATAAAAATACGTATCATTATTAGTAGAAAGATTAAATTGGGATGTAAGGAGAACAATAAAAATAAAAAAAATAAAAAAAATACTACCATCATTAATGGTTATTTACAACTTTAAAATTTTTTATATCTCGCAAATAATACCTAAAGTTGCAGATAACTATTAACGGAGGTAGTAGAACGAACCTTCGGCAAGGTGTTGTTGGGCTTCAACACTCTTGCCACCAGTACCACCAGGTACTACAGTCTCTCCTTTCTTTGCCTTTTCATCCAAGTCTTCTTTTTTATGCTGTTGTCTCGTCGCCATTTTTTCTTATCTCTCTACTTTTGCTTTCCTTTTTAACTAGTTTTTAATAAACTTGTTATTTTCAAACTTACCAATTTTATACTCTCTAATCTGATAGATAGATATACAACTATACAAGTATATATATATATATATATATATATATATAAGTGCATACATAAAACAATCTAAGGTGCATGCTACGTTGTCGTTTTGAACCTCAACATGCAAGGTGAATAATCAAGCATAATTGCATGTATAATTATGTCACTTTGACACCTGCGTCACCGAATTAGACTTTCTTGACACGTACACTTTTATGTTCATCGTATTATACTGATAAAATTCGGATTATATTTCGGATAAGTGTAGCATGATATTTTTTGCGGTTGGATAATAATGTTCTATTTGGGTTGTTTTGTACATTTGTACGTGTATGTATGAATTAAGTATGATACTTTGAAATTTGAATTATCTGATCTACTAATATATATACACATATTTATGTACCTTTTGAAATCGAATTCTCATTGCTCGTGTTTGAGTTGTTAGTTCCATTTACATGTAAAGGTTTTTATACGAAACACAATTCTACTACTAATGGTTTACACCCGGCCTTTTGTCTCTAAATTTTTGCTCTATTTATATGCGTATATACTTCATTTTCATACACATTTAAATTATAAAAACTTATTACTGATAAAATATACAATAAGACGAATCTAATAAGACCTCACATAACTATATTACCTTTTATAGATTAATTACAAATTATAGTCAAAGTTTTTAAAGTTTGACTCATATAATGACAATGGGGTAAACATAAAGAAACGGAAGAAGTATTTCATTAGCAGTGTTATATGTGACTTGGTCAAACTTTTTAAAAGCTAAATGGCCATAGGTTGAGTGGTTGAGAATATGATAGTAGAGTTACATGTTTCAAGCAACAATACTACGGATCGGAGTACTAATTTCTCAAAAATGATAAAAATTACAACAATTATTTTAATAATTAAAACTTCACTAATTCCTTAATCAACACATTTCTGTGCTAGCAACTAGAGTTACATCAACCTTTTCTTTTCTTGCCTTATTAGCTTCGATATTGTCCAAGTAATGCTGATAAATATAAGAAAGAAACCCCCACATAGCAAGCACCAAAGATATCACCTTCACACCATTCATCTTATCATGGAAGAACACGACTGCGAAAATCGGAATCATAGGCAAACTCAAGGTGCTAATCACATTAGAGAAGAGGGAAGAAACCTCGAAAACTAGTCCTATCAACCCTAACGATGAAACTTGCCAACTTATAGCCGTGAACGTTAATGTTAGCACGTAGGGCACTCCACCCGTCTTATAATCCCTCATTTCTCCCTTTAATGTTCGCCATTCTCCGCTACCAAAGAGCCCTATGACACAACCACAGGTTGCCACGATCGAAGGATAAAATTGCATACATATGACTGTGTTGTAAGACTCATCCTTAATCACCTTCTCGAAAGAGAATTGTGTCAATGACAATAACAAAGAATATGTCGCGGATGCACCAAGTGTACATAAAAATCCTATGACATATTTGCCCCTCGACACATTATTAGTCGTGTTACCTTCGTCATTTGCATTGATGGCTAGGAGACACACGGAGATTGTAAGGATTACAATCGAGTTGAGTACTAGGGCAGTGATTTTTTGCGCGTTGATGAAGAAGGATGTGACCGCGTTGAAGGCTAGTTGAGAGGCACATAACAAGGAATACGTAGAGACAGGAAGGTAAAGTAGTCCATAAGAGTACATCAAGTTGTCTCCGGTTAAGATTAGGCCGAAAGCAATGTAGATGAGGGTGAGCCTAAGGACTAAAGGGCGACGAAAAGTAGTTGATGATGAGAAGAAGAATAGGAAAGGAATGAAGATGGGAAAGCCGGCTGATTGTACAAAGGTGGCCATCCATTTGCTGTTTCCACCCTTGTCGAAGTAGAGTCTTCCTAAGAGAGTCGCGGTGGTTTGGCCAACGAGGAGGAAGAGGATGTAAATGGTGATTCGAAGCCATTTTTTGTAGTGTTTAACTTTTGGCAATAGAAGGTTTTTGTTGTTGATGTGGTTGGGTATGGAATTATGATGAACAATGTCCTCTTTTGGTCTTGGATCAATTTCTTCTTTGCCTACAAAATTGCTAATTAAAACTTCACAACAATGATCAATGAATGATTATCAAATAACACTTGTATAAGGTATATGAATTAAACAATAACATGTCCTTATAATTAGGAGCTAGACCTGTTAAACAGTTGAATTGTGAGTTATGGACTTATGGTGAGTCCACTCTTAAGGTCTTAAAGCCCGAAAAGTCATAACTAGCTAGCTGATCCAACAATGTGGGCCATATGGCCCATAGTCTTAGTACTACATTTTTATTTACTACGTTTTATTTTTATTTTTATTTTTATTTTTTTTGAAAGATATTTACTACTTCCTCCGTTCTTTTTTACTTGACCTGCTTTGACTTTTACACTATTTACCACCCCTCCTTTGACCGTGTTTTGTGAATAATATGTAAGAAAAAACATATTTATGTTGGATCATTTTGAATTCGTCTCAATAAGTACTATTATAATATATAACTTTTATATTTTTTAATTATGGAGAATTAAAGTTATTGACCGTTAAAGTTTTTCATTGGCAAGCGTGATAAAAGAAACAGGTCAAGTAAAAAAGAGGAAGTATTATGTAAGGTGATATTTGAATATATTAAATTATTAACGTCCGTGGGATGTATGGTATAATGGTAGTAATAATTTATTTATTTTTCCAAAATTAATTAGTGATATTTTATACGTAGTATAAAAATGAGGCAAATTATTTGAAAAAAAAAATACAAATAATAAGGCCAAATTTATTAAATTTAAATTTGATAAAAAAATTATAATTGTTGTGTTGAAAAACTTTAAAAGTGTCATACGTATTGTAATGTACTTTCAAAAAATAATCTAATTAGAGCATGTTTACATTTATTGAATTGATTTGAATAGAACTGAAATGATTGGAGTTGAAATGAATAGAACTAAACTGAATATTTTATGAAAGAAGGAAATTAAGAGCTGAACTGAATATTTTATGAGAGAAGGATATTAAAATCTGAACTGAACTGAAGTGAACTGAAATTAAGCTAAAGTGAACACGTACGAGTAACCAAAATAAATAAATAAATAAATCTTAAGGATGATATTATATACTTTGCATGAAATTTTTTTTAATGGTAGCTTGATATGTGTAAAAAATGATGCGTGTTTTATTTAGTACTCTATTATTTAAATAATATTTTTTTTGAAACGATTATTTAAATAATATTAACAGTAAATTAGTTAATAATGGCTATAAATTCGATAATTTTCCTGTCAAAAAAAAAAAAAAAATCGATAATTTTAAACATTCAGATTTTGATATATCATAGCTGATCTGAAGTAGCAGCTACTCATTCACTAAAGGATTATCCATTTATCATCGATAAAAAATGAATCGGAGCACCAAAAAAAATCAAAAACAGGGAAATATATATTTTGTAGATCGAAAATTGGCATTTGTATCTTTAATTTTTACTCATCATATAACAATTAACAAAAAGTACATGTATGTCTAATTATTTATCGATCAAAATAAAATACATTTTAAAACAGAAAAATTGGTGATTTGAGTGGCTTACCTCGACTTTGGTTAACCATCTCTTGAGCAGCATCCATCGAGAACCAAGAAAGTATCTCATAAATTGTGAAAGATATTTTTAGTCAAAAAAAAAATGATAGATATTTGTTATATGCTGAAAATGAATATTACTGTAAGATATTTAGTCGATATATAATGGTTGTGCTGCCAAATTAGCCATCTGGACGGAAACTTTTATGTTGGAAATTTTTTCCAAGATTTTATTGTGTTTGTTTTATTTTGAAGTAATTTCAACAGGGTAGTTTTATAACAAGATTTCTTTTAGATATTTATTCAAGAAAATTTTAATCAAACAAATATATTTTCTACTTCCTCCATTTGCAACAATTATGAAGTTTTACAAATGTTGCAATATTTTTCTATTTGCATATGTTTTCTCCTTTTCTCTCTCTCCTATTTACATGAGTGTCAAGAATAGGTCAAGTGGTTAGAGCTCTTTTAACGGTGTCAAAAATCTTGAGATTGATTCTCAAATCACTTAAATGTTGCAAGTATTAAGAAACACGGGTAATATTTTTCTTCCGCTTTTCACTCCTGGACTCCTTGTCTAATTGTCTATTATAGGTAGATAGTGTAAGCCAACTCTGTTACAGGTAGATAGTGTAGGCCAAGTCTGTTAAGAATTAGTTCATCGTGGATTATCGTAGATGATCCATATTATTTCAAATTTCAATTCCATATATAGTCAATTATAGTGGCTGCCCAATTCTTTTCCTCAACTAAAAGTTTTTGCTTATTGAGTGTGAGCTCTTCATAAGGATTAGTGGGTCGTCTTGTTTGATATCACAACGAGTCGTATTAGATTAGAAATGCTGTTACTAAATTCAGTTACTCCATACTGAAGAAAATTAGATTAGATTTTTTTTTTTTTTATCTATTTTAATGATCAACAAATGTTTACGTAAAAAAATCTTATCCAATCAATTAGCAATTAATGATATTTAGAGGCGATAAAATTGAGCCGGGTTTTAACATCATAAATCATATCCGACCTCGTTTAAAAATATCGGGGTTTTACGGGCCTATACAATTTATTTAGGCTTGTTCAAACCTATCCATTTTTCGTGTCAGGCCATAGACCCATAGTTGATAGCCATCTGCGTTTCATTGGTTTTCTTACCTAACATACAAAATGTTATAATTACTCGTATTAGCAATCTACAAAGTACTCTGTAAATCTATTATTCTAGGCAATAAATACAAGACACGTTATTATTAGCTAAAACTTAGGTCTATTATTCTAGGCAATAAAACTTAGGTCTATTATTATAGGCAATAAAAACAAGACAAATTAAGATTATATATAAGGGCCACATACAAATATACAACTGGAATTTGTGATATACACTTGAGTATACCATACAGCCATAAATATTCTATTTTCATTTAATGATTGTTTTTCATTTAATCATCAAATAAAAATCAAAAGTCGGGGCATATAACAATCTCTCACATACAATGTCGTATGTTTAGCCTTTATTGGTGAATGGGTGACCAAATCCTAGTTTACACTTTACACTCGTATTATTATTAGCTAAACATGCAAGTGATTACACTACTTTTAGTCTGACATAGATAATGTACAGTACACGTGTGTAAAATGGAACACCTGGTGGGACCGGGAAATTGGAAATGAGACAAATTAAATCGATTTAATGAAATTGTATTTTGTACTTGATTGATGTGGAACAAATGACGTGAACGAAAGACATCGATTAAAGATTAGAAGACCACTCATTGTGTAGAAAAAATCATCTTGGACTACCTCTTCTCATCAACTATACGAAAAGAGAGTGTGACAATAATTGTGTTCTGAATTAAAATCTCTGTATTATTAAATTGTATGTGATGAGAATTATTGGTTTGTACTCCTATTTATTGATAAACAACAATGATGAATTAATGATGGAGGTGACTCTTGAATTCGTCTGATATGTAAACTTTAATGAGCCTTATCAATCATAGAGGCTTTCAAGATAATAAGATAAGCTATGAAAACAATGTACAGAATAAAATTTGGACTGCCCACCAATATTGATTTTATGTTGATTTTAACGTTTGAGAAATAAAATATGCTACAATGATGTGCGCGGTAACTATTAGGAAGACAAAATATTTAAAAAAAAAACCGAGTGTGCAACAATTTAATTAATGTGTGACGGGAAGAAAAAGAAAAATATAGGTAATTTTTGTGACACTATAAATAGCTGTTGATAGTTGTTTAAAGCTAACTTATTTGTGAAATTTATTGGCCCAATATTATCCAATATTAATCGATTTATGTGCAAATTATCTATCTAGGCCCATTGACAAGACTATAAGAAGCTCATTTGAGTTGCCTTCATCTTGTGAGTCCTATGATAAGGTTGTAGTTAAAATATCTTCATACTCGTGTTCACTTGAACTTCTTAAATCCTATTCTCTTACTTGAGTTACTTCCAAGGAACTAACAAAATTTTCATCCAAATTTATGCACTACTAGTTTTATTATGGAAGCTACTCAAGATTTGGCGCACCAAACCATAGGTAAGCTATTAACTACTTACTACTCAAGTACTCAATCATCAAGTTCATCACTAAGGAAGTAAGGAGTAGCTGCTAGCTAGTTTAATTCATCAACTACTTTCTAGTTTCTTAGTCCTCCTGTTCTTTCTAAATTTAACCAATAATAAAACAAAATTTTGATCTCCTATTTTTCTACATAATATATACGAGTATAGATTGTATGGTCTTTCAACTTCACCAAAAGAAATTCAAATTGTAACCTTATAGTTTTAAAAAACTTATACCACCTTGTAAAGCAAATGCTCTCTAAATACTAGTATGAGTAGTATCCTTACCAATAAGTTAAAATTAACTACTGTAAATGATGATCAATAATAACATCTTCAAAAAAAAAATATGTGGGTTTATATTATCTCTTTGCCAAATTGAACTTTGTCTTGTTTTACTATGTAAAGCAACATATTTATTCAATATTTTCTACTTAAGCGATCAAAAGAACACTTTGAATGAATGATTTTCTCGACTCTTTTTCCTTTCCATAGTAATATTTGATGTCTTATTATTTTATCTATTTAAGTGGTAAGGAGAAATCCTTGCAAGTAGGGGAAAAATAGGGATCCCACTTGTTTGGGATGAGAATCGAACCCCTCTAACAAGTAGGGTGGAAGGGGAGCCACCAACTACTAGGTCAACCTTGATTCTTATTATTTGATGTCTTATGTCATCTAAGTTTTAGCATGTTGTTAGTTCTTATGCGACAATTGTTTTTTTGTAGGCACCAAAGAAGATGGTCCAAGATCAAATTTAGCCTTGACAAACCTTAAACACTACAAAATGTGGCTTAGAATCATACCTTACATCCTATTTCTTCTCATAGGCCAAACCACCGGAATTCTCTTGGGAAGGCTCTACTTTGACAAAGGTGGAAACAGTAAATGGATGGCCACTTTTGTACAAACAGCCGGTTTTCCCATCCTCATTCCCCTCAAGTTATTCCTAGTCTCCTCACCAACGTCTCTTCGTCCCCCGGTTTATAAGCTCACCCTTCTCTACTTTGTTTACGGCCTTCTTGTGGCCGGTGATAACTTGATGTACTCTTATGGACTACTATACCTCCCTGTGTCTACGTATTCCTTGTTGTGTGCCTCCCAACTAGCCTTCAACGCGGTCACATCCTTCTTCATCAACGCGCAGAAATTCACTGCCCTAGTGCTTAACTCGCTTGTAATCCTTACTATCTCCGCGTGCCTTATAGCTATCAATGCTGATAATGAAGCTAACACGAGCAATAATACCGGGAAGGGGAAATTTGCCTTAGGGTTTTTATGTACCCTTGGAGCTTCCGCGGCATTAGCTTTCAACGTGTCCGTGGCACAATATTCTTTCGAGAAGGTGATTAAGGACAACTCCCTTAACACCGTGGTATGTATGCAACTTTACCCTTTTATCGTCGCGACTTGTGTTTGTGTAATAGGGCTCTTTGGTAGCGGGGAATGGCATACACTGAACGAAGAGATGAGGAATTACAAAATGGGTGGTGTGTCCTATGTGCTAACATTAACTTTCACGGCTATAAGTTGGCAACTTGCTTCGTTGGGAATGTTAGGACTAATTTTTGAGGTTTCATCCCTTTTCTCTAATGTGATTGCCACCTTTAGTTTGCCCTTGGTTCCGATTTTCGCAGTCGTGTTCTTCCATGATAAGATGAATGGTGTGAAGGTGATTTCTATGATTCTTGCTATGTGGGGGTTCCTTTCTTATATATATCAGCATTACTTGGATGATATTGAAGCTAAAAAAGCAACAAAAGTAAAGCTTGATGCTAGCACAGAATTATTCTGATACAGAGTATACACAGTTTAGTTCATATATTGTGACTTTTTCTTTTATTTTTTTTAACTTGATATTTAAACGAACTTCCATCAGTTTACTATAAGAATTGCGGTAACTTCAGCACTATCTCATGCATGTCTATAACCAATTGCTCATATGCGAGAACACAACCAACAACATCGAGAACATTAAAACATCAGATGAATATCACACCTGCTATTTAGAAGAGGAGGGAATTTATCTCACCGACTGTTATAATTAAACCTGATATACATAACATATACGAAGTATACAACAAAAACAAAATTGAAAAAAATACATATCTTGAGAATTGAGGATGTGAATCACGCTAGCAAGCATTAGCTCCGTATGCTTCCAAAAAACAGAGTGTGGCAAAGGAAGCTAACTGTCTCTTTGAGCTAACAAGTCATATTCATATCTGAAATACGTAGGAGTTCAGACAAATAATAGCATAATAAATCGAATATTTCTACGTCCTTTAGTCCCTCAAATTCTCAAAGAACAATCTTTTACTCTAGCAGGAACAGCACAACATTATCACTATGATTACTTCAGAGAAGAGAGCAAAATCTTTCTAGAGTTCAAGGCCGAAAGTACAAAAAGGTACACAAAACTAAGCAGAATGCAACTTCCATGGAGAATTATGAGGTAAGGTCAGCAAGCACATCCACTTCCCTGGGACTGCGACTGGGGTGCACTAGACGTGGACTTGAGACTTACATCAACCATATCTTCTTGCTTCGTCGAAGAGAGTGTCTCCATTCCCGGTAATGCAGCAGCAATTTTCCTAAACAGCGCCTGCAATTTTATCTTATGTTAATATCATGGTATGCAATATCTTACTTTGCAGGGAGACCGGAGAAGAATAAATCACAATAATATGATGGCCTGTCAGGTCAGGCTCTCAAACATCAAAACACAATGTCACAACTACAGCTTTAAAATATACTGCCACCTAAACACGGAAGCACATTTTCCTGTGCAATGCCAAACAAAGATATTGGAACTGAAGTAGCCTGGTTAAACGTACATTCATTTAACCAAAGCACCAAAGAAAGTACAATAGCGATGAAAAGAAAAGGATCAAAGGACCATCAAGAGCTGACAGCACAAAAGCCAAATGGAGAGCATCAGAAATTAATGTGTGCTCCAATATTTGATTGATAAGAGCAACCAGCACATTGATAACTACAGCCAGAGTTCCATCAGATCAAGAGAGTCTAATACTTGCTTAGGTGCTCTAATTTGAACATGTGAAGCAAAGCAAGAGATATGGAGAAAATCTGTATAGAAATAGGAACAGAAAACAACATTTGGCAATCATAAGGAAATCATTCAACAACTGACAAGGATAATGTGAAAAGGGTAGGTTAGTGCCAAAGGCAAACACATCACCTAATAAAAACTTATTTCATACAGTCTCCAATTATGCTACAAATGCCCCAACCAAATGTAGACAATGAGCTTTGACATCATCCAAAAGTGCAATTTAAGCAGAAGTTTAACAATCGTGACAAAAGTCTCATTAAAATATGGGTACGTTGCTAAATGATTTACTCTGGTCATCAGTTCACCCTAGAGTGCAGCTTAAGCAAAAGTTAAGGTAAAGATGTACCTTTATGTTAAAGCCAGCTTTTGCACTAGTTTCAATAAACATAACATTGAGATCACGAGCTTTTGCTTCTCCTTCTTCTATGGAGACTTGCCTGTAAAGTGAAAAATAAATAAATAAACAGTGAAACAACAGCAATGGGTATGATACTATGATAGAACTACTCCCAAGATTGAAAAAAGGAAATATAAGGAAAATTAGCAGCACACACCAAGTCAAGTAATATTCTGGAGAGCCACCTAATTTAAAAATACAGTTAATAAAATAATTTTGGGGATGGTACAATATTTGCGATTGTAATCAATCTACCTCATTGGACTTCGTGGATCCCCTTAAATAAAAGCTAATACTTGTATTTGCAATGTCAACTGCTTTTGTCAATTTTCATCTGAAAAAAAGACATCAAGTGCCCAATTCGCATCTTCCTTATTTATACCCCTCCAGTCCTCCCATTTACTCCACAAATTCCTCTACACTCCTTCCACCACACCAAACAGGCAACCGCCGCTATTTTTTACTTCTTAAATTGCACAGTGGCTTATCCGCTTATATTATACTAAGTAAGTGATTCCCTGCAAACTTTCCAAACAAAATTGAAAACATATGCTACAAATTACTCCATAATGATAAGCAATCTGATCTATGATTCACTATTGTCCTCAGCTCTAACCATCCAACACAAAGCATACAGACTTGACTTAAAAACAATAAAGCAAGCAGTTATAAAGAAGCTAAAACATTTTCGGCCATCATTCATGAAATATTTAAGCATTTTCTCTTTCAGCTTGAAGATATTGAATAAGGTTGTCAAACACTAATACAAGCATTTAGAACTTTATTCTTCACAGGCACCTAATATCCTTTGCAGAAATGCAAGTCAGGTATTTTTAGATCCAAATGGCTCACTAAAGGTGAGAATCAATATACAATCCCTATGTTCAAGAAAGAAAGATAAGACTGAGTTTTCTAACCAGAGAAAAAATATATATTATGAACATTCCAACTATCCCAGATTTCCATTTACCATAAAGTCGAATCAAATTAAATTTATGCACTCGCCATGTAAGCAATTTAGCATCTGACCTGTCACTCAGACAGACCAACTTATTAATACCTATGATTCAAATCTTTGGTACTACAGATTGAAGTCCTCAAATTCACAAAAATTACCTAAGCATTGTGTGGGGAAACACTAGAGACTAAAGGAAAATCGGATCAATAAAATACAATAGTCTAACAGACAGCTTAGTCAGAATGTAATTTTAAGGAGCCACAATGACAGAAATACTCCCGTCATCCCTTATTGTTTGCACCGATTACTTTAACAAACATATAGTTGAGTATAGGTAAAAATACAAAAACTTTTGTATACATCCGGTTTACACTAATATTAGTGTACATCGAGTAGTATAAGGGTAACTTTTAGCTAATTTTAGGGTAACTTTTTGCCTGTTTTTGGGTAACTTTAAACATAATACAATTTTTATATAAAAAGACAACAAGAAAAGTTTTATATAGGTAATTTAATTACATTCAATCATTAATAATTGATTTTTAGTCATTTAAAATGTGATTCTTTACGAATAAAGTGTAGATAATTTTTATTTGAATTGGGTTACTTTTACGCATATAGGGGTAACTTTTATTCATTTCAGAGGTAAATTTTAATCACTTTAAGCTATCTTTATATTGGATGTACAATAATTATTGTACACCCGATTTTTTTTTTAAGTTTGTGGTAAAAATAATAAAAAGCTGATAATGTTTGTCCAAACCAATGTAACAGATTCCCCAAGACTGTAATTTTTCTTATACTCCATATACAGTGGCGGACCCACGTGTAGTCATAGTGGGTCCGCGGACAACCTATTATTTTCTATAAAAAAAAAAACTAAGTATCAAGAGTTTTAGCTTGTAGTCTGGTGGTTTGTTCCCCATCCTACCACATATGAGATACGGGTTCGACTCCCATTACTCTCAAACTTTTTTTTTTTTTTTTTTTGGGCTTTACAACCTCAATTTCACGATTTAAATTATCCCCAAATCCCCAATTCCCCCAAATTGAAACCCTAAGTCTCAAAGTCACCCAATTACCCAAGCCCCGTCGCCGTTCACCGTATCGCCGCCTCGCCGGCAGCCCGGCAGCCTTTTCGTGCTTCTCCGTCAGGTATGAGTGAGGCGTCCGTCAAATCGTCAATCCGTCTGTGAGTTTGTTAGCGTCGTGCTCGTGCAGTGGCTCCCCAAATTCGATTTTTTTGAGGTTAGTTTTAAACTTTTAATTTATATAATTACATTTCAATAAGATTATAGAGATTAGATTCTATATTTCTATATGAAATCATCAATTTAAATGTTTAAATCAAAATTATCAGTATGTTTAATATCACTATATCAGTGTATGAGTTTTTTTTTGTTTTTTTTTTTTTTTTGGGTGAAATTTCTTGATTTGATTAGTGCTTGATTATTTGTATGACTTTATAAAAGCTTGAATGTCACCACTTGATTATCGTCACTTGATTACCACATGAGTTATTCCTAAAATATGAGTTAAAGTAGTAGCAATTTTAATACAAATTTTGACAAGTAACTAAACCGTTACAGCCTTGAATTGGTTCTCTAAATTTTACTAATATCATGGCTATCTTTATTGCTAATATCGTCATCTTTAATAAGAATAGTTGTGTTCTAGATTCAAGTGTATTAGAGGGAATTTATAATAGTTGAATCTGTGATGTGAATGATTTGTCTAAGTAGTACTCATTTGATAGTATGACTTGTTAGGGAATCAAATATCTGTGTCTATGCATTAGCAAGAGTCTTGTATTTTAGCAAGTGTGAATTATTAAGCCTTGACTGCTATTATTAGTCCAGATTTGACCTTACAATGCAATCTGTATGGAGCAACCTCATGGGTATATCTGAAAATAGGAAAAGATGCCTGCATCTATCAAGATATTTTGTTGAATCTTAATGCCATTGCACTTTTACAATGATTTTGTTGAATCTTATTGCCACTGCACTTTTACAATGATTAAGAATCTTTAGTTCGATATAGTTTTAGCTTACTTGATGTATACAAAAGTTCACATGAGCACAGTTGTTGTGGAGTCTATAGCTATTTTATAATGTGATATTATATCTCAGTTTCTATATATAGTGGCCTATATTTATTGTAGAGTATAGTATGCATGGTTGTAGATATAGTTGCAGTTTAGATAATGGTATGTGTATTAGCCTAATTTATTGTAAAGTATAGTATGCATGGTTGTAAAGTTACTTAATAGTATGCAATTTGTTCACTTAATGCAGCAGGTATAATCTAATCCTAAGTACATTTATTAGCTATTGAGAATGGTGATTGCTAATTTGGAGATTTGGGGTTGAAGGGTGGACTGAAATTGAGGTTAATGGGCGTTTTTTTTTATGATATTATTAGTTTTAATAACCTTGAGAGAACCCTACTTGTATGATTTATCTAATTCAACCTAACTTCAATTTCAGAATGAAAAGAAAAATAACTCAAGATATTTCAAGTTTTTTTACTAAAAAAGTGCCTACTCTAAATCCTCCTCCTCCACAAAATGATCCTCCTCCACAAAATGATTTACCCTCTCAAGAAAGTGAACCAAGTACTCCTTTACATCATGCTAGTGAACAACATTCTTCCCCATCTCACAATTTCCCTCAATATGAAGATGGGCAATCTTTTCCCCAAGGTGGTTCGGATCCTAGTGCTCAAATTGGTGAAGGAAGATTAAGTGCACTTGATATTATTAATCTTCCACAAGACCCCGGAAAAAGAAGAAGGATGTGTGATTTTCATCCCGATGATAGGGATTTAGTGCGGAGAACATACATTCAAAGAAAGCCATGTCAACCTAAAGATCATGTGTTTCCTCAAACACTTTTTGGGCCGAATAAAAAACGCCGATTTTGTGTTAAATGGTTTGATACTTGGCCAACATGGCTTGAGTATAGTGTTGAGAAAGATGCTGCCTTTTGTTTCATTTGCTATCTGTTTAAGGATGGTAACACAGCGGGAGTGGATGCTTTTGTTAATGGAGGTTTCAGATCTTGGAATAGAAGAGACACAATTGTAAAGCATGTTGGTGGACACAAGAGTGCTCACAATAATGCCGTGATTGCTATGAACTTTTTCATGAATCAAATGAGTAGCATTGCCACCGCTTTATCAAAACAAACAGCGGAAACCATGAGTGCCTATCGTAAGAGATTCGAAGCTTCAATCGAAACCATTAGATGGCTATTGTTCCAAGGGTTGCCTTTTCGTGGTCATGATGAAAAGGAAAGTTCATTATCTAGAGGTAACTTTCTTTCGTTATTAACTCTTCTTTCAAACCATGATCCTGAGTATTCCAAAGTTGTTTTTAAAATGGCCCCTGGTAATTGTCAACTTACTTCTCCAAGTGTCCAAAAAGATATAATCAATGCTTGTGCTAAAGAAACAACTAAAGCAATATTAGAAGAACTTGATGGTGGATTTTTTGCTATTCTTGCTGATGAATCTGCCGATGTTTCCGATAAGGAACAAATGGCACTTTGTTTGAGATTTGTTAATAAAAAGGGGGAAGTGTGTGAGCGTTTTCTTGGTATTGTGCATGTTCCTGATACTAGTTCTTTGACTCTCAAAGCTGCTATTGAGTCATTACTCATGGAACACTCTTTAACTTTCTCTCAAGTTCGAGGTCAAGGTTATGATGGGGCAAGTAATATGCAAGGTTCAATCAATGGCCTTAAAACTCTAATATTGAATGAATGTTCTCAAGCATACTTTGTTCATTGCTTTGCTCATCAACTTCAATTGACACAAGTTGCACTTGCTAAGAAAAACTCAGATTGTGGTTGGCTTTTTGTTGACGTTCTTGCACCTCTCTTGAACTTTGTGGGAGGTTCACCTAAGAGGAAAGAATTTCTTCGAGAAAAACAACGTCAAGGGGTTGTAGAAGCATTATCTTTGGGTGAAATTGAATCGGGAACTGGTTTAAATCAAGAACGTGGCTTATGTAGACCTTGTGATACTCGTTGGGGATCTCACTTTAAAACCATTTTGAATGTGCTTGATTTATATCCTTCAATACTTTTGTCACTTGATTCCATTGCAGAAGTATCTGATACACTTGATTCGAATAAAGCACAATCTATTACACACTTGTTGATGTCATTTGATTTTGTGTTTGTGGCACACTTGATGGTTGATATATTTGGCATTACAAATGCGTTGAATGTGGCATTGCAAAAACATGATCAAGATATTGTAAATGCAATGGTCATGGTTGATGTAACCAAGACTAGTTTGCAAAAGTTGAGAGATGAAGGATGGGATTCACATATGGAAAAAGTCACTTCTTTTATGGCTAAATATGACATTGAGGTTCCAAACATGGAGGGGCGATATGTGGTTCCTGGGAGAAGAATGTATAGAGGTAAAGGTCCACATGTGACTAATCTTCATCATTTTAGAGTTGAAGTTTTTCTAAGTGTCATTGATCTTCAATTACAAGAACTTGAAAATCGATTTCCCGAGGTAAGTAAGGAATTACTTGTGTGTATGTCTTGCTTTAATCCTGCAAATCGGTTTCATTCTTTTGACAAAAGAAAGTTAGTTCAACTTGCTAAATTTTATCCCGGTGAATTTTCAAGCTCTGAGTTATTATTTTTTGAACATTCACTTGAAAATTTCATTGTTGATGTTCGAAATGATGAGAGATTTTGGAATTTGAAAAGTCTAAGTGAACTTTCTACGAAACTTGTTGAGACGGGAAAGTTTGAAACTCATGACCGAGTCTACTTACTTTTGAAGTTAGTGTTGATTCTTCCCGTTGCAACGGCAAGTGTAGAAAGAGTATTTTCTGGAATGACGCAAGTTAAAGATAAATTGCGTAATAGCATGGGAGATCAAATGTTGAATGATTGTTTGATTACTTATCTAGAAAGAGATTTGTTTTACAATGTTAGCATGGATGATATTATACATCGTTATCAAAATATGAAAACTCGTCGAGAGCAATTGTAATAAAATTAGTACTTTTTTAGTTGTAATATGAATTTGAATTACTTTATGAAATGAACTTTTTATGTATTTTTTTTTTGTCCATCATTCAAGCTTTGACTATTTTTTGATATTTTATGCGGTCGGTGGACGATGATGGGATGGGACAACCTATTATTTAAATCCTGAATCCGCCACTGTCCATATATCAGATAAATTTCATGGTCAAAATTGATGAACTTTGACACCAAAAATAGAAAATGGAGCAAACAAAAAGGGGAGGGAATAACAATCTCACATAGAACAAATAGATTCATTTAAAAAATGTAAAACTTTTTTTCGTCATCTTACCTCTTATCCACAAGATCAGTCTTGTTTCCAACAAGGACAATAATGACATCACTACCCCTCTCAGTGCGGACTTCCTCAATCCACTTCGCAGTGTTAAGGAAAGATTGTCGGCCTGCACAAAGCATAATATGTAAATAGGCTAAACAATGGCTCAAAAATAAATATATTTTATGAAAGGTCAAGCAGCGTTACTTGCAACATCATATACAATGACTGCCACAGACGAATCCCTTATGTAACTTGGTATAAGACTCCTGAATCTCTCTTGCCCAGCAGTATCCCTGTACACAAAAAATAGTAAATCAATGGGATATTAGATAGTAAGCATACAGTGCAAGCTACAAAAGTCAATTTAGGCTGAAGCTTACCACAACTGTAGTCGTACAGTACGATCTTCAAGATACATGGTCTTTGATAGAAAATCAATACCAATTGTAGCCTGAGAAACATCAGAAGAGTCACATAAGCCTTAACCACTGCCAAAAGGGAGAGGGGATGAGATCACAAGTGACAACAAAAATATGAAAGCAGTAATTTATAACAGCTGATGGGCATATAAAATTCATCACTGACTAACGCGCATTCCTCAGCCACACTTTCACGCCATTTAAAGCCACCAGGCATCTATTTTAATCCTTGCTGCTAGTCTAAGTCTAGCAATCACTTCAATTTATCTAAAGTGTGCCTATCTTGTCTCTTTGGTTTGATCCCCTATCTAAAAACTTCTCACCCTTCTAATTCTACAGCCTCCTCAGACCCCTTTTTGTATCCAGCATTCATTACAAAGACCTTAAATCAAGAGCTCAAAAGAGGCAAAAGGTAATATATAACCAAAACACCCTATACGATGATAGCTTGAACACTATGAAGTAAAGAGCAACTCTTCAATTCATGAAGCATCACATTTCAAAAGTCTTCTTGATGAGCCTAAATGCTCTTTCCTCTTAACCTCTCTATCATATTTTTTTATACTTATAGCTGAACTCTTCCACTGACTTATGTTAAAGCATTATTTCCTCCATCGCAAATAACTAGTTAGTAGCTACATAGTCCTTTTTGGACATCCTAATGTAATTGCCACATTCCTCTGATGCAATACTTTTTTTCCAAAGTTGGTTCCGATATCCAACCACCCATTTTTTCTCTCCACTTATTCATCACTTAAAAACCACATATAAAGTACAGTATATGTAACAGCATAAAAACCACATATAAACCACATATTTGAATTGATCCATGTAAACATTTTATTTTGATTAGTATAAGTCAATGCACGCTTTAATCATTCTTATATTTTCAAGGTGCTACACTTGCATCAAATTCTAAGATAAGTCCTCTCTCCAACCCTTCTGCTTCATTCTTGATTGAAGGAAAGACATGGACGAGACAAGCATGGATCCTAATCTCTAACAAAGTGGCATGACACAGCATACTTTCTTAAACTTCCTTCTAATCACTGTTTGCTTGCTTCCCACAGTGGTCCTTCTGCAAAACAAGGACTTCTAAAGTTGCAAATACCTTTATCCCGACTTTTGGCCATTATAAGAGTTCAACTTCAACCAATCACAAGAAAGCAATGTACTCATCTAGTCCCCTTTAACAGTTGACAGAGAAAAGACCTCATTTTAGACATGTATCACACACAAACAGCAAGTGATCAGCACATTCGATCCAACTAATTCCTCCTAAAATATCATCAAACCGCTGCATTCGAACACAACCACAATGCAGTAACAATGCCAAAATTTCATCACAGTTCTACAACTCCCTCACTATAACCACTACATAAAGTGATCCTTTTGCTAATTTTACTCAGCTTTACAACAATTCTCAATCAAAATTACAGATCTAAATCCCACTCCATAAAACAATTTCAGAATCACAAAATTTCAAGATCATAATTCAAACATTAAAAAGAATCCTAATCAGATTCATATAATAAGATCACAATGAATTAAACCAGCAGAAAACAAAGAATCAATAAGATAAAACCCTAAAAACGATTAGATCCGTCAAAACCTAACAATCATTCAAATCGTAAATTGATGATGATCAAATAAACATTAAAAAGAAAGGAAAAAATCACCTGATAAGTATTATCAAACTTGTCATACATAAAACGAGTGATTATACTGGTTTTACCAACAGATTGATCTCCTAAGAAGACGAGCTTGTATTTTGCTAAAGCTGAAACTGGCGCCATTTTTGGGGATTTTGAAGGTGAATTCAAGTGAATAAAAACACAATTTCCGCAGATCAAGATGAAATTCGATTGAATCGTTGGAGGAATTTGTTTGAATTTGAGATGAATCCCAGAAAAAATAAGATGGCGATTGGAAGATTGGAGTGTGGGAAATTTGTCGTTTTCGGGTTGGAGGGGAGGAGAGAGAAAGAGCTGCCGAAATGAGGGAGAGACAGCAGTGAGTTAGGAAGCTAACCAGCCCGGCTAACGCCTCAAAGTGGACTTTATTGCGACATGTGAGAGTGCACTGATCATTATTTTATTTTATACATCTGAGAGCATGATTCGGGTTTGAATTTTTGAAATCTAAACTTTAATAACCAGTACTTGTCTTTGATTTTTTTTATTAGGTTTCAAAGGTCCTGTTCACTTCATCATATACTTGTTGAACTGCAGAAGTGTGGGAGAGACAGCAGTGACTTGTGAATTAAGGAGCTAACCAGCTTGGCTAACGCCTTAAAGTGGACTTTATTACGAGTTACGACATATGAGAGCGCACCGATCATTATTTTATGCAACCGAGAGCATTATTTGGGTCTGAAATCGTATTTTTTAAAAACAAAAAATTTAATATTTCCTTGTTGACTATCAACTTATTTGGATTTTTAATTAAGTGTTTAACGCTACGTTCACTACATTTAATATTTGCTGAATTGAAATTAATTTTCCTAAACTAAAATTTTTTTTACTTAACTAAAATTATTTTTAGTGAACTGAAATCATTTTTACTAATTCTCTATTATATTTTCTTACAATTACTGATTTTTGCTTAAATGAAATTATTTTTACGAAACTGAAATTAATTTTACTGAACTGAACTTATTTTTTATTGAAATGAAATTATTTTTACTAAATATTGTTTTTAAAAGGTAAACTAAACAAGGCTTGATTTCATGGTAGCCAATAAGTAGATGAATTTTACATGTCATATTTTTAATAATTTGTACTTCGTTATTTGTATGTGCCACTTCGGAATAAATTAGTAGTTCTTAGTCCTTACAACATCTTGCAATTGATCATTGTCCTTTATATGGAGAATCACAATTGTTTCATCCTTTCATGTATGTGTTTTTTATTTGGGGGTAAGTAGAAAGTTTGTTCTAAAATACAAGTAGGAGGTTAGAGAAATCCCTCCTAAAATTAAATATTATAAAACCTTAAACAAAAAAATGCTACCACACACCACCCCTCAACAAATATGACACTACACCTGTAGACCTGTAGTACACCACATCCTAAGTGATATAATCTTAGTTGGACATGAAAAATATGTTAAAAATAATGTCCATAAAAGATGAAATAGAATATTTGGTTAGTGATGCAAATCACCCCTGGATGTATAATCATTTGGTGTAACTATATTAAATGTTAAACATCGATGGGGTTTATATTGTGTGTTGATTGATATTGGGTGAAGGCTTGATTGCCTAAGGTTACAGAGTCAATGTTAGATCAAGTTTACTTTGAAGAAATTTATAGAGTCATATTCGAGTGATGAGTCATTCAGTTTGATATACAAAATATAATGATTTTCAAATACGCGATCAATGAATAATATCAATACTCGGTACTCCATGTAACACGTTTAATAATTTCATTCTAATTACATTTACAAGTTACCCTCATTAGATCAACCAAATTAAAAAATAAAATAAAAATGTGATGTAAAAATTTAAGTTGCATAATTTGGTGTTGTGTCTCATCTCATTGGCCAAATGGCGTGGCAACTACTAGTAATCTCGTACTATAAGTTTTTGCCTTTGAAATAACGCCTTGTCCAATTTCCACTTCATTTCATCACCACCTTCATCTCTTCATTTCTTCTTCCTTAATATTTCGCAACACCTGAACTACGTTTGCTTCATTCTCTCTCCTCCATTAACAGGTATTCGCAATAGCTTAAGCTTTCCTTTGTTTTCTGCAATTCAGCTTAACTTCAAACTTTTGATTTCTCATACAACTAATTCTCAATTTGTAGTTAGTTCTAAGTTCGATCTTTGATTTTGTTGAAACCCTAATTATTTCCTCATTTGATAATTTTTGTCGCAATTGTTATTTTCTGCTTTTGATTTTGTGGGTTTTCCTCTTGATTTCGTGTAGAATTGTTCCCGGATTTCGCGGATTTGACATTTGGAATCGGCAAAGATGGCGTCATTCGAGATGGATGATAGAAAAAGTAAGCGCATACTTCCTTTATTTTTGGAAATAAATTGTTATTTTGATTAATACACTTTTTAAGAATTTTTAATTGATGTTAAATGAGTTAGTTTAGCTAGTTATTGTATTTAAATCATGCTTATGCAAATTGGGATGCTGCTGATTGTGAATTAGATAACAAGGTGGATTGGCGGTAATTTGGGTTTGAGTACAACTCTAATTGATGTTGATTAAGTTGATTGTTGCTATTGTTTTAAATCATGCTTATGTGATTTGGTATGCTGCTAAGATTTTGAATTCAATAACGCGGTGGATCGTGGCAGTGAATTGGTTTGACTATCACTCTAATTGCTGTTATTTGAGGTGATTGTTGCTATTGTTTTATATCATGCTTATGTGATTTGGTATGCTGCTAAGATTTTGAATTCAATAACGCGGTGGATCATGGCAGTTAATTGTGGTAGTGAATTGGGTTTGACTATGACTCTAATTTCTGTTTTTTTTTAATTGATTTTTAATCATGCTTGTGTGATTTCATGCTTGGTGGATCATGGTGGTAAATTGGGCTTGAGTTTCTGGATAGTAGCTATAGTTTCTAATCATAAATGTGAATTTAGGAGTAAATTGGAAGAGAGGGATTGTTGTTTGCAACTCTTTATTAACTGCTTGCTGCTGCTTTGTAATTCCGTGTTGGAAAAAGAATTGGGGTTTTGGAGAGGACTGTGGATCTTTGTGTCAAACCTTTTGATCTCTTTCCTGATTATAATCTAATCGCCTGATTGGAAGACTATAGGTTTGTGTTCAAAATCCAAACTTGGGGTCAGCAGTCCTTTTTAAGTGATAAATATACTTATCATGTGTTTCCAATTAAGACCTTAGAGTGACAATTCCATGGGCAGGGATATCATAGAAACAGAGCTTTTTACTACTTGGTGCTATGTATTTATAGTTGGGGTCACAAAGTCATGCACTAGTATGTAACTTAGGGAGTCAGGGCAGCACCACCAAGGTCTAGTCTGTTTATGAATCTACTTTGAAGTGTGAGAATCATAATTCATAATTATGTGTCTGCAAGTCAGATGTGGGTTTATTTAGGTGGCCGTGTATGTGCTACATAGTAGGATTGTTCCGTCCTCATTAATTGAAGGCCTTTAGAACACAACCCTAGGTTTGATTGCTGCCTTTGCCTGAGAGAATATCTTTCTCCTTCCTCTGTATCGAATATGAACTTCTTTTGGATTGATGTGAACTACTGAAGAAGCTAATTATTGTGACTTCTTGGAACATGAAATTTGACAGAGATTGGACTGGGATTGACTGGGTTTGGCATGTTCTTTACATTATTGGGAGTCATATTCTTGTTTGACAAAGGGTTGCTTGCCATGGGTAACGTAAGTTTCTTATCTCATTCTTGTAATCTCATTTTTGTTCTATGGTCTAATTACCATGTCCACTTCCTTTTGATGCTTATTGATGTTCTCTAATTGAAACATGTTCTTTCAGATCCTCTTCCTGGCTGGTGTGACATTGACCATTGGGCCAAAATCCGCTCTTGGTTTTTTCATGAAACCTCAAAATTTTAAGGTTCTGATGCATATCCCCTCTTCTTTCCCTCTCTATCTCTCTCTCTCTTCCTCCCTCCCTCTCTCTCTGAGTCTCCTCTGTCTGACTGTGCTACTCAATGATTGTTCATGTTTACCCAGGGGACGATATCATTTGGTGTTGGCTTCTTCTTGGTTATTATTGGCTGGCCTATTATTGGCATGATTTTGGAATTATATGGATTCATTGTACTTTTCAGGTCTGTTGATGCAATAAATTTCTGCAATTTATAGCTTTCTAGTGTTTGAATGACAACTGATTGGTTGATTATCTTTGCAGTGGCTTCTGGCCTACTCTGGCAGTTTTTATACAGAGGATACCTGTTCTTGGTTGGGTTTTGCAACATCCACTCTTTAGATCGGTAAATCATCTGACTATATCTGAGCATGGTAGTTCCAAGCTTTGGCAATAAAATGACTTGTTTTAGACCTAGCATACTGATGATATATCTATTTTATGAAATTTCTCTGTATCTACTACTCCCTCTGTCCTAATTTCATTATTTGTTTGCCCCATTGCTAATATATGGGTCAAACTTTGACCATTAATTCTCGTTAATATATAAGAGATTATATAGTCAAGTGGGGCCTTGTTGGATTCATCTCGTTGTATTTTTATATGTGTTTAAAACGCTTCTTGGAGATTGTGATAAGTCAAATGGGGCAAAAAATAAGGGACGGAGGGAGTAACTAAGAAAAAGTGTTGGTCTGCTTGATTGCTGCTAGATATTGTGAAGCCTTTGTTTTCAATTTTTTTCATTACCACATTCTGGATGCAGCCAGTGCAAGACTTAATGGTTTCATGCTATGTTTCAGGTCCACATAACCTTTAGAATTAAAGTCAATACTTAATAGGTTAACTGTGCCAAAGTTGATCAAATCACAACTTCACAAGGCCAAATACAGGGTTCGATAAAAGAGAGAGAGGAAATTAAGAAACTGAATGGACCCTGAATCATAAAAAATTGGTTTACAAAGTCTTCATAATGGGGTAGTTGTTTTGGTCACTTTTGTATGTGCATTCACTGCATTGCATGTGACTGAGAAAGAATCAAGATTAAATAAAATTTAAAAAGTTGCAAGTTCCATTGTCAAATTGTTTCCAAACTTCCATCTTAGTTTACTCTTGAAAAGTTGAAAGACCAAGTCTCACTATGAGCTTAAAATGATCTTTTTTCTATATATAATCTGATTGGGTACAATGGTTTGGGTGTCTGATCGCTCTTTTAGAGGTTTTACATGCCTACACTGCAAGGAGACAAAGAAGTTGCTAAAGAGTAAAGATGGAGGTCCTAGAGCTGATAGTGATACTGGTTATGCCATTCAGTTGGGCGGTCTATTTGAGGACTTAAATAATTGCTTCTATTCAAAGGGTGTCTCTTTGTAGGAGTTAGAAAGCTTGAACAGGCTTGTGTTTTAATTTGTTGCTTATTAGGTCAATGATGTAGCCTTGACTGCTGTGAATTCACCATCCAAACCTCCTCATTTTCTGAACTAGATACACACTTACACAGACTCTGCAGCCTTAATAGATAGGAAAGAAAGGTAAAAAAGTCTATTAACAGCTTAAGCCAATCGCCAAATTGTTGGGTTTTGGTGGTTGTGTGAGAAGAGTCACATTTTATAATTTGTCACTGAAAACACATATGAAAATGGACATCTGCTAGATGTGTTCATCTTATTTATTTATGTTATACATTTTTTTATGCTTGCTGGTTGAGAATTAGGAATCCTTTACTTATAACTTTCTACATGGCTTGTGGTTAATTAATTTATCACACACATATACCATTTGACCTTATGTTGCTTATTTCTGTGTGACAGTTGATAGACAGATTCCGCGGGAAACGGGTACCAGTATAAAGCTAAGGATGAATGGGAAAAAGTGAAGAAGCTGAATTAGCATGTTCTTTGTAAGTGTTTTGGGAAGGGGGGAACTGTTCAAAGGTGTAATATTTTTAGATTCTTTCAGTAGAAAGTGTGTCATCTTTTGTTTGGCTCACTTGTTCAAGGTTTTGCCCACTTTCTTAGGAGTTTCCATTATCTCTTTGTACAGATCAAACTAACAAAAGCACATTTTTGTGTGGTTAACTACATTACTTTATATAAAAGATAGTTGTATATGTTTTGTTGTAGAATAATGTTCCAACTTTTGTAACTGCTCAACAGTGGAAAAATTATGTTTTCATATCAATTTCCTGCCCTCATGTACTAAAAGTGACTTGGTCAGTGAGAAATATTTTTGTTGAGTTTCACATTGGGTTTCTTATATGTATTAATGTAAATTATATGTTAGTTTAAGGTATCAATAACTTAAATCGGCGAAGACCAGAGATGGGTACTACTTTGTGCTTAAATTTGGGAGGCATTATTAGCGAATATTGATAACAGAACACAATTCCTTAGATAAGTGGAGAAACATAAAGTTAATAGAGACTATTTATGTTACTTATTGAAGCTAGCTTAAGACCATGAGTTCAAATCTGAGCTAATTAGGTCGATAATACACAGGATTATGCCACACAACTGACTTAAGGTATTGTTCTCCCTTGTAAGAGGAGATTCATTACTCTCCTCCTTGAAGCCTGCTTCACATTTGTTAGTTGCTTGCATTATTTCACTTACCCATAAATATATAGCATCATGCTTCTTTCCAGACACATATTCGCCTATGCTCTCTTCCAATTTTATGTTCATTTCTAGATATAGCTCCATGCAGGACTCCAGACAACTGCTGCAGCGAAGATCAGACTCATTTTTGGTTAACATGCCACTTATGATCCAAAATGTGTTGGTGGCATTTTCTAGGGCTAGCTCCAGAGCAATCAGCCCAAGCCCTGCGAGGTCAGTGGAATGGCTAACAGGAACTGCAGCAAGTGATGAATAACAGAAGTCATAGCTGTAGTTGGATGAAGTTTTTTGGGCACATGTTTCGCATGTTTTGTTGATTATATCTGCTGATATATTTTCTGTAGGGGTGACACATTGAAGGGGAACTAGTAGAGAAAATATGAAGACAAAAGAGTAGAGGAAGATAGAGGATGATCTCATATTTCTGTTGCTTTGTTATTTTTCAAACAAAGATATGTGTCCATGTATATATAGTAGTATGCATGAAGCTTATGGTAGAACCTTTTCTGATTTTCTGAAATTATGTGATGTGGTTGGAGTCGATGGACCCCGTGCTTAAGTAACGAAAAAGATTTAACATGCGGTATTAGCTATTCATTTCTCCTCTCAGAGACTAGAGGGTGGAGACTGGAGAGGATGTTCAGTCACACACATCAGCACAATTTCCGACACACGCACGCAGTGCCTGTTTGGGTCGTTATCTTCTACTAGGAAGGTTCCTTGGTAGTACTTTGAAAATGGGTACATTTCTGAAGTCGTAGAGGGTTGATGTAGGGAATAAGCCTTTTACGAAGCTTCCTTTTCTTGTTTCATGTGGAATTATTGATATTTTTCCTGTCCTATGCAAACTACTCCCTGGTTAATTATGACATGAAATTTGTCTAGTGAAAGTAAAAAGAATTCGCAGTCATGAATCATGCTGCTTAGTTGGCCTTAGAGACATTCGGAAATCTGGTAGTAAGTAAAAAAAATCAGGATTTAGAGACATTCGGAAATCTGGTAGTTCATAGCTACATGATACTTCGTATTAGAAAAGTAAACTTCATTTATTTTGTGGTTAATCAAAAGTCCTGTTCGCATTAAACCTTGGCATTGATTTAATTTTTTAGCAATGCTTATTAAAATCGTCCGTGCCTTTTGTAGGGAGGAGAGGTATGGTAGAGACAGGAAAGGCTTGATAGATAGAGTCCATAGAGACATGCAACTTTGTTTTTTGTTTTTTGAGGAAAGAGACCTGCAACTTAAGTTGTCTTTAGTCAAAATAAATCAGAAGCAAATGAAGAATGATCAAGGCTTACAACTGATGTAGAGCTTCTGGAAGGGCAACGGTCATAAAATGGTGCAAATGGTAGAATTGCTCTCCAAAACCAACATATGAAGTATATTATTTGATTGATGCATCGCATAAATAATAAGAATGCATCAGAGCACCAAACTTGAAATGCAAATCATATTCATAACCATATCAAACAAAATGACTTCAATATTTCAAGATGATTGAAAGTTACATTATTATCACAACATCCAAAGCTCACAATGAAATTTATCTCTGAGTCTGGGTATTACACCTCAAATGTACGACGCTAACAAAAATAGAACGACATTTGGAGAGCATAATAATGGGGGAAAAGCTTCATGATTCAGAGCTCCTTCCCGTCGTCATCAGTTCGGAGGACTGTCAAGCAAAAAAAACAGCAAAGAGTGAGTATAACGGAAACTACAAAGTGCTATTCTATACAAGTAGATTCTATCACCTTATATAGCCATAAGAAGGCAACAACAAGCCAATGCTAGGCTGCTAGCACAAGAACATTCTAATAGGCATGATAATAGTGTATAAAGAACTCAACATCAGCATACAAATATAAGAATAAGAAGAAAAGACTACACAAGTTATTTGGAGACAAAATTTGTTTTATTCACAATAAAAAAAACATTTTGGTTCTTCGTCAGGGCTGCTTGGAACCAAGTGGTTGTAGGAGAAAAGTTACAAAGAAAGATGGGTTGAGATGAAGGTGGCAATAAATTAACCCCAACAAGTAGGTAATACTTTTCCCCGTCCTTCACTCCCCCAACCAAGGCCACTTCAATGAAATCTATTACCTCTTCTTATAGTATTTAATAATCCCCTAATTGATTACCCCTTGCCAGTATAAAAAGGGTCGGATAGCAAACCCTCAGTAAGTAGGTGTTTCACTAAATCATTGACCAATTAGCTAGTAGCTACGCCTAAAACAGAACAGAAATTCTACAAACTAGAGACTTTGTTCTTTGGCATTTCCATAAAAGGGAAATAACTACCATAAGAGAGGGGGGGGTCTGGCTCTGTAGCCGGGCAGGCGAGCATTAGAACTTCAGCCAAACATGTAAACTAAAAAAGAGATAGTTTCTAATGACGGTATTAACATGTAAGCACCCCTCAAATTCTTTACTATTGTCTGTGTAAGTAAATCACCAACAATGTCAGCTACAAGAGACTAAACAAACAAATAAATGGCATGCTCATCAAAATAAAGTTTAATATGTCCAAAGACTTGCCCTTGTAAATATCATGGAGATAATTGAGAGCATCTATAATTGATGCCTGGAAACTAGACCAGTTAAAGCAGGATTATCAACAGGTCAAGTTATCGCCATCCCCAGCCGCAAAGTTTGCACATTTATCACCAAGCTTCAAGATGCAGAATCCCTCCCAACAATATAATTATGCAAATCGGAGGATCTTTCTATGCTACACTACCATGCATCAATTATTTAATAAGCTCAAAACCACAAAAACTTCTTATACTCCAGTAAATGCACTGCAATTATATTACATTAGATTAATACACAGCCACTCAAAAATACTTGCCACCATTCCACATAAATTCTCTATAAAAAAAAATGCCACTTCACCTTTATGAGCCAAGTAACAGCAGGCAACTTTTCAATGCAAAATTCCTCAATCAATATAGAAAGAAAGCACAAAGTTGCAACCAAAAAAAAAACACCTAATTTATGTGATATATACAATTTAGATAGAAAAATGGCCGCAGTAAAACTAGAGTAGGCAATCATGTCATGTCGTGTTCGTGTTAAAAATTAAATGGGTTGGGAAACCTCAACACTAACCTGACTCATTAAATAAAATTGTTGTATCATGTTGACCCGTTTAATTAAACATGTCGAAAACCCTTGACACTAACCCACTTTTTTGTGTCCAATTCGTGTCATGTTATACGAAAAACATTAGTCTCATTCTATAAATTTATCAAAACTTCCATAATTTATTAGGTTTTTTTTCTTAGGCAGGTTAAGTCGACTTAATTCATGTTTAGGAATCCCAACACTAACCCAGCCTGTTTGAGTAAACATGCCGTATTGATTCATTTAATTAAACGTGTGGAAAACCCTTGACAATAACCCAATATTTTTGTTATTGGTTCGTGTCGAGTTGTGTCAACTTTTGCCAGCTCTAGGCAGAATAGGGCAAGAAATGGGGATTTCGATTCAAGGAAGAAAAAGGGAAAAATCAACCAAATGATCACATTATTCAATATAACCCGCAGTCAATAGAACACATTCACATTCCATAGATCAACTATTCGATGTTCACGACACCAATTTCAACAATTGAATAACCTAATCGTCTAAATAAATTACAGTGAACAAATTTGTTCGAGAATGAGCAAATGAGCAAAAAATTCAAACAAAGTTGACCACATATGGATGAAGCAAAATGTAAATCATATGGAAGAAGAAAAATGTAAACCATAATCAATCATCATATTAGAAACCCAGAAAAACCCAGAAACCCTAGATCTCGATTGATTGAATCAGAACAGATAACACCAATAAAATTAGGGGAAAACTAGAACAATCAAAATCGATAAATTGAAAGTGAGCAAAACGAAGAATTGAAAGAATCATACTTGGCTTCTGGGGTTTGCCATCTTCGAATTTGGAGATGGAGTAAAGAACTTTCTCCCTAGCAAGAGCTTCAGATTTGAAGGGCTCCTTGAGACAATTTCTGACCAGATTAGCGCAGATGTTTGAGTAGCTAATGTATGTCATCCCTGCTGCCCTCCAGAATGGAACTGCTGCGCTGCTGCTCATCTTCAATTCTACTTTCTCTCTCCTCTTTCTTCTTCTTCTTTTTCTGGAAAAAATGGAACCTTTCTGTGCAAAAGACCTAGAAATTTCAGTGAAAATGAGCAGTGGTTGATGATTGTTTTTTCAAGTTGGTTTTGTTTTTGGGTTTCAGTTGAGCTTAACGGATGTTCTGGGTTGGGTATTGGACCAGTATGTACATGGCCCAACTTAAGAGGGGTGACACATCTTGAAAGTTAATTACGAGTACGAGTTTCTCGATTCACTTTTAGTTGTAACGTTTGAAAATTTACACTACTCATCTATTTGTATTCATATTACTTCGTATTACTTCCGTTTCATATTATTTGTAACGATTTGACAAAAATTATACAAGAAAAATGTCTAATATTTGCAAATAAAATAAAACGAAGGTAGTATATCAATTTATCACCTTTGTTGATTTATATGTTGAACAAAATACAGTCGTGTACAAATTTTTTAGGTTTGTCTCAATTTAGATTTTCATTATATCAAAGTTTTTTATATTTTTTTTTTGAAAGATCAAGGTTTTATACATACGTTAACTAAAGATATGAAATGTTAGAATTATACAATAGCAAGTATGAAATTCTAAACATTGCAAATAAATGTAAATGCATAAAATATAAAAAGACATTTCGTTGCTCAAATTAGCTTCCATGGTGTCACATTCCTATATCGGGTAATGTGTTAAATTACTTTCAAGCGTTCCAAAATTATTACTTGTAACCATCCGCCTTGAATTGGTTGTCAATTTATTATATCTGCCCAAGCATTATGTTTCACAATTAAGTTTATGACACTGACCTCCAAAATTAAATTATGGTGTACTAAGTCATTTTCATCACGGAGTTACTAAATATTGAATTTGCGCTCTTAAGTCAAATCATTTTGTTTGTGTATGCAAGAATTTGTAGTTTTTGGGGATTCTCTTTCTTAAATTCTATATTGCAACATTATAATTTGAACCTCTATACATAACTCATTAATTATTTGATAAGGTTATCTCAAATTGAAATCGAGGCCAACATCTGGAACTTTTATGATGTAAAAATCATCATTGAATGTTCTAACATTTATGTTAGAGTTAGATGGTTAGTCAAATAAGTTTATTTACTAAATTAAAGGAAAACATGTTCTCTTACAGAAGGTTTTGCGTGAGACCAAACTCACCGTGAGTCTAATATGCCTGACAACGATATTTTAATATATTTTTTTTGAGGGGGGAGATTAAAATTCATTAATAATAAGCCATACGGCACTTACATAAGAAATCGTAATCGTACAATACAAAGACCAATGAAACAATTTCAAGTTCGAAATAAAATAAACTACAATTGCACGCACAAAATGACTTTCTGATCGAAATACCCTTGAATCATATAACGCTGTCCTATGCAGCCTCTTGCAAGGGGGTCTGGCAATAAGCTGTAGTTTCTGACGTGAACCTTCATTGACTCAGAATCCTGTACTCCTCGACCTGAAATCAAACTTGTTGTCGTACACTTCACCATTGGCAATACAATCTCCGATTCAAACACAAACTCTAGCTTGGAAGCATAACCCTTTAGCCCAAACCAAAAGAAGATCAAACCAAAGCCCCATAGCCAAAAAACCCTGTTCAAATCCTGCACCAGAAGATCTGCACACCCCATAGCACACAAACGCACCACACAAGAAGAAAAAATAACAAACCCGAAAGAACAACACACACAACGACTAAAATAAAAAACAGAAAGAAAATTAAAAATGAGAACTACAAACGAAACCCTAGCAAACGACCCCCCAACCAATCCGAGTACCACCATCCAAGCACCGAGGTTCACCAACCCAACCCACATACCACCGTACAGGAAAGCCCGACTCGCAGGGACCCGCCCGAGAAGCCCAAACCCCACACACCCCTGAACCGCGGCAACGACGACTGGAAACACCAGACTGAGAACGGCCCTTCGCGAGGGACTCAGAGGGAGATAACTCTCCCTCCCTGTTCTCCTGCAAAACATCGCAACTACGGCCAAGGCGGTGGAGCAGAGACACGGCGGGGAAGCGAAAAATAAGAGCGGCGGCAAGCCGGCAATAAGGCTGGTGAGGAATAGCGGCGGCCGAAAAGGGGGAGCGGCGCAAATTGCTAGGTCGACCGAACAAAAAACCAAAGCGAAAAAAGAAAGAAACACCCTAAGGAGGTAGATCGGAGGCTCGCCGACGTTATGGCATGGGCAGTGAGCCGCACACCCGCCGGCGAGCCTCATGGTCGGAGCGATTTTGAGAGAGACGGTTGGGTTTTTTGGGGGAAAGAGAGAGCGCTCCAAGAAAAGATATATACAACGATATTATAATATTTGACAATGATATTCTAATATTTGGCAGTAATAATTTAACACCAAACAATATTAATCTAATATATGTCAATAATAATCTAATACCAAACAATAGTAATCTAATACTCGTACCTGACATTATTATCCGACAATGTTATTCTAATATGTCTGACAATAATATTCTAATATGTTTCTCTCCTCAACCTTTAGATTTTACATCATCTTTAACAAGCACTTACAATTCATCTTCATCCGACACCGTAAAGGATGGAAGTGGGTTGGACGTGGAGGAGTTTAATGACTCAGAGGGAGTTTTGGACGGCCCATTTTAAAGTGAAGGCGCTCTCGCTGCTGAGATCGACAACGGGTCAACGAGAATAGCGATTTTCCTATGAGGTTCGTCACTAGCGGTGGAAGTGGGTAACGAGGTGATGATTGTTGGATTTTCAATGGCTATTGGACGATTGAGATTTGGTTTTGATGGTGAATTCATTTTATTGAGAGTTAATGAATGAATGGTGTTGTGAGTGTCAGCGGCAAACTTATACTGATTTCATCTCACCCCAAAGTTTACCTATCATCCTGTTTCACAATAATTATCTATGCAAGCCCTACACTACATGCCCTAAATTTTCAAATAAAATCAAAGAAATCGGATAAATTTACACAGCCCTACTAGTACATTTATGGCCCCACCCCTTACATCACCATTTACCAATAATATCACCACATTTCCTCACTAACCAGTGACCACCATCTCCCAATAGAAAAAAAGAGTGTAAATCTAAGAGCATGAGCATTGGTGAGGTTACTCACCATTATCCACCTCACTTTCAACTATCTTTTTTATTTTATTTTTTCCAAATCATCTTCCACCTCACCTTCCACTATCATAAGCTACTAGTGTGAGTCACCTTATTTATTTATCTACAATGGTGAGGTTACTCACCATTCTCTCTCCTAACTACCCCATCATTTTCTCTTTCTCACTCTTGTTTTATTTTATATTTTTTAAAACATGTATTAATCTCTATTATTTATTTGTAATTTTTGAACTTACATAATTAATTAAAAAAAGTTAGACATTCTTTAGTGCAATATTAATAGTCATTATAAATAGTACAATATTAATAATCACTTATGTATGTAAATTGAAACAATTTTTTTTCTAATTTTTGAAATAAAAAGTACAAAAATAATACAATATATAAATAACATAGTTTATTTAGCAAAGACATCCATTAAAATTTAAAATACAATATTCATTAACAGCGACTTTTGTCATCTCTTCATTCGTTGCCGAAACGTCCCCATATATGTTTAACCAAGTCATTCTTTAGTGCAATATGGGTCTCCCTATCACGAACATTATTTCTATTTTCCATATAACCATTTAGATTGAGCCTATCCAATCGTCCATTTCTCACAGTAAATGGTTGGTTGTTGTTACTAGTTGATGATTCAGCTACATTTTGGGGTTGGTCATTGATAAATTCAGTTGCATCATAATGCAAATATCCATCTCGCTCATCTTCAACAATCATATTGTGCATGATAATACAAGCCATTACAATTTTCCATAAAATTTCGGTCGACCATGCTAGACTTGGTTGACGTATTATTGCAAATCGAGCTTGTAACACTCCAAAGGCACGTTCAACGTCCTTTCGATAACTCTCTTGCTTCTTGGTAAATAATTAGTGCTTACCAGTTTGTGGATGTTTGATTGCTGGGATAAATGTTGCCCATTTCGGATAGATACCGTCTGTAAGATAGTAACCCATATTGTATGTATTTCCGTTGACATTGAAGGTAACCTCTGGAGTTTTTCCCTCACATATATCAGAGAACACCGGTGACCGTTGGAGGACATTTATATCATTATAAGAACCCGGGGTTCCAAAAAAAGCGTGCCATATCCACAAGTCTTGCGAAGCAACAGCCTCCAAGATAACCGTTGCTGTTTTACTTCTACCTTGATACATTCCTTTCCATGCACGCGGACAATTTTTCCACTCCCAATGCATGCAATCAATGCTGCCCATCATACCAGGAAATCCACGAACATAACTTTCACGGAGGAGCCGTTCAGTATCCATAATATTTGCCCTCCTCAAGTACTCTGGTCCAAATTGAGCTACAACCCCTTCAACAAAGTGAGCCAGACCTTCTCTTGCAGTACTTGATGCGATTTTAAGATACTTGTCAACTGCATCGGCAGATGTACCGTATGCTAACATTCGAATTGCTGCAGTGCATTTTTGGAGGGGGGATGCACCTAGTCTTCCGGTGGCATCCGGCCTTTGTTGAAAGTAAACATCACTTTCGCTTAGTTGATTAACAATGCGTGTGAACACATTCTTACGCATGCGAAACCGTCGACGAAACATATTAGCAGGGTACAATGGTTGGGGACTAAAGTAATCGTTATATAACTGAATATCAGCATATTCTCGATCTCTTGGTACATACCACCTTTGGTACGTAGGTTCAAGAGTGAATGGGACCTGATAAGTTGATGTTACAAAGGGAACAACAGTTGTATTGATCGCTTCCTCGATCAATTCATCTTCTTTTTGCCTTTGGGTAATTGATTCATGCCATTCTACATAGTCGTTCACCATGTAATCAAATAACCCTAAACTAGATGAACTAGAAGAATTTGAATCAGAGTTCATTTTGTAATATTTTTTTGTAAAGAGGAAGAGAGAATTTTTTTTTTTTTTTTTTTTTTTTTTTTGTAGAAATAATACTTATATTTATGTATTGAAATATGAAGTGTATCCCCTTATTTATAACTTCTAAAATAATTCAAAAAAATGACTATTTCTGATAAGGTTTGTAGATATATGAGATATGATTTTCGATAAGGTTTGCAGATTTTCTACATTGGTAATTCGTTGAATGGATAAACAACTCAAAAAGATTACATTTCTGATAAGGTTTGTAGATTTGTTTTGTATGACAATTCAATGTATGGGTACACAAAACAGTAAAAGAAGAGATTCTCTGATATTATTGCTTACAGATTTCTTGTCAACATGTGACATTTCAATGTAGCATTGCATGTCGGTCATATTTTACAACATTTCTCATTATTGAGCTAATTTTATATTATTATTATTTACAAGATATAATTTATTGGGTAATAAACAAAGAGCAATTATATTTATTAAAACATTTACTTCAATGCATTAAGAAAAAACAACAAAATATTACAAAGGAAATTGTTAAAGCAACATAAGTAACATACATTACATCAATTAAAACTAGAATAATACACATGTAGTTTGACTACCTTAATTGATATTTAAACTAGCCTAGAAGATGTGCAAATTCTTGCTTTAATTTTAGATATATTTCTTTTTCTTCTTCAGATAGAATTGGTTTTGCAAGGAGGACACTAAATAGCTTGAACCTTTTTTCTTCTTGTTTCTTCCGAGCTTTGATGGCATCTCGCTCCTTCTGATACTCTAGCATACGTTCTGCTACATCAATTCGCCTTTCATCAACATCTTTGTGTTGACCTTTCATTACATTCATCTCTGATAGGGCTTGAGTAAACGACTCTAAATTTTTAATTTCAGAACTACCCCCAATTTGAATTCCAGAATTGAAAACAGATTTACCTTTTCTTTTGGATGCTTTCACCCCGTCAGGACGACGGCGACGAGTATGAGTTTTTGGACCTTCATCAGTTGGAGTATCTGGCTCTGATCTTTTCAAATTGCCACCATCACTAGAAGGTAAATCCAGGTCTATTGGCTTCCATTTGTCTAACTCTCTCAACATCTCCCAACAACCAATTAAACCAAAGCGTGAACCATTACATGTTCCTCTATATATTTCATGAGCTTCGGTCATTTCATCATGAGTGTTGGTACCACTCATATATCTTTTTTTTGCTTCACTATAGCAACCAACCCATATACTCACATCTTTATTTATTCTTGCCCACCGACTTTTAATAGATCTTAAAGTTCTAGGGCGCATGGTGGATGGATTTTCTTCTCTAGCTTGATCATAAAGGGATTTTTATGTTCCTCCACATCACCGCCAAACTTTGATCAGTTGCCATCTCTAGATCTTCAACTGCACACTCTACCCAAGCCGAAACGAGGGCATCATCTTCTTTTGCACCCCATTTTTCTGCCCTTACATTAGTGTTGCTCCCGTGGGGACCTTGAACAACATCATCATCACCAACACCATCAGCATCATCATTGGCTTGTTGTTGAACCCTAGGATCATCGGGTGGGGTTAAGTTACTGCTTCTTTCTCCCTCGGGAGTTGCTGGACTGTTTTGAATTATTTGGTTCACACCATTTACTTGCGACATTGGGAACATAAAACCAGAAGGATAATTTTGGGGAATTTGTTGCAAATTTTGGTTTAAAAATTGGTTTGAGAATTGTTGGGTGTAATTTTGGTTTGGAAATGATTTGGGAATTGTTGTACAAATTGTTGGTTTGGATGCGTTGGTTGGTTAGGAATGTTATAAAATAACATCCTTTGAGCATTTGGATTATAAGGGTTATTTGGATCAAAATGAAAATTACTTTGAAAATTTGGAGAATTGGAAGATTGGTTATTTGGATTATTTTGAGAGGAACCACTTCCGTAATTAGGATTATTAAGATCCATAATCACAAATTATTTTATAATGAAAAAAAGAAGAGTGAAATTTTAAGGGTGAGAAACTATATCAATATTAGGCTCTATTTATAGATAAAATTATAATTATACCGTTGGTGAAATTATTTTTTGGAAATATGTTTAAATGAAGTGAGAAACTAACGTTGGAGCATTATAGCAATACTAACTGTTAAAAATTAATATAGCCTTTGCATTCTACAGCAAATAGCAAACATTAAACACAACTTGCAATATTCATGACAAGTGTCATGTGATAATTGGACCTAAAAAAAAATCAGATTCTTTGGTTTAGAAAGTCAGCAACTCAAGCTCATACTCAGTGCCGCTTCAGACGTTGCTACTTCATACTGTGAGTAAGTAATGAGTCAGATATTTCAATGGTAAGCTAACTCAAAAAAAGTGAGAGATAGTTCTGAGGAGGGTACTGACTCACCATTGTACATGCTCTAAAAGCACGTGAGTAACGCGTGACCCACCTCACCTTATTTTCATCGAGGTCACAAAAATCCAACGCATTTTCTCTCTCCTCATGACGTCTCACAACACCAGCATCCTCCTTTCTTTTCATCTTCCCCAATTTTATTATTCTTCCCTTTCCACCAAACCCTAACCCTAACTTTCTCTCTCCTCTTTCTCACACTTCTTCATCTTCTTCTTCCTTCATTTCCACCATTGTTAATCTCCCCCTCTCTCTCCTCTTAATGCGACTGTAATTCCGAAACCCTAATTTCCATCAATCGCCATGGATTCAACCCCGAGCAATCTCTACGAAACTGCATCGCAACCCGATACTGGAACCGACGATGCTTACACTTTCCTCGAATTCAACACTCAGGGTGCTGGAGATGATGATGATGACGACTTCTCTTACCCGCAATTCAACGAGCTTTCGCAACCGATTCGTGCTTCGCCTTCGACGTCGTCGTCTTCTCCCGCTTGGCCTACTCCTTCTGATTCCATTGTTGCGGCGGAAATTAAGGAACCCCATCAAGTTTCTGAGGCTCATTCGGCTTCTTCATCTGGTGGGCCTAGTAAGGGTCGTGGAGGGGGTGGTGGGGTTCAGGGTGTGGCTTCTGTTGTGGACTCGTTGGCTGCTGGAATGAGTGGGTTGAACTTTGAGGAGACGGCGGGTGATGATGATGGGTTTGTTGATCAGTTTGGGAAGGGTGTTGGGGATTTCTCTGAGCATGCTTGTAGGTATTGTGGTGTTCAGAATCCTGCGTGTGTTGTTCGGTGTAATGTACCGTCTTGCCGGAAATGGTTCTGTAATTCCAGGGGGAATACTTCTGGTTCTCATATTGTCAATCATCTGGTGAGTTTTCCTTTTCTTTTACCTTTTTTTTTCTCTTCTGGTTTTTTATATTGAACATTCATGGTTATGACTTGTGTGATGGTTATTGAATTTTGTGTTATTCTAGTGTTTCGAAACAGTATTAAGGTGTATTACTGTAGGATGCTAGGGAAATGTAAGGCACCTTTATTTAATAGTGGTTTTGGATTGCATCTGGCAGATGATTTTTACTTAGAATGATTGAAGGGTAGAGTGTGGGAATGATTTTAATGTTGCAAAGGATGTTTTAGGAAAATCATAGATAATAGGACAATGTGGCAAAATTGTGTTTGATTTTAGATGGATGGAGTGGTTTAATTTTAGAAGTGGGGATGCCTTACTGTGTATATTAAAATTTGAGTGCATTTACCTTTTAAGAACTGGTTTGGTGTAGCTTGAGAAATGGTGCTGTCTACTTGATGCTGATGATTATACATCTACTTTGTGAGGCGAAAGTTGTTTTTGCTTAGCTTGAGACCTGTGGCTGTTTGTCATACTAATGAAGCGATTAAGAATGGCTGGAGCCTTTGGCTATCAAAGAAAGGGGGTGAGGGAAAGGATGTTTTTGTGTAGCTTGAGCCTTGTGGCTGACTATGATTCTAGCGGATAGCGTGCAAATGTTGTAAATATTGGTAACCAAGTCAATAGAAACATTTTTGTCTTGTAGCTATAATAGAAATGTAGAACATTCTAGCTGAATTGAATTAGGATAATATTGCCAGCCTATGTGTTAAACACTAGCAATGACTCTGAAACACAGTGTTTACTTGGGATTTTGAGCTGTAGGCTATAGGATCTGTTTTTGGATGAGTTTTGGACTTTTCAAGGTTATGTGATATTATGGTACTGGCATGTGAACTGCTAAGCAGGGTATTTAAGTCTAGTGGGGCCTTTTTTGGTTGTAATGAAGTGTACTTCATTGTGGTTCTGTATTAGGTGATACCCTATGACTTTACGTCAGGCAGATTGGATATGTCAGCATGTTACTACCCTGGTTAGGCATTGTATAATGGTACCAGATTTGGTTGTTCGGTTCTTTATCAGGCAATGCTTTACAACCTTTTACAGCTTGGAGATTATTGCCTGGCAAGTTAGTGAGCTGATACATGTGTTTGGATACATTGCAATCGGATGAGATGAACCCATGCATTACAATAGGAATTTATTTTAGGAGGATTTGCAGTTGGACTAAATGCCAATTTGCCAAATATGCATGTAATCCTGACACAATGAGACTTCATATTCGTTATGTGGAACTCTGAAAAGACCTTTAGATGGGATGTAAATGAAGATTCTGTATGTTTTGGTCTGAGTGGCATTTTGTTTTGTGTATCTATAGCTGGGAAGGAATTGAAGAAATCTGTATCCAAAATATCTGACAAGCTGTTATATATGCTGATCCACGATGCGATGTTATTCCAAGATGTGTCTTCCACTTTTTATCCTGCTATTGGAAGTATTGTTTGAATAAAAATTCCCATGTAGGAGATAAATGGTGGTGATCTCATATTGTCATTAGTATTGGTAAAGCTTGCATGAATTGTTCATTGAACTGTAGCTCACTATGGATTGTACTTCAGTATGCTGTGCAAGCGTCAGATGTGGTCTCATTTTTCTCTTTAATTTCTCTTTGTTGCGGAAGCCGGGAAGGGTATTGATTCAAATTATATACCATTTGTTTGTTGTAAAACAATTACTACAAGCTTTCTTATCTGATCGTTGATAGAGTGTGTTGTCATGGTGTTACTGTAACCTGTTGCGCATGGTATTGTTAAGATCAGGAGTCATTCACCCCTTGTCAAGTTTGGTTTTCTTTGCTGAAGGTAGATTGGGAAAGAAGAGTTCATTTGTGGCTCGTAGTGTTGTTTGTTTCTATATTAATTATGGAACTTGACTTTCCTATCTCCGAGTTAGCCAATCCTGAATTGCATGTTGATTTAAGTAATGTTTAGTGAAACTTAGGGCTGCTTCTTGATTTATATATATTTTAAAATTATGTGTTGGTACAGGTACGTATAATCAAATTTTTTTATTTTGCGAACTTTCTTACCAAGTTCTGTAAATAACTCTCATATCATAGAAGTTAAATTTATCCTGCTTAATTGAGCATGGTTCGGATTTTGGTGAAAGGGTTATGAACAGAAAATATAATGCAGTGAAGTTGTATAATTTCCCAGAGAACTGATTTTTAGATATGTGACAAAATCTTAGGTGTAATATGTGTTGTAACATGGTTATTGATGGTGAACCATGAACATAATGTTAAACTGCTTTGATGGAGTATTGGGAATGGAAGAAGGGGAAGGATATTATACTGGAATGAATTTGAACTGATTTTTAGATATGTGACAAAATCTTAGGTGTAATATGTGTTGTAACATGGTTATTGATGGTGAACCATGAACATAATGTTAAACTGCTTTGATGGAGTATTGGGAATGGAAGAAGGGGAAGGATATTATACTGGTATATGCATGATCTCCAATGAAGTGAGGAGAATGAATTTGAACTCATTTGACTTCTTTTGGTCTGTGGATGTAGTATACAATATACTACCCAGATAGTTAACATCCCCAAAAATACATGCAGATCTTTAGGCCTAAATCTCAAATTCTAAACAGTTCTTCTATACGTAGTGAACAGCTTAGCTTTAGCAGCCGGTAAGGTATTTTTTACAGTTGTAATTGTTCTCTGGTTTATAGTTATACACAGGTCAAGTGTGTTTTTCGTCCTCTTACGTTTTAATTATACATCGTAGATTAGTCCTAGCAACTTCAGTACATGATTGTGTGGTATTCTTTTCCTTCTAAATACCTTTTGATGTTTTACATGCACTTAACAGGTAAGTTGAGTGTCTTAACAAGTTATTCTGAATGACTGACCTTCTTGGTGGTAAAGTCTTATTTTGAAATATATATTAGACAATACTATTTCTTTTCACTAAATCGCTCTTCAAAATTGATCCTTTGCAGGTTCGAGCTAAACACAAAGAAGTCTGTCTGCATAAAGACAGTCCATTGGGAGAAACAATTCTTGAGTGTTACAATTGTGGTTGCCGTAATGTTTTCCTACTTGGATTTATTTCTGCCAAGACCGAGAGTGTAGTTGTTCTTCTTTGTAGGGAACCGTGCTTAAGTGTGAATGCATTGAAGGACATGAATTGGGATTTGAGTCAATGGTGTCCTCTAATTGATGATCGCTGTTTCCTTCCATGGCTTGTTAAGGTAAGTAATGTTCTTATTTATCAGGGAGGTTAAATGTGAATATTTTTTTCTTATTTATTGGTTGCCTTTTGCAGGTTCCGTCTGAACAAGAGCAACTTAGGGCCAGACAGATTAGTGCACAGCAAATAAATAAGATTGAAGAGCTATGGAAAACAAACCCTGATGCATCTTTGGAGGATCTTGAGAAACCTGGTGTAGATGATGAGCCTCAGCCTGTTGTTTTAAAATATGAAGATGCTTTTCAGGTTTCTGAAGTTTTCCTTGCTTCCTGCTCTTCTTGGAAGGCAGGAAAACTGTGCTTTTTTCCTTTTTTTTAGAGAGGGTGGGGGTGGGGGTTCTGATGATGTGAGAGGACCTTTTTCTTATGAATTATACGTCTACATTTGAATTTTTGTCTTATTTGTTTAAATTTAAAAGCAATTTGATTTCCAATCATGCCAAACCGTGGTAAGGTGAAGTGGTTGTTCACACTGTCTTTTGTGAAATAAGGGGGGGGGGGGAGGGTCTAAGTATAATTAATGTGCAATGACCCTTTGAAGTTGTCCTTTTGGGTGCATATTAGTTATCAGACATAAATTTGTTTAGTTTTTTAAAAAATAGATAGCTGTTTGAGTTATTTGATCGTTTGAATATTCTTTGTATATATATCTGGTTCTATAATTCTATTGTTTATTTGCAGTATCAAAATGTATTTGCCCCGCTCATCAAGCTTGAAGCTGATTATGATAAAGTGAGACTCTTGTCATCTGTTTAATTTTTTGTGCCCTGCTCCTGTGTTCTGTATTTATGTTTTAGAAATTTTTTTGTTTGTCTTTTCATATTCATTTAATGATCACCTGTCTTGGATGCCCTGCAGATGATGAAAGAATCTCAAAGCAAGGACAATCTCACAGTGCGGTGGGATATTGGTTTAAATAAGAAGCGTGTTGCATATTTTGTTTTTCCAAAGGTGTTTTTTTTTTAATTTATTTATCTTTGTGTAGTTCAACTTTTGTCCACAGTCCTTATGGATTAATACTTTTAATACTTTTGCATTTATGAAAAGCAGGGGCGTCATTTGTTTAAGTTTCTGTAGCATGTGACGTTTTCTCATTCACTTCTGTTATTATATCATGTGTCTAAACGCGTGATATATGGTTTTTCTTTAGGAGGACAATGAGCTGCGTCTTGTACCTGGTGATGAGTTGCGGCTACGTTACTCAGGAGATGCTGCTCATCCTGCATGGCAGTCAGTTGGTCATGTGGTAATCACCATATCTCTTGTTGTCTAAGAAGTTACTTTTCTTTGATTTGAGTTTGCTCTATGCTGGTTTTCTTGGGAGAAACTTTCCTAGACCTAATTTTGATATAACCTTCCAACCAGTATTAGATGAAGTGTTCACTTGCAATGTTTTGTTTTGTGCTTTCAGATTAAGTTGACTGCACAGGAGGAGGTGGCACTTGAGTTACGTGCGAGTCAGGTGATAGTCTTTTATATTTTGGCAATTTGCTAGGGTTCTACATCTGTGGGTTCAAGTTCTCAACCTCAATCTTCTTCGTTGATTTCAGGGAGTTCCAGTTGACATAAATCATGGTTTTAGTGTTGATTTTGTTTGGAAGAGCACAAGCTTTGATCGCATGCAGGGTGCCATGAAAACCTTTGCAGTGGATGAGACTAGTGTCAGTGGGTGGGTTTACCTTTAAATCTTTAATCTGATTCCACTTTTAGCATGTATTTAATTTGTGAGTGGGTTAACATTGAAACTGTAGATGGGGCTAGCTCAGAATCTTTGGTTTATGGGTCGCATAGGGGTCAAGACTGTCACAAAAGAATATGAAGCTTTCTTTTTAATTTAGGATGTTATTAACTAGCTAATCCTGTTACATATTCCTTGGACTTGATTTAAGAATTTATCCTAGGATGCATTATGTCATTAGATATCTATATTTTACATAATTTTATTAATTAATTGCATTATCTTCATTTGACTGATTTTCTTATTTTATTGTTTAATGTGTGTTATGACTTAAATTCATGCTTTAAGTTGGCTGTGTTGGTTCTGTTATATTGCTGAGGTGAATGGTAGTGTGTGGAATCGTAAAAATTTGTTAGTATTCAATTTGTTTCCACTTTTGTTGCTTGACAAATTTAAGTGTCTTTGAATTTGATTTAGGTATATTTATCACCATTTGTTGGGACATGAAGTTGAAATGCAGATTGTTCGAAATACTTTGCCTCGTCGATTTGGCGCTCCAGGCCTTCCAGAGCTCAATGCATCTCAGGTTTTCTTTCCCTGTGTTTTACAACTATTCTTGTAGGTACATGTCATAGTATTCCTTCCGAACTTAATGCCCCGTTCCAAAAAATTCTGTTTAATTTTTTTTATTTCCAAACCAAGCTTTGAGATCCTATGTTATTGACGATCATTCTGTCAAACTATTTTTTAGTGTTCTTTAGTGTAGGCATTGTGTTGGTAATTCTGGACGATTTTGCCGGTTTTGTATTTAAGATGATATCCAAGCAACAAGGCTTTCGTCTAGCTTGTCTTTTTTTGTTGCATCAGGTGGTATAGCTGTTGATATTTTGAATTTATCTTTATTTATTGTTAGGTTTTTGCTGTAAAGAGTGTCCTTCAAAAGCCTATCAGTTTAATTCAAGGACCCCCTGGCACTGGGAAAACGGTTACCTCTGCTGCTATTGTGTATCACATGGCCAAACAAGGACAAGGACAGGTATTAGTTTTGGCACTGACTTCTGTATTTTTTGTATTGGACAATCTTTTATTAATAGGTTGTTGAATTTTCCTTCCTCTGAAGGTGTTGGTTTGTGCACCAAGTAATGTGGCTGTAGATCAATTGGCTGAAAAGATAAGTGCTACTGGTCTGAAGGTATTTTGTCTTTCTCTTTACTTATCTTAACAATGATAATATTTAAAATCATGGAATTGTCTGTTGGTGTGTAGGGTGTACTGACTTACACTACTTCTCATTGTTTATACATCTTTGGGACAACATGCACTCCGTCAGAAAATGTCTATTGTTCAAGATTTCTTGTGTTGCATCTATTGTTTATAAATTATGTCTTAAATGCAAATTTGTTGCTCCTGTCAAACTCTCATTCTTTCTTAGTGTTCCAGGCTTAATTTGTGATGTTCCTTAGCTTTTGTAAATACATGCCCATCTTTAATACCTTGGTATCTCTTGTAAGAACAAAGTAGATCTACTGTTAAATTCATCAAGGGATATAGATCATGAGCTACACCTTGAATATGTGAGTGTCATGTATTGAGATGGATGTTTAGGAACACATTATGGGATGGAATTCAGGAATTAGATCTTTGGAGGAAAGATGAAGTGTTTTTTTTTTTTTTTCCATATATTTATTTATTTTTTTTGACGAAAAGATGAAGTTGTGGATATTGAGGATAAGATGAGGGAGAACTATTGTGGAATAGTATTCGGAATGTAGATAATTGGATAAATGTTGGAGTTCCGGATGAGATTTAAGAGGATTTACTAATTTGGTTTGGGCATGTGAGACATTGACCCTGGTCGCCCCTCCCCCACACGGGAATCGGGCCTACGTGCCGGGGACGAAGCATAGAGGCCACTTCTTTTGGCAGATGGAAGTCTTTGCAGAGAAGCTACCTATTCAAAGCGAAGGACTCTTTTAAAATAATAGATGCTTTCCTTGGCGAGCCAAAATGACTGACTAAGGGTGATTAGGCCCTACCTACGATAGGTGGCACTGGTCTAGAAGTTGGAGGGTCGAGATAACAGATATTTTAAAAGACAACTGTGGAGGCTTAAGATAATTTGGATGGAGGGATTTTCAGAGCAAGTTGGCATTGGATGAAAGCGAATTACCAATTGATCGCAGTAGATAGATTTTTTGGTTTATGCATTAACCTGATCCATTTGGTATACGGTGTTTGCCTTATTTGTGTTGTGTGCTAGTCTGTCAACTGACCCATGTGTTCTGTGACTGGATCTCTATAAATTTCAAAGTCATTGATTGTATTTCATTTGGCTGTGAAGATCAATTAGCATTTGCTCAATGGTGAGGATTGTGATCTATTGTTTATCTGATTCTGCACGGTTGTTTTGATTAATGTATGCACTGTACTCTTGTATATAGGTTGTCAGACTCTGTGCAAAATCTAGAGAGGCGGTCAGTTCTCCTGTTGAGCATCTGACACTTCACTATCAGGTTTGCTTTACTTGTTTTTGCTTTATGTCTCTCGTTTTATTCCGCAGCTTTGCTGTAATGTAATGTATATGCTTCTTATCATTTTCTCTTAGGTTCGGCACCTTGATACATCAGAGAAGAGTGAACTTCACAAATTACAGCAACTGAAGGATGAACAAGGTGAAGTTCTGCTTTATTTTATTTACATCTCCTTTCTGTGGTGATGAAAGGGGTTTAATCTGTGGATAAATTATATTATTCTTGGCGCTAATATTAGTCTTTGTTTTCTAAAGGAAGAACCGGCTAAGAATGTTCATTCTTCACTTGTTAGCTATTTTTTTCTCCATTCTTTTGGATGTGTTGGGTTTGAAATCTGTTATCTGTTTTTTCAGGAGAATTGTCTAGCAGTGATGAGAAAAAGTACAAAGCATTGAAACGAGCAACAGAGAGGGAGATAGCTCAAAGTGCTGATGTCATATGTTGCACTTGTGTTGGTGCTGGAGATCCTCGTCTTGCAAATTTCAGATTTCGTCAGGTATGATTGCGTAAGCCTTGAATTGTAATCATTCGGATAATGTTGGTGCATCATTGTTACTCACTTTTCACCTTTAGGTACTCATTGATGAGTCTACACAAGCGACAGAACCTGAGTGTCTTATACCTCTGGTACTTGGGGCCAAGCAGGTATGTTTGTGCTCAATTTGATATGTTTTTGCACAAACTGTCTCATCAGTTGCTTGTTCATAAAGACGGTTTTTGCAGAATGCTAATATGTACGCTTCTGGGAGTCATTCTGAAATATTGTGTTTACCTATCAGGTTGTTCTTGTTGGTGATCACTGCCAACTTGGTCCTGTTATCATGTGCAAGAAAGCTGCTCGAGCGGGACTTGCACAATCTCTTTTTGAACGCCTTGTGTTGCTTGGTGTAAAACCCATCAGGCTGCAGGTTTGACACTCTATTCATTTGTATCTCTTGTTTCATTATATATTTATATGCGTAATAATCATAAATGCCTTTTTTGATTTTATCTGTTGTATTTTATAAGGGATTGATCCAATCCCTGTAACTGGAACTATGAAAATCATTATACGTTTGTCGTTATGATTTATTGGTGCTTCCTAGAGATGAAACGTGGTTGATATTTTTTTAATTGAACTTCAGGTTCAATATCGTATGCATCCAGCGCTTTCAGAGTTTCCTTCCAATAGCTTCTATGAAGGTACACTCCAAAATGGTGTGACAATCAATGAAAGGCAATCTACAGGAATTGATTTTCCATGGCCTGTTCCAAATCGCCCAATGTTCTTCTATGTCCAGGTGTGGATTCTGCTGTTAGGTTTTGATTTGTATGCTTTGGCAAGGAATCTGAACTAGTAGTTTATAGCCTAGAGTCTTTGACTTAGATATAATAATGAATAGTATTTATTTATTTTTATTTTTATTTTTTAATGATTTAAAGATGGGGCAAGAGGAGATAAGTGCTAGCGGTACATCATATCTTAACCGCACTGAGGCTGCTAATGTTGAGAAAATAGTGACTTCTTTCTTGAGAAGCGGTGTGGTTCCTAGTCAGGTATTTAATGTTTCTGTTTACTCCACTTATTTATTGCAAATTTCTATTTTTCTGTTCTTTATTCTACTTTTTGTTAACCCCTCTGATTTTGTTAATATGTTCTTGTGGGGTTTTTTCATGCTGTAGATTGGGGTTATTACACCTTATGAAGGACAGAGGGCATATATTGTGAATTATATGTCGAGGAATGGAGCTCTCAGACAGCAACTTTACAAGGAAATTGAGGTAACATATGATAATTAGTTTTTAGTTCTTTGTGCAGCTCTATTGTATTCAGAAATTTAATCACTCTTGTTGTCTTTCCTTAGGTGGCAAGCGTTGATTCATTCCAGGGAAGGGAAAAAGATTACATTATTTTGTCTTGTGTTAGGAGTAATGAACACCAGGTTTGTTCATCATTCTTTTACTATGTCGAATTCCTTTTGATTGGTTTTTATGATGGTGTGACGTGTGAGTGTGCATTCAGCGCGGTGGAAGGCTATTTGTTTATCATTATGCTTACAACGCTCTTTTTTTTTGTTACAATACTCTATCTTCCAGTCCATTTTTTGTTGACCTTTTGTCTTTATTTAATTTTTATTTCTGTGCTTAATAAATTTATTTGTGATGAATAGGGTATATGTGTAATGTGTACCTGCCAGTTGTTGCCTTGCATTTGTTTGTATGTTAAAATCTTTGGTGTATACTATCAAGAATTTAGATGCATCTTTCCTGAGGCCTTGTATCTTTCACTTTTGAAGTTGTTTGTCCTTCTCCGAAACCCTATGTTTTAGCATATATTTTCTATTAACTGAGTTGCATATGTATGGCCAGGGAATTGGATTCCTCAATGATCCCCGCAGGCTCAATGTTGCACTAACACGTGCCCGATATGGTATTGTCATCTTGGGGAATCCGAAAGTTCTGAGCAAGCAGCCACTTTGGAATGGCTTATTGACTCACTATAAGGTATATCTCAACTTGCTGCCTGTTAAGTATTTTAGTATTGACTTTGATCTAATGAGGGTAGCATTTTACATAAAACATAGCTTGCATTAGCAAGCTACGGTATTTGTCTCAACCTTCATGGAAATTACTATGGTGCCATTTCATTATTGTATGACTTTGTGGGTGGTCTCAAAATTTGTAAAATACTTCATTATTGCTTGGATGCAGTTAACTACATTTGCTTATGTTTGGCTTGCAAATTTTTCCTTTGTCTGATTTAGGAGCATGAGTGCTTGGTTGAGGGACCACTCAGTAACTTGAAGCAAAGTATGGTTCAATTTCAGAAGCCCAAGAAGGTAAGGGTTCCCCCCCCCCCTCCGTTTTCCGGCTTTCTATGTTACTAGCAGCACGTCTTATGGTTGTTGTGATACTTGGCTGAATTTTTTTTCCCTATTGTTCACAGATTTATAATGACCGTAGACTATTCTATGGCGCAGCAGCTGGTGTTGTGCCTAAGGATAACGTTTCATCAGTTTCAAGCACCGGTGCTAGTGCTGATAGAAGAGGTAGTCGTGGTAGAGGTATGCGATCATTTATATCATTGGTTCAACATGACTTTGGAAGTTATCATTGCTCTTTATCTAAATCATTCTGATGTGGTTTCTTTAAGGTTACATGCCACCTGGAGTGCCCAATGGTACGCACAAGCCTGCAGTGCATCCTTCTGGTTTCCCCATGACTCGAGTTCCTCTTTCTCCCTATCATGGTGCACCACCATCTCAGCCATATGCTATTCCCTCTCGTGGTGCTGTACATGGCCCTGTTGGAGCAGTTCCTCAAGTTCCTCAGCCTGGAAGCCGTGGTTTTGGTGCTGGACGTGGCAGTTCTGCGCCTATTGGCAGTCATTTACCACACCAGCAAGCTTCACAACAACCTGTTGGAAGTCTTGGGCCTAATTTCAACTTTCCTCTGGACAGTCCCAATGGCCAACCAACTATTGGTGGTCCGTTGTCACAACCCGGTTTTGTTTCAAATGTTAGTATCTCCTTTATCGGTTTGCTTTCTTTGTGAAATTTATTGTCTTTTTTCTTATGGTGAATTTGTGTTTTGACACTTTACAGCTGCCTGTAAAAGGACCTAGCCAATCTTTCCGTGATGGGTTTTCTATGGGAGGAATGTCACAGGTATAATACCCACTTGATAAACTTTCGGAACCCTTTGAATATGTTCTGATTTTGAATGCATTCATATGATAACCCTTTGAATATGTTCTGATTTTCAATGCATTCATATGATAACCCTTTGAATATGTTCTGATTTTCATTTCAATGATGTCTAGGACTTCTTGGGTGATGATTTCAAGAGTCAAGGATCACATGTTCCTTACAATATTGCAGAGTTTTCAACACAGGTATTTTCAGATAATGGAATTTGCATACCATGAGTTTTTTGCCGTTTACATGCATATCTCGTCATCTTCTTTGTGCTGAATATTTGTTTGTCTATCTTTCCTCTGTCTTTTTATTCATGACATGGTGTGAGCTTTAGGTTATTTCTTTGTGACAGTTGGGTGTTTTTATTGCCCCTTTAGTAACTGAAGAGTTTGGTAGCTGATATGTTCCTTTCTCTTATTACCAATTGTTTGTGGTGGGTTTATATGCAAGAGTTGTAGATTCATAGTATTCTCTTATTTTCTTTTGTTTGTTTATTTTACTTAAATTCTCCTTTCATTTAAAGTATTTTTTATAGGATTCATTATATTCTGACATGATTATGGACACGAACACTTTTTTCTGATCGAATTACTGTAAAGTTTTTGTAAATTAGCTGAGTTTGGCATTGTATGTGTGGGACTGGTGTACATTATAGGCTGTGTTAATTACTGTTTCCACTATGGTAAATCTGTGTGTATTTTATTATTTGGTGGTGACAGGCTTCACAGAGTGGATATTCTGTTGATTATGCCACACAAGGACCACAGTCTGGCTTTCCAGGAAGTTTCCTGAACCAAAACTCACAGGCTGGATATTCTCGATTTGGTAGTGGGAGTGATTTTATGTCTCAGGTATGGAGAAGTAGCTGTGTCTCCTTTTGTTTTTAGGTTGCGTTAGTTTTCTGTACTTCATACTAATATTGTTTTTTTTTTTTTTGAATTTTAATTTTTTTTTACAGGATTATATGGGGCATGGTTCTCAAGGTCTTTTCACTCAAGTTGGCTTCAATGATCCATCTCAAGATGACTCTTCACAAGGCCATTTTGGAGTAGGAAATGTAAACCCCCTTCAATCACAGGTGTGATACTGCTTTAAGATGGCGAGTTTATATACTAGTAATTTTTTTGAAATATAAACCATGTGTTAAACTTGCATTGTTGATTTGGAAAAATGTTTTGAGGCCTGACTTTCAAAATTTTTGAGCCCTTCATTGTGTCTAGGGAGGGAGGGGAAAGGTTCTCTTTGTACATTATTCTATATGTCGCCCTTCATTTTTTTCTTCTGTAACTTTATGTTACTGCTTAGATATATTTATTTGTATATTTTGTATTCTCATATAAGGCTTATTTTGCAGGGCCCTATGAATCCTCTATATTCCCAGCCTTTCACACACTACAACTCGCAACCTTTGAAAATGCAGAATGCTCAGCACCAGCCGCCCCAGCCTCAGCAGCAGGCTGCTCAGCAGGGTCTGAACTCGCAAAACCAGAAAGTCCACTACAGTGGTTGAGAGTGTATGGGAAATGTTGGCCAAAGATGGGTTAGTCTTCAATATCAGCGACTTGGTTTGTCCACCCTTGTGCCACTGCATAATTATTAAAACGGAAACAACAGTTTTTGCTCGGATGAGGTTTTCTATGGTTTTTTCCACTACCTCAATACTAAGTTGTTGAATGATGATGGGAGTCTGAAGGAGGACTTTCAGTCGTTGGCTATGGAAACCCTATTATGGCACAGGTGTCCCAAAATAAGGCTGTGAAGGAGAAGGATGACCCCCTTTATCGGTCCTGAGGTATTCTCTTGAGAAAAGGCTGAAATTGGTCATTTTTTGTGGGAGAGATCATTACATGACATGGTCTGGTCGGAAAGGGTTCGTAATTGATAGCGAGCTTTTGAGGGGCGTGCAGGATAAAGCCCTGATTATTCATACAGAAACAGCAGTGAAGTACAGGATTGTGTACAGCAGTGCAGGGAAAGGATTCCATTTTACCATACCCTTTCAGCTCTTCCTGACATGTAATTATACTCTACAACAAAATCAATGATAATAGTATGAATAGAGATGATGGCGATTATTTGGTGTGTTTTGGGGTGCATAATCGTCTTGACCAATACAAGTTTGTAAAAGTTTAAATCTGAAAATTTGGTTAATTGAGTGTTTACTCTTGCTTATGGTGTCTAATTGTCTACCCCTAGAGTGTTGTTTTGATGTTTTCTATAATAAGACATGGACAGTTGAAAACACATAGCAGGATATAAATTACAAGGCTTAGAGTGTTCCTGTTGTGACAAACTGACAAAGTGTTGATTTGCTCTTAATTGAAAACAATGTCGTCAAAGTAACTTTTAGTAAAAAGGACAAGGACAAAAAACAATAAAGAGACAATCCAAACACTAGTATAATATATTATAATGTAGAATTAAGGCAATGAGAGTTTAATTATTTTAGGTTTAGGAAACCAACATAAAATAATGTCCTGAAGGGTATTCATATGACCACATCCTTCATCAAACTTGCTGCACTGCAACTCTGTAACATGGAAGTAGCTCTCTCAAATTCTCTATGATCCCAGTAATCCCACCAAGTTACAACACCAAGCCACTCCCATTGCTGCACGATCACCCTGTGCAGCCTTTGTTCTATAAAAACCCGAGGTCGGGCAGCTACATGATTCAGTAAAACCTTGATTCCTGCCCTTCTGCATTCCTGCTTGTTGCTTTGCAACAAGCTTGTAGGTTGCAGCAAGCTGTCATCCTCTCTGACCACGTCGCTAACAAAGGGTACATGCGCTATATATTAGCTATATTATGTTCCCAAAGGTTCTAGCTGACTGTAAGACCCCTTTTAGGCCATGCGCGGCATGGCGTGCCCAGGCAAAGGCACATTGTGGTTTGGCTATGGTGCTAGACCTTGTACATATTATTGTAAGACCCTATGGTGTGGTTAATAAGTAAATAAGGGCATATGGTTGCCTCTATATGTTAGCTTGGTAAGCTAAGGTTGTTTGGATGGGCATTGGACCCAAGGGTTGGGGCCAATAGTCCATTATTGTGTTACTGTCACTGGCGTGTTCACTAGTATTATAAGCGTATAGCAATATAAAGCTCTTTAGGGGAATGGTGCAACCATGGACGCACCATTGGCTAGGGCCATGGTGCATGGTTCCAAGGATAGTGTGGGCTATCTAGGACAAGGTTGGCTTGATACTAGTGGGCTAAGTGACTTGGGTGTGAGCAAAGGCTCGTGGCGAGCCTTTGTCAGTTAATGCTTGGCGTTGGCTGCGAAGCGACGCGTCGGTTGGGGAACCAACGTCATTGCGGAGCGTAGCAAGCCAACGACATGGAACAACGAAGCGATGCGTCGCTTGGGTCATGGTGCGGTTTGGTGAAGCAACGGAACGCTTGGCTAACGAGGCGTCGTTGCGAAACAACACGTCCCTTGGACTCTAACACGGTGCTGACGAGGCAACACGTGGGTGCTGTGCTTGGTGGCAGTTGGCACGGGTGTTGGGAGTTAATCCTTATGTGAAGAGGTGCGATGGAAATGCGAAGCAAGGCGTTGGTTGGAGCAAGGAGCAATTATGCGAACGGTTTCCTTATATGGATAAGTATTGGATGCTCAGCCAAGGCGAAGTGACACTTCACATTATGGATCATGGATTGTGGGCAAAGGCATTTTGGATGAAGCGAAGAGACACGAGTGATGATGGTGGCGATCCGCAACGATTGGCTAGGATTGTTGATGGTGGCAATCCGCGACGGTTGGCTAGGAATGCTATATGTGATGCTTCGTTAGGATTGCTGACTTGTAATAGGTTACGGTTAATTGCATGAGTGCCACTTGGCGCTCATGCGTGCTTAGTGTCTGTTCGCATTGGAAGGGGTTGTCCTCCTTTGCTTATAAATAGATGACTTTGGGGTTTGTCCAAGGCATCCAGAAACTACCGTGTAAATATGTTATTAATGATATTAATAAAAGTATGCTTTGTGATATATTCTAAGTGTTCCATCGTGTTCTTTATACTGTGCATTATTATATAAGTTAGTGAGTGAGTTGGCTGGTTAGTGAATCAAGCGCCATCATAGTTAGTGAAAAATTAACTGTGACACTGACCATGACAATTGACAATCAAACCCCAAAATACTCGAGAGCGGGTGATCAGCCTATTTTATATATATATTATTCCCCGCCCCACGGTCATATTTGTCCTTATTTGAGCTCTACGGAGCTATTTTTATTACTAATATACGTTTTCTAGTGTTTATGTAGTGTTGATGTTATTTTGTAGGAATTTGCAGAATTGTGACAATTTTCAGAGCTTATTAGACTACTACGAAGACATTGGAGTTTTATCGTATTTTATGACCGTATATTTAAGCCCAAGGTCGAGCTAATTAAATTTGGTTCGATGATTAAGGGCTCGATATATGAAGAGGTCCAAGAATTTACAAGTTATTATTACGGACCAAACAAGTGAAGAACTTGGGCTAATGAACTCTAAAACACCAAGTCCAAGAACAAAAGAGAATTGAACATTGAAGCTCAACTCCAACTGACCAGGGCCAGGGGAGTGCTTGCTGTTGCTACTATAAGCCGCTTGGGCCTTGTTTCAAGAAGCCCAATATGTGTTGAAGCGGTTAATAGGCCAATATACGCTTTTGGAGTTTTATTCTTAGTGGGATTTGTGGGTTTCCTATAAAGAAGAGTAGTAGTACGTAGTTAATGGGGGGCAAGCTTTTAGATTAGGTAGCTTTTTAATTAATTTGTTTTTGGTTTGTTTTTAGTTTTAGTTTTTAATTTAGTTTTCTTTTCTCTTTCTCTCTCTAACTTTTCTCTCTCTCTCTCTCTTTCTTTTGCTCTCTTAATTGTTTTCTTATATTTCTTTCTCTTAAACCTTTGTTCTTAATCTACTCTTAATTCCAGATTTATTTTGGTAACGATTTCTCTTCTCTTAATCTTAGTTGTTTATTTTATTCCTTTCATCGTAACTTATTTTATTGCTTTGATTAGTTTAGTTTTTAATATGTGTGAGTAGTTTTATTTCTAGGGTTGATGGGGATCCATAAATAATATGAAGGGGTAATTTATTGTTGTTAATTATCAATGCTAGATTAATTTCCTATTGATTGATTTAATGCTCTGTGACTAGATTAGGCCTATCTTTTATGCATGAGTTTGACAACATAACATTGATTCGAGATTCGACAGATGAGAATTAATGTTTAGGTCTAGTTTCAATAGGCAGATTAATTTATAAATGGTTAAGTCGAGATTCGAGAGATGAGATTTAATACCGGTAAATTAATTGTGTGATTGTAATACGTAGCGAAAGCCCTTTACAATCTGATTAATTGATGCTCTGATGGTTGACTATTATTGATTATTGATATTGCATGATAATTTCCTATTGAATTGTTTTAATGTTTTACAATTGCGGCTTGTAAAAGTATAGCAATATTAAATTGATGAATTGAGCAGATGTTAATTTGATATTAAAGGCTATTTTCAATAAGAACTTAGATCTAGTAAATTGCGAGAGCCTGTTAGATCTATGTTGATTAATAAATTGCGAGAGCCTGTTAATCATGTTATTTATGCAATGTCAATGATTGATTACTATGTTTTACCCTGGAGTATTATTTATTGTTGAACCTATGCCCTAGATCCTTTTATATATTATTTTCTCCCTATTCCTATTCTTTGTAGTTTAGTTTCATACTCAAATATAAATATTGATTACTTAGGTAATTTAGATTATAATAATTAATTAGGAGTAAATATATCTTTCACCCTCTCTCTTTTTATTTTATTTTATTTTATTTTATTTATTTATTTTTCTTTTGGTGTGCTTAGTAGATTTTATTGCTTTCTTAGGTTAGTTTTATTGCTTTCAAAAATAAAAAAAAATCCAAAAATATATTCCAATGAATTGTAAATCATGTTACCCTGTGGAGATCGACCCTACTTCCCTATCTACTTTAGTTAGAGGATTTAGGTATTTACTTTCGATTAGGGGATACGACTTTACCCTGTCAAAATTTGGCGCCGTTGCTGGGGAAACGGTTTTATTTTTATTTCTAATTATTATTAGAGTCTAGATTATTTTTAATTTTTTTTTTATTATTATTATTATTTAATTTTTTTTTATGAGTTGAAAGTATCCATGCTTATGTCACTACAAGAATTATATAATTTTTATGCAGCACCTAACTACTGTAGTTGTCAACGTCTTTGTCATGAAAATCCTGAATGCCCTTATAGTGAGTTTTTTGTGCGTGCTCCGGATGATTTTAGAGTCTTTCCATATACATATGATCATATTCGGAAACGATTAGTTGCTAATGAAAGTTATTGGAAGGCTTTTGATGAAAAAGTCTATGAGCACTATAATAATATGAATGTTATTGAGGATGAAGAACCATCAGTTATAGAATTTGTGTTTGAAAAATCATTGGTTGATGAATCGGTGATTGAAAAATCATTAGTTGTAGAAACGGTGGTTGAAAATTCCTTTGTTGATAATGAGGTTATTCGTAAGGGTGGAATTTTCAAGTCATTATTGGATGATAAGGACAATGACTACCTCCATGTCCGTTCTATTAATTCTAAATTTTTAACGGAGGAAGTAGAAGGTTGTGGTGTATTTTCATCTCCCTCTTTTTATTTTTCCTTCTACCTTGAGTTCTCTTTATGTGCTCCCGACTTTTTCTTTGTAGGGATAAATGTGCTTGCTATTAAGCCCTGTATAGTGCTTAATGAAATGTTTGCAGGAGCGTTTGATAAGTTACTCAAGGCATTGAATTCTTCCGATTGAGAGAAGGAGTATGGTCGAGCGGGACCTTGATAAAATAGCGCTTTGCGGGAGGAAACCCGTACTTTAATTTGCTTTTTAGTTTAGTTTTTCCTTATTTTCTGTGTGTGTGTTTTATTTATTTTATTTTTTTTAGAGAGGTAAGGAGAGTGTAACTAATACTTGTGGGAGTTTGTTTTTGTGCAGATTTTGATCTAGAGAAGGCTTCATTCACGCTGGAACTACACTCGTATTCGATCGGGCAGAGCTCGCCCGATCGGGCGCGCGTACGCGTCCGCAAACTTTGTCAACTTCGACAGGCCATAACTTTTTGCGTTTCTTATTCGATTTTTGCGTGTGACCTGTCGTTGGAAAGCTCTTCGAGTCTAGTTTCCAATGCAATTGGAATCACTGTATTATCATTTATATATCAAAAGTTATGATCAGAATAGTGCACCTGACTCAAATTTGAACTTTTTCCCACTAACACTTTGTTTTTTTCTTGCCCAATTTTGTTCCAAAGAGATGCATTGCAATCCTCGGGGCTTTGGTGACATTGATGTGGTGATGATGAAGAGTAGTCACCTTGACTACTAGCTTCCCTTTAAGACAATGAGGACATTGTCTAATTTAGCTTGGGGGGAGGTTCTCGTGTGCGCTTGGTATATCTTTCACCCTCTCTCTTTTTATTTTATTTTATTTTATTTATTTATTTATTTTTCTTTTGGTGTGCTTAGTAGATTTTATTGCTTTCTTAGGTTAGTTTTATTGCTTTCAAAAATAAAAAAAAAATCCAAAAATATATTCCAATGAATTGTAAATCATGTTTCCCTGTGGAGATCGACCCTACTTCCCTATCTACTTTAGTTAGAGGATTTAGGTATTTACTTTTGATTAGGGGATACGACTTTACCCTGTCATCGGGGGATAACTCAAGTGGTTAGAGCTTCCCTCCCAATTCTAAAAGATCCTGGGATTGATTCTCATCCTCGCCCTTGTGGCTCTGTAAACACCTAAAAAACAACCAAACACCAGAATCCACATACGACAAGCAAAACATGGTTCAACATAAGACATGTATATTAACTTTGGAACATAATATCCATCATGCAATCGTCCTTAACATACGTCTTATACCAGCATTCATTTTCTCATATGCTTTGCACAAAATGGTAAGAAATTATTGTAAGAAAAAACTTTTTTTCTTTACAAGAAGAAAAAACATTTTGTACTTATAAATATAGTCATTTAATTAATTCTTGAAAGGTTTTAAAAAATAATTAATTCTTGAAAGGAAATTTTTTTTTATTTTTTTTTGAAAAATGTATTTTAAGGTAACATTTTCTATTTTGGAGGTGTTATAAGATAAACAGCGAATTCATTTGTGCTGTTAGTCTCCAATAACCAACTTGAACCACGTTGACTCGCCAACTCGGTCACCTCAAACCCATGACTCGCCAACTCGAGTAAGCACTCAGCCGTCGACTCCCTAACCTCGCTAGCCGCCCATATAACCGTACCACCCCGGCACACCATCATCAACGTCTTCGCCAATGGTCCCATCAAAGACGGGTCATACAACACGTCCGACATCAACACCACGTCAACCCCACAACCCAACTCACTGAGTTGACTCGGTAACTCGTCCGATCCCCACACAAGCTCGGCCACCTTGACTCGGCCATCGTCCATCCCATTGACCACCACATTGTCCCACAACCCGGGTATTAGCGGGGCAAGATCGGTTAGTATAACGTTACGAGCACCGAGCCGGCTCGCTGTCAATCCAGGCAGGCCCGTGCCAGCACCAAGCTCCAGCACGGTCTTGCCGTGCAGGCTAAACAACCCAAAGTTATCATTATTATGAGTTGAGATATGATCTGATAAAACAAGGGCTGAGTCCCAGAGCCATGAGCCGGTCATGGCTCGACCGGTGAGCGAGTCACAAACATGGTTAAGTTCATGGATGACGATGTTATGGTGCGTGATTGTATTTGTAGCTGCTCCTGTTGTCCCTACATGTATTTCTCGAAGGTACGACTGCGACATTTGTTTTTGGAGTAATCAGGAAATTTCGTGAGCTTAAAATGGTCAGAGCATGTAATATAATGTCAGAGTGGTTGTTGTCAAATAAAAAAAGGCAGAGTATTTGTTGTATATTCTTGTCAGTTGTCACCTTATCCTAAACATTATGAAGTACCTTTTTTTATCCAAAATAGTGGCTTTCACGTTCGTATCATTGGACGTTTTAAGGGAATGAATAGCGAGTTCAATATCAAAGCACTACAACATGCTCAGACTCACTGTAATTCGTCAAATAGATTATTATTGTTGTATTTTTAAATGTCAAAAAAGTAAAGGAACACTCGGGCTTTAATTAGATAAGATAACTAAAAGTGTAAATGTTAAATTGAAATGAACATTATTTATACCGATTGATATGTGATTTTGACATGCGTTCTCAAATTAACGTATTTTATGTGCGTTTGACCACACTATGTGAGCAAGGGTGTTAATCAAGCGAGTTGATCAAGAGCTGAGGGGTGCTCAACTCGACTCGAAAACTTTTAATAAGTGCTCAGCTCGTGCTCGTTAAAGTTTCTAGCCAATAAATCTTGCTCGACTCGTGCTCGTTAAAGTTTCACTTGAGTCGAGTAGCTCACGATCAACTCGTTAATGTTTTTGACCCTTATAAAATTATAGGCCTTTATTTGTTTCGTTCACTTTGTATATATTTTTTTTCATATATTTTTGAGAATTTACTTTTTTTTAATATTATATTAATTAACTCTTATTATGTGTCAAATTTGTTTAAACATGGTAACTTTGTTTGTAAATTCTATTTTAATAAGATGTATTATCGAGTTGCTCACGAGCTTATCGAGACGAGTTAGATTGTTAGAGCTTGCTCAACTCATGCTCGTTAATTTAACATTTCGAGTCGAGTCATTTTGACCTAGCTTAGCTTTGACCGAATTGAAATCGAGTTGCTCCACTCGATTAAATTAGCACCCCTACATGTTTATTTTATTTTATTTTATTTTTTAATAGAAACTAGGCTATCAAATATTATTCCAATAAGAGATTATCCAAGAGTACTCAAATATTATTCCAATAAGAGATTATCCAAGAGTACATAAGGGGATATTTCATGAGGACCACGATTCATCCATAATTGCTCAACCCCAAATGGAATGAGACTAGCTAATTAAATGGTGTGTGACAAAATTGCCTTCAATTCCCTCTTGTGTAGTACCGCTACATGTGACTGCTTGTAAAAGAACATTATTAATCCTTATTACAATGACCGAGTAATCCTCGTAATACTGACCGAGTAACCTTTGTAACACTAACTGAATAACCCTTATTACACTAACAAAGTATAAATTGAGATGACTTTAACAACATCCCACATAATTGTATTTTCTTTACATATCATTCACAATAGATGCTTAAAAAGAGTTCGTGAATAGTTAAAAAAATAAGCATGGTGCAATATTTGTAGAATAAACCAAGTATAATACTCCGTAATTGAAATTGAAACGTTGTTTGTGTGCCCTAAATAGTTGTCCATCTTAATTATTAGAGAGGCTGCGCCTGATTTTTGCAATATATGGTCTATTAAGAGGCTGCACTATTTATGTTGATCCTCTCTTGGAATTTGCAGTGTTTGAGCAAATACTTGCTGGGCAGTGGAGATGTTGAGCCCTTAGATCTAAAGTTGTTATTTTTTGTGAATATTGTTTTTGAATGCCCAGTTCTATATATATTATTGTTATGTAATCTCCATACATAAGTGTAAGTGGAACAAATTGAGAGAACCCCTTGATTTAAGCACACCAAGTCTGATCTTTACATCTTATCATTTTAAGCATTCCTATGTTGTACAATAATTCTTTTCCCATTAGAACTAACTTGGATTGTCATTCAAAATCAAAATCAAAATCAAAAGTCTTATATCCAACAACATAAAAAAGTTATAGTATTAAAAGAACATGAAATTAGGAAGACAGTCCATACACAAATATTTATAAGCAGTGTGGCCAATAGGGGTTACTTCGTTAATGTAATAACCTGTCAGGGGTTACTTGATCGGTGTTAAAGGGTTACTTTGCCAATGTTATAGAATTAATTAATCAGTATCATATGGGTTATTCGGTCAGTGTTACAGGGGTTACTCTGTCAACATTATAGGGGTTACTTTGTTTATTTATAAGGGACCACACGATACGGCTGACCACATACAAAACGGACTGCATTTAGTAAAACAACATAAAAAGTAGCCAACAAATAAAATCCTATTTTAATTAATCAAAAATCAATACTCGTATGATTTAAATTACTCTCGGATAAGATATTCTGGATCGAAAATGACAACAAGGTCAACAAACAATGATAAAAACAGCAGTCAATATCACCAAAAACTCAAAATAAGGAGAACGTCTAAATCTGACGTAGTAGTAGGTTGGAGTTAGACACGAAAAGCGTTACTATCTATCTTACTACTCACTACTCACTACTCACTATATATATTGTTGTCCAATACTCTTTTTGGCATTTTCCCTTTTTTATTTTTTTTAAATACAATTATATTTTCATACTGAAAAAGCCACCTTCTTCATAATTTCACCTGAATTATTCGTCTCTTCCGATCATCTCATTTTCCAGAATTTCGTCTTTCTCTTTCTTTTTAACTCTGGTACGTTGCTTTCTCAATTCTGCTTTTTAAATTTTTATTTTATTATTTTGAAGAGAATTTCATAATTATTTGTCGTTTTTTTTTTTGGTTGATTGTTGGAATTTTGAGCGTTTTTTGAGTTTTGTAATGAGAATTTCGAAAGGGTTTATAATTTAGTGAAAAGGGTTTAATTATTTTTTATGATTTTTGGTTTATTTCTGACATGAATTAAGTGTTATTTTGGTGATGAGATGTTGAATCCATTTTGAATTATGTTAAATCACTTGCATGCATTTATTGGGAGATTTTTCTGTTTGATAAATTTCGAAAATTTAGGGTTTGTATCTTATTAAATCTAATGTTTGAGTGAAATTATGATGATATTATAGTGTTCTTGTCTATAGATGGTATTTGGAGCCTAGGAATGACTTGAGATTATGCATTCAAGGATTCTGTAAATTTGGGTGTGAAATAGTTTTAAATTAAATCCCATTAAATATCCATAGACATTCACCTATGAATAATGTTTAGGTGTGTTATTACCAGTTTGATGGGTAAATGCAGGAAATTGAGTATGGCCAAATTAACCTTGCAAATAACCAAACATACTTGCCTTAGGTCAATTTTGATATTTTCGGCGATATCTTAAACACATTTTCTGCTTGTATGCAGGAAATTTCGGTGGTACTCTGTGTAGTGGATGCGGATGCCTCCTCTGTTTTCTCATTGGTATCTGTATTCCAGTCTTTTCTTGGCACTGCTTTTATTTTTTACATTTAGTGGTGTTTGTGGCTGGTATATAGGCGGGGAAAATGATTTTGAAGTTTCGTTTGGCAACAGCTCTATACCGATTCTAAATGATCTTTTGGAAAATAGAGTTCATGAATATGTTGACCAAACTTCAGTTGATTTGGTATCTTGTGAGGACCTTGAAGGAGTTGGGTCCTTCAATACTACTTGCTTGCTTAACTCAAATGTACACTTGAATTCAAGTATATATGCTTTTGGTATTGGAAACTTGGAGATACTACCTCATGTTTTAATTGTATGCCCCACAGAAGGATGTTCCATAAGCTTCAATGTATCTGGGAAGGTGAAAGTTGGACCTAATGCTGCTATTATTGCTGGTTCAGTTTTTATATCTGCCCGTAGCTTGAGCATTGGCCAGAATTCTACTGTAAATACTACATCACTCAGTGGAGGACCACCCTCACAAACTAGTGGCACCCCTGTTGGATATGCGGGAGCTGGGGGAGGGCATGGAGGCCGGGGTGCTTCTTGTGAGTATCTAGGTGCTTGGGGTGGAGATGTATATTCATGGTCTGATGTATCCGATCCATGGAGCTATGGGAGCAAAGGAAGTGGTAGATCTGCCCAAAATCCCTTTGGAGGGAATGGTGGAGGACGTGTAAAACTAATAGTAGAAAACGAGTTGTACTTAAATGGGTCTGTACTTGCTGAAGGTGGTGATGGAGGAGCAAGTGGGGGTGGAGGTTCTGGTGGGAGCATCTACATAATTGCTTATAAGCTGTGAGTACATTCTGAAGGGACTCTATCGTTCATATGATGTTCTGTGTTTTATTTTTAGGGCCATACTACATTTTTATCTTGATAATTGAATACTGAACCTAGTGCCCAATGTGTTCATAGCCATGCAATTTATGTATACTTGAAATGTAGATGCTACTTCTCCAACCGAGGTTTATGCTATGGATATGTTCTTCTGTTGAATGAATCATATAGAGGATAGAAACCACACAGACAAAAAAAAAATCCTAGTGTTGGACCACCCCTTTTAATTGGAAGTTCATAGGCAATTGACTGCACAATGGAAGGCTTTGAATCACCTATCTGTATATCCCATGCCTCAAAAGGCCAATCATAAATCTTGTGTGGGGAGGGGAGAGGGGGGGGGGGAGTCAGTTTCATCTGCAAGTTCGCTTACTAGTCCTAGACTACTCCCTCAGTTCATAGTTATATGCAAAAGATTTCACTGGGTTATATTAATAACTGTTGCAACAATGATCAATGACATAGAATCGATCAATGTGCATCTCGCTGCTAGTGGAGTCTAATGAAGTCAAGCTTGCCCCAAGTTTACCTCTCACAACCACAGCTTTCAGAGCTTCTATATAATACCTGTATAGTTTCCAATGTGAACAACTCTGGACGTGCTGCCAGATGTATTTCTGTAGGAAGTTTAGCATATATTTGTGGCCAAACTTGGTTTAGGTTTGTATGCATATACACTTGTATTACCATTTTTTTTGTTCTCCTGAGGAGAAAATTGTACTCTGCATTATTTTCTTGATGAGTTCCTATATTGCCTGTGTTGAACTTTTCAATAATACCCTCACCCCCTTGCCTCTTCCAGTTCTGTGGTGGTATTTTTTAATCAATTTAACTGCTTGCGTTTAGGAATGGTCTTGGTACTATCAGTGCAGCTGGTGGAAGAGGATGGGGAGGCGGCGGCGGCGGAAGAATTTCACTTCGTTGCTACAGTGTACAAGATGTTAAAGTTACTGTGCATGGTTAGTGTTGGTCACTTTATCCTTCTTACTTGAAGAAACTGCAAAGTACTTGATTAAGTGCGAAATGTTTCTTGGTTCAATTCTGTTTATAAATTATTCTAGCTGGCATTCATTACATATATGTATTGGCTTGCTTTCCACTAATATTCAATTTTCTAACATCTAACACTTAATTAATCAAGTTCATTTTTGTGGACTATCTCAATTCGAAAAGTAGCTAGATGCTAAAATCAAGAGATGTTGAGAAATCCTTAATATGAATTATTAGTTTATTATTAATCATCTTAAGACAAATAGATCATTCCTAATGTCTATCAGATTTATATGTCTATTTATTATTATGTACTCTTTATCATATATGCAATATGAATTTTTGTGATAGATATGTTGGTAGAGAAGCTGGAAGATAAATTTTTTTGACCTCTGCTATGGCAGGTGGTTTAAGTACTGGGTGTCCTGATAATGCTGGAGCAGCAGGAACTTATTTTGATGCTACTCTTCTCATTTTAAGAGTTAGCAATGACAATATGAGCACAGAAACTGAAACTCCTCTTCTGGATTTTTCTCTTACTCCATTATGGTCCAAAGTCTTTATAGAAAACAGCGCAAAAGTGTTGGTCCCACTCTTGTGGACCAGAGTTCAGGTATTACCTTTTTTCTATCATATATCCAATTATTAATTCTGGTCCCACTCTTGTGATCCAGAGTTAAGATATTTTCACTAAGCATGCAATTGAAACTGCACTAGTGGCTCTTGGTCAACTATAGTTTGTTTCCTTACTTATGAAGGGCCAGGAAGAGAAGTCTGGCTTATTAAGTTTGACATTTGCTTGTGGAAATTTGTCCTCTTAAATCAAACTAATATTACGATGCATATATTAGATGGACGTCTCTGCAGTAAGATAATTTATTTGTCAGCAGAAATCAAGTCCTTTTAGTTTTCCTTTGTCATCATAATTGACATTGTTCAATGCTCAATGCGCTTTAGCAGCCCATCAAATTCTTCTATCATAAGTTCTCACCCTCCTTGAGTAACCATTACAAACTCCTATACTGTGTTTAGTATTTTCATGGGAAAGAACATTCCAAAAAAAACTCGTCCCCCTTAGTGTAACGTTCTTAAAAACCGGAGGGGGTATCACTTGTTCCTTTTCAAATAATAAAAAAAAAAAATTAATATCTTGTAGAAGATATCTAAGTATTTCCAATCTCAATTCTAAATTTCTTATTACCTCACCCTTTTTTCATTTTTTATTCACTCATTCAATATATCATCTTTATTAGTGTAGATTACTTAGGGTTATTGATGTAGCCATTACAGCTCTCTAAGCCTCTTCAAGATCGAGCTCCATATTGAGATTGCTGTTTGCTAAATTTACATATCAACTTGACTAAATGGCCTATGATATTTGTATGCAATGTCCGGATGTCCCTCAAAATTCCCATGTAACTACCTGGCTTCATGTTTTGTCCTATGAGAGAAAGGTGGGCAATAACTTCGTAAATAACTTGAGTTTGGTCTTGTTGTTTTTACAACAAGGTGTTTTTGCTGGTTGTAATTGAGAAAAAAAATAAAAAATTCATTGGACCTTATATCTCCAAAGCATTAATCATTAGTAAGTTCCAATATACTGCTGTCTACTTGTGTAATTACTGAAGGCTATTTGTTCTTCATTGTTTAGCTGAGCGGACAATTAAGTGTGCTTAGCAAGAGTAGTATCAACTTTGGGTTGATGGATCGTCCTGTCTCAGAGTTTGAGATTGTTGCTGAAGAACTACTCATGAGTGACTCCGAAATACAGGTATGGAGGCTAGAATGCACATTTATTTTCACCATGTTATTTTATATAATTCTTGTAGTCTAATTGTATTATTCCCTGAAGGTTTGCTCAACAGAATTTTCTGAGTACTTTTTATATGCGCTGGTTGCAATATTACTGTCTTTTTACTCTTAGTAGTACTGATAGTACTTTGTTTTTCTTCTTGATTATTTGGGGTTTGTGGTGCATACACTTTTTATAAAAAATCTGTTTCATATTTCGATTGATTGTGAGGTGACTAATTCATATTTATATCATTAGCTGCACCTCATCGGCTCACACAGTCCGCATTCTAATTTTCATCAACTACAAATTTTGTTGTTAATGTTGTTGCCTTTACAACAAGGGTTTGCTATTTATTAGGAATACGTATTAGGCTTTCTTTTAATAAGCATCCAATTATCCAACTATTTGGGTCCGATTTTTGTGTGAAAAATTTCTTATAGGTTTTGGAAACTTCAAATATTTTACGAGTGATTCGGGGGGCATAATTATTTTAATCCTAGCCTTCCTTTTTGTGAAGTCAACACTCCCTTGTTTTTGTTGTTTTTGTAAAGTAAAAATGAGGCATATGAGTATAATAAAAAGATATCAAAAGGGTTTCGCTCGCTCACCCGGATAATTAAACTCAAGCCCTCGCGTTATCATGTAGCAATGTATCTGCAATATAAAGATTTCAAGTATTGTGTAGAACCTAAAACTTGACTCCAGTTACGCACCCCCTTGGTTTGCTTTTGTTATTATTTTATTATACCTACGATGAAGGATTTAAAGTATAAGAGGCAACATAATCATTCTAATTGGATACTGGAGACTTGTAGAGTATGGATATAACACGTTACTTCATTTAAGTCAATGTGTCTGCATTCTAGGGTTGTTGCTTACAGTTGTTTACATATGCTCCATTTTCCAAAGTATAGTTCCTAAATATTTTATTAGATCCCATCAATGTCTTCCATTAAAACTTCAATATGTAATGACTCACGATGGACATCAATAATAGTCTAATAGATCTAGTGCTTAGTTGTATGGTAAATTGTTTCTCCTTTTATTATGTTTTTTTGCACAATAAAATCAGACTTTAAATAATTATTATTCATGACTTTCTTGTGCTAAGAATCAAGACTTACATTGCCATCTTCATTTTGGCTGATTCGGAGTTTTCTGTCATGTGAGTGAAGGTCCATGGTTCTCTGCGAGTGATTGTCAAAATGTTACTTATGTGGAACTCTGAGATCCAAATTGATGGCGGCAAAGCTGTTGTCACAACCTCAGTCCTTGAAGTGAGAAATCTTGCTGTCTTAAGGGTATCAATCTTTCTATTCTCTTATCCTATGACTTTTGTTTTTCATCACTAGTCAGGCTAGTTACCCATTGTTCCATGCAGGAACATTCTGTTATAAGTTCAAACACAAATTTGGCACTATTTGGTCAAGGGCTGTTGAAGCTGACTGGTCATGGTGACTTAATCAAAAGTCAGCGGCTGTTGCTGTCACAGTTTTATAACATCACTGTAAGGAGTTACTTTTTTCAGCATAGGTTCCCACAAGGTTTCTTTTGTGTTTCAGTGAGCAACTTATTCATTGTAGTATTTGTGGCGCTTTCTCCTTTACTCACCTCATGCTGATGAATGTGATGATTGATCTTATACGGATATGTTAACATGTTTTTCATGGCTTGCTTAGTTTATTGTTTGTGGATGTCTTTACTACATGTTTTTCATGGCTTGCTTAGTTTATTGTTTGTGGATGTCTTTACTCCTTTGCAAAAGCTTTGATTACATAAATTTTAGGAACATTCCTCTTTTAAATTCAATCATTCTGTTTTCCTCAATTCCACGTTTGTCTTCCTGATTTCAGTACACGTAGTCAAAGTTGGACTAGAAGGATAATTGAGCCCTTCATCTCCAATTTCTTTTTTGCCCCCATCATTCTATTTATTTTTTCAGGTGCTTAATTAATTCTTTTACTCTGTTGCCTCAAGCTCTTCTAGTATTCTTATACTACACATGTGATGGCCTAATGGGATGCTTTTGGAACTGCCTTTTTTGCAAATAATTTCAGATTTCACTCTCTATTCTGTTAGCCGACCTCGAATCATTTTGGGACTAAGGCTTTGTGGTTGTTGTTCTATCTTATAGAATGATAAGTATCAAAAGTGATTCAACATGTGGCAGAGCAATTTGCAAATGAAAATAGATAACTCGTTCAACAACTGTGCTGTAGATTTTGCAACTTAGGGCGTGTTCAGCATTGACTTAGTTGAAACTTTGAGCGTTTGGCAATGTAGTGGTTGGTGTAGCTTTTGGTGGTAGAGGTAGCTTTTATTAAAAGCTAATATTATAAGCTTTTGAAAATTTGAAGTAGTAGTTGATAATTTAGTATATGTAACAGCTAGTTAACAACTTCTTATCAAATATCATTTAATGTCCTCTGGAATGTCCCTTTAGCGTATTTGATTGTTGCTATGATTGCCTCCATGATGAATTGATGAAACACGTTTACTGTATGGACAAGTCTGATTTGGCCTTGTTGAAGGAAACTTTTATCCATTTATATATGTATGCTTATATATGCATATAGTCACATACACATACATGGTATCAAGATGTCTGCGATAAGAATTACTCTGCTGTCAAGATTTTTGTACATTTACTATATTAGCAGAGTGATAAGAATTACTCTGTTTTACTATGCACGGTTTTGGCATCATAGTTAGGACTGAGGAGGAATTTTAAGTTGGATTATAACTTGAAATGAGGCTTAGCTTCAACAGTTTTTTTTTTTTTTTTTTTATGTGGCTAATGAGGCCATTGATTCTTCTATAAAGTTCAGTTTTGTAGCACAGACATTGCAAAAACTTCTCACTTTCTATTGATTTTAAATTTGTTGGAGTGTAACATGTCTTTGTTTTATGTGCTCACTATTGAATCTTAAAGGAACATATTGTTTAGTCTCCATGTCTAAAAGAACAAGGGTTTCTCTTTATCTAATTAGAGTGTGTATGCCTCTCTGGCATCGCGCCATTATTGCAATATTGAAGTATTTGGTCTGAGGAAGTGCCAGAATTTTAAAGCAAGCAGCCTCTGTTAACCTTATTTTAAGCATGAGCTGTGTCTAATTAGAGTGTGTATGCCTCTCTGGCATCGTACCATTATTGCAATATTGAAGTATTTGGTCTGAGGAAGTGCCAGAATTTTAAAGTGAGCAGCCTCTGTTAACCTTTTTTTAAGCATGAGCTGTCTTCCGTCCAGCCTCGTCACAATATGGGGCTATTGTTTGTATATCATTTTGGTTTAGTGCTGTTCAAAAGTGTCAATCTTATTCAATTGAAGAGAATCTGATGGGGATGTTGCATGAACCAAGAAATAAAATTTATCTTCAGTGGTCATGAACAAAACCCGCTCCTTCTATCAAGTGCTATACGCTCTTGTAAACCCGATTTTCTCATATCAATTTTAGCTTCTTCTATCCAGTAAGAGAATATGTTTGTACCTATTGCTAAAGTTTCAGCATTCTAATGCTGGTGAATGTTTATGCTGATTGCTACTGCTACTTGGAGAATTTAGTATCATTACTGCATTTTCTAGTCTTGTCTTTGTGTGGCTGCATCACTTCATCAACATCACCTTGTACTTTTTACTAGCTGTAGGATTTGTTTACTTGCATACTCACTGATTTCTTGTGGGCATTTGCAGCTTGGACGTGGTTCATTAGTTCAGGCACCATTGGACGATGATGCTAGTAAAACCATGTGATTGCCTTATTCTTTACTTGTTTCTGATAATTGACTACAGACTGGCAGTTGACCTTGCTTCATGATATAGTTCTTACTGCCAATTTTGAATATCTAATGCAGGGTAACAAAATCTCTCTGTGAGAATCAGATATGCCCAATGGATTTGATAAATCCACCAGATGATTGTCATATTAACAGTACCACATCCTTCTCACTACAAGTAAGAGGAATTGTACATCTGTTTCGTAGTTGTATGAGAAAATCAATATGACTTCTTTTTCAGTTTTTGTCACTAGGAAATGCTTCCTAAATCTTCATCTCCTTCTACTGACTGCTTTATCCTCTGTCTAATACTGTACAGAAAGTAGTAAAGTTTACTTTTACCATTTTCTCCCACATATTTGTTTTTTTTACCCCTGTTTTCCCAATTTCAAGTAACTATGGATATTTCTGTAAATCACCTTGTAAGTTTTACTCTTACCAGGGTTCAGCATTTTATATTAATATCATATTATCATATAATAAGTGACATTTAACAATTTGATGGTCAAAATATTGCCTCAAGCTCTCTGATCTCTCCTCTGAAATGTTATAACCTCACTTATCCGATTATCCTCTCCTTAGATTCTCTCTATTTTTATTTTTTGCTGCTGAGAATGTTTCTTTGAAGCTATTTATGGTTTTACCTTGCTATCCTCTTCTTTCACACACGCCAAGTGGAAATACTAGGATTCTGAGTATGAGCAGTGTAAGTAAGTAATTTAGAGGATTGCTAGATACCCTAGATTTGTGCTACTGCTATACCATTTAGAGCATTACCACTACTACGGTGGTCCTTCTCGACAGAATCATATCTTAATATGTTACATAATAATTCAGTACAATTGACTTCTACAGTCTCTTGGAGCTGGTGATATGGGCAGGCAACATTTATCTACTGCATATTTCTATGTGGCAGATATGCCGTGTTGAAGACATTCTTGTTGATGGTCTTGTAAAAGGAAGTATAATCCACTTTCATAGGGCGAGGACAATTGTTGTGAGTGCTGATGGGATGATAACTGCATCGGAACTGGGTAATAAAGTACTTCCATAATTTTTAGTTTTTTTTTTTCTTTTTAAACTTGTTAGGCTCCGTTCACTTCACCTTATTTTTACTGAATTGAAATTATTTTTTACTGAATTGAAATTAATTTTACTGAACTGAAATTATTTTTGCTGAACTGAAATTATTTTTACTGATTTTCTATTATATTTCTTCATTAAATTTACTAATTTTTACTGAACTGAAATCATTTTTGCCGAATTGAACTTATTGAATATTTTTTTTTTCAAGGTGAAGTGAACAAGGCTTTATTGCTGCAATTTCTTAAACTTTATACATGAAATTGCTTATAAACATTTTTAACATATCTAATAACTGATTAATCTGTATTATTGCATGAACTCTTGTATAAATTGGGGGATTTTATATGGTGATACATCTATAAATTAGTGTTATTGCATGAACTGTTGTATAAATTAGGCCCTATATATGCTGATACTACTTTATCTTATATGCTTTAATGCTCTTGGATGGAGCATGCACTAATCTGGTAATTCCATTTATCTTTTTGTTTACTTGTTTTGTTGCTTTATACTCTTATACATGCCTTTTTTTTTATGAGGTGGTAAAATCTGAAAATTATTGCTTTTAGGAACTCTTGCGAAAATTCATCGTGCTTCTGAATACATTGCGAATTACTTCACATTAAAGGAGTTTCCTTTTAACATCTTGTAAAAGCTTCCAAAATTAATTTCCTTGCCTCATGATTATATTATTGTTTTCCAGGTTGTCGAAAAGGTAATGGTAAGGGAAGATTCTTAGATGGTGCTGGCAGTGGTGCTGGGCATGGAGGCAAGGGAGGTTCAGGGATGTTCAATGGAACAATAAGTGAAGGTGGGAGTATATATGGCAATGCTAATCTTCCTTGTGAGCTAGGAAGTGGATCTGAGGGTCCAAATGAGTCGTATGGACATGTGGCTGGGGGTGGAATGATAGGTAAGCATAGTTCCTAATTTCCTATTACTCATTGAGAGCTTACCAGTGATTGTCCTATAAATATATCTACAAGAATAAAGCTCATTTCTGTGTTTCCCTTTGAATTTCTAAACTTTCAGTGATTGGGGCAATACAATGGCCATTACTCAGACTTGATATGTACGGATCATTAAGAACTGATGGTCAAAGTTATAGTCAAGAGATTAATAATAGCAATGGAGCTATAATTGGTGGTCTTGGTGGGGGCTCTGGTGGTACAATTCTTCTTTTTCTTCAAGAACTCGTACTTGCTGAAAAATCTAGCTTATCAGCTGCTGGTGGAAAAGGTTGTCCTCTTGGCGGCGGCGGCGGTGGTGGTGGAAGAATTCATTTTCATTGGTCTGACATTATTATTGGAGATGAATATATTCCCATTGCCGTAGTAAATGGTACCATCTACAGTGGGTATGTATAAGTTCATTATCGATACTACTTAAATTGTTCTTAGAAAATTATTTATCTGTTTTGAAGGTAAGAACAAAGAACAGAATACATTAATAATTGATATGTTAACCTCTTACTCAAAGGGAACCACTCCTAACATCTGGATTCTGGAGCAGCTCTTGATACTATTTAAATGTGATTCTATCTGACAATGAATTTGAGGGTCATGGGTCTCCCAGGCATGCTGTGATACTGGTGGTGTTGTTGGATTTTTATTTATTTATTTTTTAATACTGTGTCTCACATTTTAATCTTAGGATGCTAAACCAGTCTTTTTTTTTCTTTTTCTTATAGAAAAATCTAAAGCCGGTAGGATTTAGGGTAGTCAGTGCCGGAACTTCATTGTATTAAAATTTTAGTTTTTGTGAAGACACTGACCCAAAATTTTAGTCAAAAGAAAGCTGTAAAATTGTTTTGAAGCTTGAAGATATGAGGTGAAGAACTCGGTGGTGGAATCGGATAGTCATTGTTATAAATCGTCTATCGAAAGCTGTGATCTTTTTCTCGGATCTTGATGATGTTATGTTTGTATGCAAAGACTTTAATTTTGTTTCTTGGTCTCATGGTCTTAGGGATGGGAACTTTGTCGCCCATCACCTAGCTAGGATAGTACCTTTTGGATTCGAGCAAGTGTGGGAAAATCATTGTTCTTCCGCTATTGCTCCCTATGTATTAATGGAAGATTTGTCCAACTCTTGATTGATGGTACCACTAGCTATTCCTCTAAAAGTTTGTGTAACTCATTAAAATGGACTAAATCACGTTGACTCATTGAATTTACCTGCCTCTTACAGTTTTGCTTTTTGAATCCATTAAAACCTCTCTTTTAGTCTTTGATATTGTTGACTGTAAATTGATCAGATTTGATTACAATGAAAGAATGTATTAGAATTAGCTAGTCTGACAATACTGGGAAAACATTTTGGCCATATGTACATGTATCATCATGCATTTGGAAAAGTATTTTTCAGCTTAGTTTGATAATCAATCATAAATGGTTACATTAAGATTAAGATTTGTGCTCAACACCTCTTAAGATTTGCGCTCAACACCTCTCATGCAGTTTTTTTGTATTTCTAATCAGCATGAAGCTTACAGATTGTACATGTGATATTTTAGTTTTCACCAATTAAACTTTAGCAACTTGTAAAATTCACTCCCCTGTCTCTGAATCATTAATGGTTGATCTGTGAGAAATATAGGTGAATATGGGTCATTATCAAGTGTAGGTGTCCGACTGTGAAAAATTTTGGTTTCTTGATTGATCTATGATTATCATTTAGTTATTGTCGAGATGCCATGTCGAGAATGTTTCCATGAATAAATTCTTAAACTGCAACTGTGAACCACACTTTACTCCTGGAGCCATAAGGCCCACAGTATATGTTGTATTTATTTAGAATGGCAGCATAAGTTTTTCCGTTTAGGTGAAAGAACATCAAGGATTTTTTGTTTGTTTTGTCTCATTAAATTGCAATCTTACTACCATACTTTTGTTATAAAAATATTTACAAGCTTTATGCTGGTTTAAATTAGATGCCTCAGGTTGGTTGTATAACAACTTTACTTATTGTTAACAGAGGAGGAGCAGGGGATAGCTTAGGTTTCTATGGAGAAGAGGGCACAATCACCGGGAAAGAGTGCCCGAAGGGACTTTATGGTATATTTTGCAATGTAAGAGTTTGCTGCCTTTAAAACTTACTACTTAGATTTTAACTGTTAAGACATTGCTTTTGTGCACTGAAAGGAAGATTCTTTATTTTTTAGTGTGTCTTGCCAGTTTGTTTCTTGGGTTTCCTTCAAAGCCTTAGTGAAAGTGGTTGCTGGATGATGTCACAGTGAACCTTAAAACTTTTGTTTTTCTTATGGGGATGATTTCACCCCTCATTGATGCAGCTACAGTTTGTGAAGTCATCCGTCTTATCCCTTGACAGGGTTCAGTTTTGTAGGGTCGTGCCAGAGAAACCACTATTTGACAAGTATGAAGGCTCTAAATTCATTGCAGCACTTTCATATTCTTTGTTAAGGGATGTGGTTCAGGCTGAGAATCCAGAACATTTTCACAGTTCTTAGCAGTTAGCAGTCAATGAAGGGAGAATTCTTGACAATCCCCTTAAAATTATTCCCCTGTTCCTAATTGTTAGTTTGACTTTTCATTTTTCATCCAATCCTTTCTGTCTTACACCTTTTTTTTTTCTTTCTATTTTGTAACCTTTTGTTTACCAACTTTTCTGATATAATACTTCATTTCCTACATTTTTGTACAACACAAGCCCCCACATACAACACTATATTCTATACATTAATCCCCATACACTCTATCCTAATTTTTCTTGCATATACCCCAATTGCCACACTCTCTCTCCTTCCCTCCTAAATTTGTATGTCTACAATAAGTTTAACTAACTTATAGCTACGGAAGTAGGACAAGTATAAGATTTAGATCATGAGGGTTGCACTGATGTGATTTTTCATAATGGGCTATAAATTAACATGTGGTTGAATTATGCTAGAGACATTGTGGTGAATAGCTTTTATTTCCCTGATATTATAGGAGTGCCCTATCGGAACTTTTAAGGATATTGATGGCTCTGATGAACAGCTTTGTACTCCTTGCCCTCAAGAATCACTTCCCCACCGTGCAGAATTTATTTATGTACGAGGTAGATAAATACAGTGCAATTTTTTTACAGATATATAAATAAATCCATATTATATCTCTGTTATTTTTTCCTTTTTGGCTTTTGACTTCTGTTGAAGCAATAATGCAGGTGGGGCGAGTCAACCATCATGTCCATACAAATGTATTTCTGACAAGTACAGAATGCCCCACTGCTTTACACCCCTCGAGGAGCTGATGTATCCATTTGGCGGGCCTTGGACATTTTCCCTTCTCCTCCTATGTTGTTTGGTAATCCTAGGTCTATTGTTAAATTTGCTGCGCATCAAATTGGTTGGATCAAGCTCCGTGTGTCATAGTACGTACTCATTTGAGCAGCGCGGTTTGGATTGCCAGTATCCCCATCTTCTCTCTCTATCAGAGGTATGGTCTTGATGTCAAACTAGTTTTCTTTACCAGAGATGGATTGCTTGTATTAGTATGCGCATATAATACTTTCTTTATCCCAGGTTAAGGGACCCAATAGAGCTGAGGAAACTCAAAGCCATGTCTACAGGATGTACTTTGCTGGTCCAAACACCTTCAGGGAGCCCTGGCACCTTTCATATTCTCCTCCTGATGAAATCGTGGAGATAGTGTAAGATATTTATTCATTCTCCCTTTTTGTGAATTTATTATTGGAGTGATTGCTGCTATAATCAAAAGTAATTCCTAAAACCGCTAACTGAAATAGACCAATAAGGAAGTAGGGTTAAATCCACAGGGAAACAATGTTCTTTTATTTCTCATAGATTATTATAATCTAAATTATAAAGTACGAGTAAGAAATTTGGGAATTATACTACGGCAATAATTAAACTAGGGGAATAAGCAATAATAAAAAGATCTAGGTCAGGTTCACCAATAATTAATACTCCAGGATAAAACATAACAATCAATTATCAATGCATAAATTAATGGCTTTCGTTACGTATTATAATCACAGATTAATCTATCGGTATTAAATCGCATCTCTCGATTCTTGACGTAACAATTTATAAATTAGTTCTACTTATTGAAACTAGGCCTTAAACCTGCGCAAATCTAATTGCATAGCCTAATAACAATCAATAGGAAATTAATGAAAAACATTAACAATGAACAATAATAAATTATCCCTTCATATTAATCATGGATCCCCCAAAATCCCTAGAATTAAACTACTCGCACATAATTAAATCTAAACTAATCAAAACAATTAAATTAAGTATGATTAAAAGCAATAATGATAAAACTTAAATAAAGAAGCAAAAATAAATAAAGAACAATAATATAAAGTAAACTTAAAACAAATAAAAAGAGCCTGACTAATACTAAAATAAAACTAAAACTAAGAAAACTAACTACCTCCGTAAAACTACTACTACTCCTATTATAAAGAAGTAAAGCTAAACTAATTAGGAAACTAAGATAATCTTAATAACATAACTAAAAGTCTAAGAAGTCCAAATCCTAACAAAAGAATGACAACTCCTCCCATAAAAACCAATGCCCCCATTAATAATGGGCCTTTAAATAGAACCAAAGCCCAGTTGACAACAACATTGTTCCAAAGAAAGGAACTAGCCCCTGATAGGGCCATGGTCTATAATTCATAGCTCTTGGGCTGGTCTTCTTGGGCCTTCTTAAATTGCCTTGAGTCTTTACTCTAGTCTGTGTACTTCATGCAGGCTTTTACACTTTAATTCGGAACTTGTGTGGCTACCCTTTTGTCAAACTGAGCCCTCAATCACCGGACGAAATTACTCGAGCTTGGTCTTGTACTTCAAATATCTAGTCATGAAATACAATCCGATTCTAATGTCTTTGTAGTGGTTAATAACCTCGGGGATTGTCATAATTCTGCAAATTCCTGCAAAATAATACCAACTCTATAAAAACACTAGAAAACGTATATTAATAATAAAAATAGCTCCGCAGAGCTCAAATAAGCACAAATATGACCATGGAACAGAGAATAAAATATATATATAAAATAGACTCATCACAATTTAAATTGGCTTCTCTTCATTAAAGGCTGCTCTCGTCATTGTAGTCTCAAACAGAGTATTGACACTGAACCAAAACTGAATGTCCTGGAGCTAGGTAGAAAAGATTCCAGAATAGGGAGTTGACAACATTATTTGTGTGGTGTCTTTTTAACCAGATGAAGCCTGCATATATGAGTGCTTAATATCATGTCATCCCTAGATCTTACCTGGTTAATAAACTTATTACAATAAAAATAAATAAGTAAATTGAAGATGGCCCAACCTTCTTGACTTTTTGTATAGTTTGAATACATAGAGAAGGTAAAAAAAATAGATGGAACCAGAATATACCCAAGGATTACTAACTATGTAGATCAGATATCTGTGGTAAAGTTGATCATAGCTCTTTTATGCTTATCTTCAAGTTATTTGGGACTTGCAGTGTCTATAAATAGTGACTTAACAGGAAGATTGGTTTTATTGGAGATTGGAGGCACTATAAGGGGAGACTTTGGCTTTGTATTATTCACCTTATTATTTATTCTTTCTTAAATTAGACAGACCAGAGCAGACAAAAGTATAAAGATGACCATTCAAACAAGATAATAATTTTTGACTGGACCAGACCAGACAGTTTCATACCAGAAAGATTTAGACCAGACCAGTCAGATCTTTAGAAATTCAATCCATCTTAAATAAGTTGAAGAGAACATAGCCGTAAAACTTAGAAGAGTAGCAATGTCGATGTATGATTGATAATCCTTCTATTTGCTGAAAATTGATGGAATAGGAATTTGATAGTTTTATGTTGCTCAACCTAATTCATATAATCATATGATCCATGTCTCAGCATTTACATTACCTGATGAGCTTTTTTTACTTTTCGTCCAGGTATGAAGATGCCTTTAATAGATTCATTGATGAGATCAATTCTATTGCTGCATATGATTGGTGGGAAGGCTCTGTTCACAGTATTCTTTTAGTGCTTGCGTATCCTTGTGCTTGGTCATGGAAACAATGGCGTCGTAGAATTAAAATCCAACGTCTCCAGGATTATGTCAAGTCTGAATATGACCACTCGTGTCTACGCTCTTGCCGAGCAAGGGCATTGTACAAAGGAATGAAGGTAGTCATTACGTGTAGTTTTAAAAAAAAAAGAAAAAAATTGTCACTCTTTAGCAATTACTCGAACTCCTATGTCAACTTTTTCTTCACCTTGAAGTTTCTAATTACATGCGTTTCGGTAAATGTGTATGAGAAGGTAAACAAGGAAAGGCTTTGATTAACAAAATTTGAAATGGCTCTCTCTGTTCTCTTCTTCTCAAGGTTGTCTATGATGCGGTTATAATGGTATCAATGTAGGTTGGAGGAACACCTGATTTAATGGTTGCATTTATTGATTTCTTTCTTGGTGGTGACGAAAAGCGTGTAGATATTGTGTCAATCATACAAAAGAGGTTTCCCTTGTGCATAATTTTTGGTGGTGATGGCTGTTATATGTCTCCGTATAGTCTTCATAGTGATGCACTGTTGACCAATCTGATGGCTCAGGTGTGTCACCTTCCCCTTCCCCAATTCATTAGTGACATGTGATGCATTGTATAACCTTGACCCATATTTGTTTCAGCATGTCCCAACTTCTGTCTGGAGTCATTTGGTGGCTGGTCTAAATGCTCAGTTGAGAACAGTCCGGCATGGATTTATGCGCTCAACACTTGCTCCTGTCATTTGTTGGATTAATAGCCATGCAAATTCGCAATTAGAGTTTCATCGAGTGAGGATTGATCTTGGTTGGTTTCATGCCACTGCTTCTGGTTATAATCAACTGGGAATTTGGGTAGTGGTTGATGATTGTACAATCCACAACATGCCTTATCCTGTTTCGCCTAACATCAATGTTGACGAGTCTCTAAAGTAAGTTGCTTATTCCTATTTATTAAATTAGGTTTATGATTGATGTTCTTCAAACACTAGTAAATTCTCATGATGATTGATATATTACCTTGTTATAATGTCAATTGTCATACTTGCTATTGTGGTTAATGGCTATGATAAGGGTGCAGTACGATTTTGTTAGCCCATAAAACCTTTTTCTACAAATCGCCAATAGTAATCCGCATGATGATACCTAGATCTCAATGAAAATATTACCGTTGACTTGTGCTGTCGACTCCTTATCGGTGGTCCCTTAACGTACCCTCACCTTCTGTGTCATCTGCTTTCTGCTTTTTATGCCATTCTATCCATGTATTATATACATATTCATCCTACTAAATGAATCTCTGTTTTTACTATTCTGATTTGTCTCGATATTATGCTTGTGTATTTCTGTGAATCATTCTCTCATTTATTACTATTTCAACAATTGTTACTATCGCCCTTATCTGTCATGCTAGTTGCTACATTGCTACTGCTACTGTCTGAGGATATTATACCTTTACTGAACTACTAATAGATTTTAGCTAAGCAAATGTCAGCCTTTATCTGAACTATCCTTCCCTCTATTAAAAGTGGTCATTTGTAATTTCCTCGCGTTTATCAAATTTCTCCTTGTCTCCCTTTCATCTTTCTCAGCATAAATGGAAGAATGGAGGACAAGAGGTGCAGTCAGCTACAACAGACGCAAAGTCACATGAGCCAGGTGTTAGCTCCAAAGAGGACTGGTGGCCTAGTCAATGGATTTCTTATAAATGATGCCACACTGGGATCTCTGGAATTCAAAAGGGACATTTTCTTTCTATTTTCTCTGTTCCTGCGCAACACTAGGCCAGTTGGTTGCCAGGTTTGTTCAGTATGTTTAATTGTGTTTGTATTGGTAAATTTTTCAAACAATTCTGTAGAACTTTTACTGTAATAATGTGATTCTGATATGTTCTGTATGTTTATGCTGTTCAGGATACTTTGCAGCTGCTCATCTTGATCATCATTTTGGCTGACCTTTCTGTCACCTGCCTTACGCTTGTACACTTTTACTGGATTTCTCTTGGGAGTTTTCTTGCCATCTTGCTTATTCTTCCTTTATCTCTGCTGTCCCCCTTTCCTGCGGGCTTGAATGCACTATTCAGCAAAGGACATAGGAGGGCTTCACTGGCACGAATGTATGCATTGTGGAACGCTACATCTCTGTCAAGCATTGTAAGTTAGGGCTTAAGCCTACCTTATAACGTAACTGTTGAGAATTTTTTTTTTTTTTTTTTTTCCCTTTCAAGTTGCTGTTTATATTGACCTACCCATGGTCTCTGTAACTAGAAATGAAATCTGTGTCTGCATGGTAATCCATAAGTGAGATAAATCTGGTCGATTATAAGCCTGCCAATTCTTGGATCTAGTTCCATGGGTTTGACTACCCTTGTTTGACACTTTAACTATCTTCAATATTTGCAGGTTGTGGCTTTTCTATCGGGCATATCTTACTACACTTTTCTTTCTGTCCAGGCATCGAAAGAGAAAAATGCTGGGATTGCTAAAAGGTCGAGTTAGCGAACTTTTCCTACTCTCCTCTGTCCTTGTAACATTTTGACCAGTTAATTTAGTAATTGTTTTTCTTCTTCATTCTATTTCCTCATTTTCCCACTTTTAGTAGTTAGTAACTTAAATTTGCATTCTAAATTTCTTTCTACATGCTAACAGGGACGATGTTGCATGGTGGCTTTTGCCTTCTATTCTGCTGCTTCTAAAGAGTATTCAGGCTCGATTTGTAGATTGGCACTTGGCAAACTTGGAAATTCCCGATTCTTCTGTATATACCCCAGACCCAGACAGCTTTTGGTCCCATGAATCATAGTTTTTGATAGACCCCAATTTAGACCGAGACTTTCATGCCAATTTTATCCGGCCTTTGACTTGTAAATATGCCCAAGCTGTACAGTAGATCTGCAGAGTTGTGCAGTTTTTCATCTGCAGCTAGAGTGAAAGTAATACATCATTGATGGATTGACATTTATTTTTCAAGGGGAATCAGTGCGTTAAGCTTCTTATTTCTCCTCCAGTATACAGGATTGCCGTCTTGCCTTACTCTCTGAGTAAAATGTTAATGTGGAAGAGAGTGGCTGCTAGCACCGCAACCTATCCTGATTTTTTGATAGGTAGAAGTTTTATAGCTAAATTTGGTCCATTTAAGTGGCAACGCACAATGACTTGATTGAATTTTTTGTAGTTAACTGTGCTAGTAGATTAATACTCATTGGTACTCGTCTTTGTTACCAGTACCAACTTTTAAAAAAAATACCAAATTGAAAATTTTGTATATGAACATAGCATCACAGAATGTTCATCTTTTATTTATTTATTTTTTTTTAATTCTTGATAGCATAATTAGCATGTTCATTAAGCAATGAATATTTACTACTCATTGCATCAGGTTGGAATAAATAGTCGATACTCAATATGGGTGATTTTGAATTTTTTTAGGAATAAATAGTCGATACTCAATACCAGCAACAACTAAATATTGATTTTTATACGTAACAGGCTAACAGCTAGTCAAACCGTTAGTTTACCAAATACCTAAATTATTTATTTTCAATGCTAACAACTACCTTTAAACCTATATTTTACCGACCTATAACCATTAATTTTTTTGGGCCAATTTATAATCAAGAACAGGGCCTTCAAAATAGTTGAGATTGAGACGGCCTTGTCGATCGAGAGCCAGCCCCAGTTGATGAGGCTGATCAACGAAATTTTGTCAATCAGCCAATTTTTGTGGGCCATGGTGTGACAGCAGAGATAATTTTATATTGTTATGTCAGTGTATGACATGGCACTTAAAACGGACGTTCTTTAGGTCGTTAGTAACGTCGTTGATAATATCTCTCATTCTCTCATCTCCATTTAACAATTTTTAACAGTGAATTGAGAAATTCATGTTCAACTAACAAATAAGTAATGGGTAACCACGTACTCGAGCAATTCGACCATCACTGTCTGTCTACGCAGTTATACCAACTACCAAGCCGCCCCACACATTTATTTAAATAAAACTGAAAATCTGAAAAAGATAGAATATGTTCAATGTCTTTTTCAGTTTATAAATCTCCTCGATTAACAAAGGAAGGATATTCCACGGCAAGATTGTAATTAGATCCTTAAATGTGAATAAAATGATAAAATTAGTTTGGCAGGTAAAGTAATTACATTAGGTTTGTTGATCTATTTCTGTGCATTTTGTAATGCTTTCATTCTTCATTTGCCATGTTTCGAATCTTTTATGTCCTTTGATTTTTAGTTGACAATTAAGCAAAGTAAATACAATTCCGAGGATAATTTGACCAAGTCATTTGATTTTAGTTGATATTATTGGGTAATTAATGTATTATTTGGATTGTTCAACTTCACTAATTGAGAATTTCTTCATGTCAATAATATCCATTCAAATCACATGTAAATAATCAATTTGAATTACTTCATTGTTTTACGAATTAATTCATACACCAATAATTATCAATGTCCAATAAATACACTTTCAATTTGGCTAGAGGTTGAGGATATAGATGTGTTGTTTGAAAGAGGTCGGTTTTCAATAAACGCTTCCCCAAAATCTGCACTCCATTGTCTGAAAGGTTGAAGGAGGATAAAGGAATTAAATTTGGTTAGAGGTTCAGGATACATCATGGGTCTCTGCGACTATGCCTCTAAGGAGACGTGAGATGTAGAATTTGTTATATATTGTATAAGCAACTACCCAACTAACTCAGGTTAGTGTTTGCTTTCCAACTTTACCCTTACTTTTATAGGATGATTTTACGAAATTGAACCTTGATAAACATTTATTTAAGAGATAAACTTGAATTTTCTCAAAAGATATTACAATACAAATGCTTTTGGAAAAATGGAATCTAAAAATCCAATCTTTGGCCGGTGATCTGACAATAAAAATCCAACCTTCTATTAATCTAAAAAAATACAACCTTTGCACCCCACCTTCTTTGACAGGTCCATTTGACCTTTAACTTGTTAAACTAGCTAAAAAGTTTTTTTTTTTTTTTTTTTTTTTTTTTTTAAATTTCCTTGTCACTCCTCTTCTTTTTCTCTCCTCTCTACACCACCACCACTTTTGCCACCACCTTAGCACCACGAAACCACCCAACACTACCACCACCTATCACCACCACCTTAGCACCATGAAACCACCCAACACCACCATCTAGCACCACGAAACCACCCAACACCACCACCTAGTACCACGACACCACCCACCACTACAACCCCAAAACCTAGAACCCACAACCCCAACACAAATTAAACCCAGACCCCAAAACCCATAACCCAAACTCAAACCCAGAATCCCGAAATCGAACCCACAACCCCAAAAACGGGTCAGGGGTATTAGAAAACCGGGGTCGGGTTTAGGGTGGGGAGGGGTGGAAACGGGTCAGGGGTTGTCGATTTGTGGTCGGCGGGCGGCGGGGAGGTTCGGGGAGGGGTTGGGCTGGTTTGGGAGGGTCGAATAGGGTGTTTGGTGTGGTGGTTAGGGTTTAGATCGTAGGGAGTTTTGGTGGATGGGGAGGTTGCGACAAGGGGTGGGGGGGTGGGGGGAGATCGCCGGAATCCGACGACCCCGATGGTGGGGCTGGTTGGGGTGGAAGGAAGTTGCCGGGGAGTAGGGGAGATGGCTGGGGTGGTGCGCGGGCTGGGGGAGGTGGCTGGTGGAGTTTTTTTTTTGTTTTTTAATGATTAATAAAATAATTGACCAATTAACGACTGACACGTGACACATAACTTACAAAAAACGGTCATCAACAGGTAATGGATCTGTTGGAGAAGGTGGGGGGCAAAGGTTGGATTTTTTTTGAGATTTTGGATGTTTATTGTCAGACCGGCCAAAGGTTGGATTTTATATTCCATTTTTCCAATGCTTTTAACACAAACCATGATTTTTTTTTTTATGATTTTTTCTTTTTTCACAACAAAAACTAAAATAAGCCAAGTGCAAATGAGTAAATGTAACAAGAAAATCAAAGTTTCTCTCAGAGATAAATTCGTAAATAAATCTACTCTCACAATTTAATTTTTTTGTTCTTTACATTTTTATAAATTATAAAAGTGAAATAGTAAAGTGACACAAAAATAAATACATAAAGTTTATCTCTTGAGCAATCCATTATCATGATTTCTCATTTTAGTACTCTCTCCGTCTCTTTATTAAGAGTCTGTATTTCTTTTTGGGAAATTCAAAATTGAGAGCCTATTTTTATTTTAAGGTTAAAAGGTTGGTATTATTAGAGAATATTTTTTCCCCTTTTGATGGTTGTCATCACTTTTTTGTACCAATGATTTACTTTTGAAAATATAAAAACTAATAATTACACCTTTACCATTTCTGCTCAAAACAATCCCAGCTTTTCAAAATATGAAAATAATCCCACCTTTTGACCCTTATCTGCAACAACCTAACCACCTTCTTTCTCTCTCCTAACCACTACAATTTCTCCCACAAACCTCCCTAACATCTGCAGTAGCAACCCGCACACCTCCCCCTTGCCACTCGCCACACTTCGCACCAAAATAACAACACCGAACAACCACCTTTCACCAATTTTTACAACTCAATTTCTGTCAATCCACTGCCCAAATCGCAACCAAATTTCGACCAATGCCGACCACAATAGCAGCCTCTCCCCTATCCCTGACCGGTTTGTGAAATTGATTGTGATGGGGGTTGTTCGTCATCGGGAACTGGGGAAAGGGTTAGCAGTGGAGACTTCGATCTGTTCCTCGACGTGAAAGGGGTTAGGGGTGGGGATTAATGTTTACCACCGGGGAAGGGAGTGGGTTTGGCAAGCTAAGGCAAGGTAAAGGCGGCTGGTCCTGGCTGGGGAAATGGGAGCTTCGGCAGGCCGGGGAGGAAATTGGGGAAGAAGAAAGTTTTTTTTTTAAAAAAAATTTCTTTATTTTAAATTTATTAAAAAAATACCAATTAGAAGGTGACCCGTGGCAAGTCACCTTCTAAAACAGGTTACTAATTTTACAAACTGATTTAGGGAATATTTTGAGAAAATAGGGGTTAAATTAAAGGTGAGATTGTTTTCCGATTTCGAAAAGGTGGAATTGTTTTGAGCAAATGACAAAGGTGGGATTATTAATTTTCATTTTTCCTTTACTTTTTACATTAATTTCCATCACTTTATCTCTTACTCTCTTCAATTATTCCCAACCATTATTTTTCTCTCTATCACTCTCTAACCCTGCATGCACTTATGTACTTCCACCAACTTTCTTAATTCCCGTGAAAAAACCCAAATAGGCTCATTAATGAATGGACGAAAGGAGTAATTTACAGATAAGAAAAATTAGAAAATAACACCACAATGCAAATTTCACAAAAAAATGGATTATAAAACCACAAAATTTAAAACTTCTATTATATCATATATATTATATAAAAAAAAAAAACAAACAAACAAAAAAAAAAAAAACAAAAAACTTGATTTCAATGTATTTTTGGATGGAATCCGTTAATGGGGCTCATTGTGGACAAGTGTCACTCAACAATTTGTTTAACAAAAGATAAATAAAAAAAAACCTTAAACCCTAACCCAACCCAGCCCCACCACCGGAACCACCTGCCCTTGCCGCCAACAGCCCAAATTCAATCGTCGAAACCCCGGCCCCTTACCCCACCAAAACTGCCGACTATACCACTTTCTCCCTTCCCCCTCTTTTAAAACCACCTTAGCCCTTACAACCACCTCACGCACCGCACCAACGATGAAGAAGACGCTAGATCGCAAATTAAATCCTATCCATCGGTTTTATGGGGGAAGTTTCGGGGGTATTCGGTGTTAGGGGAAGGGGTTTTGGTCATTTTCGATGTTAGAGGAGGGGGTTTTGGGCGGTGGAGAGAGGGGTTTGATTCTGGCGGTGGATTCCGATTTCTGGGCGAAGGTTGGGGTGGTTTTTGCAGTGGTTGAATGGGCTGGATGGTTTCGAGGAGGGGGAAGGGATGGAGTTGCACGGTTTTGACAGTGGTGGTGGGGCTGGTTTTGGGTGGGGCAAGCAGTGCCGACAGCTAGGGTTGGGTTAGGGTTTAAGGGGTTTTTTACTACCTTTGTTTTATATTATTTGTAAGGATTTGACATAAAGTAGAGAGGAAATAATATGAAATGGAGGTAGGATTTATTTTTTGTAAAACCAATACCTAATTGACATATGTCCACAGTGGGCAAAATCCAATTTAATTTTTATGGTGTTAATTTTTCCTTATAAATATGCTAGTATGTAATAGGTTTCCTTTCCACCCTTGAAGCTAAAGTGAAAATCAATCAAAAAAACAAAAAAAAAAAGTTTAAAAATGAATTTATTTGTTCAAAGTTGGAGTGATGGGAAGAAGTTGCCTAAAAGCTACATATTTCCACCTGAAAAAAGACCGGGAGAAAATGGAATTGCTCCCAAAAGCAACCAGAGTATTCCTCTCATCGACCTCACCAATGCATTTGCTGATGCTCATCATCCTGCTCGTGCTGATGTCATCCGCCAGATCATCAAGGCTTCTCAAGAACTTGGAGCCTTTCAGGTTTATTTCTTTGCTTATATCTATATACGTTTCCTTTAAAAAAAACATTTTGCTAACATGAATTGGGTGGCCTGGCAGATTAAAAATCATGGGGTGCCAAGCAAATTACTAAGTGAGGCAAGAAGTGTGATCAAGGAATTCTTCGAGCTTCCAGGGGAGCTATAAAGAGAAATATATCTCTTACGATAGGAAGGATATATTCAATTTGTATACAAGCAATTATAATTATTTTCAAGAAGACCTTCACTTTTGGAGGGATGTTATAACACAACGATGCTTACCTGTTGAGAAATGCGCCCCTTACTGGCCTGACAAACCTGCTAAATACAGGTAATTTTAATGATCAGATCATGAAACCACCACAATGATACATACTTTTATGTATCGTAGTTAATTTGATCGAATTTTAGGGAGATTGTTGGAGAATTTGCGACGAAAGTAAATCAAGTTGGAAAGGAACTACTAAAGCTGATTGCGGAGGGACTACGGCTTGAAGCTGATTACTTTGAAAAGGCAGGAGTTGGTGAAGTTGTTGACATGAATGTGAATCATTACCCTCCATGCCCGGACCCTAAGCTAACTTTAGCCGCGGCTAGGCACAAGGACCGTAGTCTCATAACCATTGTTGTGCAAGGGGATATTCCAGGCCTTCAATTTTTCAATGATGGAGAATGGATCCCAGCTGATCCTATTCCTGATGTTTTTGTTGTTAACATGGGCAATGTCATGCAGGTATATTACTTACCATAGACGTACATTTAAATTATTACCTCCGTTACATATTATTTGCAACGATTAGTAATTTAATACGTCTTACACTTATTTTTTGTTCTAATTAAGATTGTTAGCAACGGAAAGCTTAAACCCGGTGAACATCAGGTAGTCACAAATGAAAACGTAACACGACAAAGTGCAGCTATTTTCCTAAGTCCGGCGGATGATCATCTATTTGGACCAGCTAAAGGTCTTACTAACGATGACAACCCACCAATTTACAGGGATCTTCAGTATCACGAGCTACTTGCAGCTCACAATCGAGGACGTACATTAAAAATAAGCTCTGACGAAACCGTCAAGTCTTTCCTAATTGAAGCTTGATATAATTGAATACCATTATGTACTGTTCCTTTAAAAATTATATTTCAACCCGGCCACATTTATTTGCTACATTTCATTTCAAATTCCGTCATGTTATAAATCTTACTCTGTATAATAGAGTGTGTTTTACTTAAATAAGGTATAATTCATGGATTGATGTACCAATTTAAATTTAAGATTTACTACGTATTTAACTAGTGTGTGGCCCGAGTGATATCCCGGATTTGATAATTATGTTCGACTGTTTGCATAGCTACCGTGTGGTTTGGATGTTCCTTTTTTTTTTAACCTCATATGTATTTAATATCTAATATTGTGAAAATAATTAAATTATATATATAACCTCAATTTTGCTTAATAAATGAAAGGATTATATAAATATAATGTTATGTGCAATTTAAAACATTAATAAATTTGGTAGAGATGGTAAATGTATCACCGCGCCATTATTATTGCCACCGGTTAACCGGTGGCCATAATTATTATTACCACCGGTTAACCGGTGGCCATGAAGACTATTGCCACCGGTTTTGAACCGGTGGCCATGCGTTGCTTTATTGTCACCCCCCAAATGACCACCGGTTCAAAACCGGTGGCAATGGGGGGTTTTCAACCGGTGGCCATTACATATTTTCGCCTAGTGGTTCTTTAAGATTATTAAGACTTTGATTGTTAAGTTATCATTCATTTTATAGGGAGTGGTCAGACTTCGGGCGGTTTGTTCTCTTCGGCTTAATTTTCGTTCAGTTCAGCTCCAATTAGTTGAATTTCTAATTTCCTTCTCTCATAAACTATTTATTTCAGTTTAATTTAATAAATTAGAACAAACCCTTATACTATATTCACTAACTTTAAAAAAAAAACTATTCAATAATTCAATCATTACAAATTAAATGACTAGCGTAAAATTTCATTAAGAAACGTTTTATTATGGATCACTAATTAATTTAAAGCTGGTTTTCTCTATGAATATTTTTATGTTGTTTTTTTTAAAGTATTATACTTAATTCATCGGATAATAATGTTGTTTTTTAAGTTTTTCCTCATAATTATCATGAATAAAGGTTAAAGAGCTACTTTATTTAAATTTTAAACCATTTTTAATTATCTTCTTATGACAAAATAGGGTTCGGCTTTACCTTGATTAGGTCAAGGTATTTTTACGGTTAATATTAACATTTAATAAATCCACTGCGTTTTAATAAGTGTTACAATTTGATCAAACACGCATGTTGAGACATGACTTAGACCATTAACTTATCTAATCATATATTAATAAAATTTTAGGACCATTGATATTATGAAAGTATACGTTATAACGAATCCAATAATGTGTTATACAATAACATTTGTTGTTTTATATATTAGTAAATTAATCAAGTCAAACCATTATGTGAATAATAGTGAAAAAAGTCAAAGTGTAACACTTATTAAAACACGAAAGGAGTATATTAATAACCATGCACTTGCACATACGAAGTATAAGAAGCACTTCTTCCGTTCTTATAAGATTACAACAAGGATGAAATTATACGCATCCCAAAGCACATTTTATATGCCAAATATCTATAATTGTGTAACGGTAAAAATTATAAAAAGTTGATATTAGTGAAAGTATTTTATGAGACGAATCCAACAACATCCCACGTGATTTAATTTTATTTTGCTTAACGTATAAATCATATCATCAATATATATTATTAAAACTCATGGCAAGACATGATCTTTTGCCATGTGTCACCAATTTTGTCATTTGGCATATGATGTGTCGCCAAATCATACCATAGCATTAATTATTGAAAAACTCCATACACTTACTTCCACGTATCAATAATGTTAAGTTTAATTGATAAATTTTTCATATGCATGACAATTTCGCTTAATAATAAATTTTGTAAGAAATTAAACATTACTCCATTTTTATTTTGTGCATTAACTCATAATTTAAAATTGTACCACAGAGTTAAAAGATTTTTGTGCATTATGGAGCAGTAGATATTTTGACATCAAATTTATAAAGATTTGATTTATCATATTTTTATGATTTTAATGTAAAAAAATTATTCTTATAATCAAACCAGCTCATACAAGCAACAAACTACTAAAGCTATCCTATTTAATAAATAATTTTTTTTTAAAAAAAATCACCACTTAAACTCTCAATGACAAACCCAAGCCAAAATATATATAGTACGATTAAAGTAATAAATTTATAATGACCCGGGGCATCGCCCGGGCCAATAACTAGTTATATAGTCAAACAAGAGTGATGAATAATGCAAAAAGTCTATTATTACAGTATTAATAGAACAGAGAAAATATATAATTTTATGAATATTAATTAGCTAGCGTATTTATCCACTGCGTGCGTACATCAAACTATTCAATTAACTTAATAACTCGAGAGAGTGTACACGCATATGTACTAATAACCATTTTATTAGTTTAAAATACAGGTAACATTTTAATATTGGTTGATATTGGTTTAGTAAGACCACATCTATAAAATTTACAACGGTTGCACGAGATATTTTGCATTTACGTATAACGTACATGCAATAATCTGCAACAATAGTGTCGTAGATTTTATCAAACTTGGCTCTCAGGTTGGGTAAGCTGATGCACACTACTTCCCTCACCACCACCCTCTCGTAAGCCTAAACCACCTTTACCCGTCATATTTAACTCACTCTTGACGTGAACATCCTCGTGTACACGTACATCGTCCTCCACCGATACCAACACCTTCTTCGGCCCGCAACACCCGGGCACGATCATTTCCTGCACTTTCAAATGCTCATCCACATCTATATCCTTCCTCTCATGAACACTTTTCCTTCTATTCCTTTGCTTTTTGATGAAGCACCAAATGCTTACGAATAGGGCTCCTAGTAAGAAGAGACAACTGCATGAGATGATCACGACGAATATGATGACTGTTGGATGGTGGGGGTCCGGAGAGGGTGGTGGTGGGATGATTGGGGTGGGCGGCGGGGGTGGATTAGGGTGTGGATGAAAGGGTGGTGGCGGTGAGAAATGAGGGAAGTCGAAGTCATTTGTGGAGCCAAAAACCATTTTAGATGATTTTTTTGTTATTGGGAATTATATATATAGTAGCTTAGTTGATATATACAAAATGATTGATGAGATTGGATTGAATTTGGATAATGGATGAAAGATGGTAAGTTTGAATGAACTATTTATATAGTATACCTTCTATGTTCATAATTTATATTTGTGCATGCTTCTAAGCATTTGATAACTTAGCACTTTTACTAAGACATGAAAATTGCATTTGAAAACACTTCTATATAATTTTGAACCAAAGTCACTCCATTATTATTTGCACTCTAGTAATTAACTAAATACAAGTAATTCCATCGTATGAGTAATAATAAGCCACATAAGGTGGTTAAACTATTAAAATATCTCAAATATCCTCTACTTTCTCTGTCTCCTTTTATTTACTCCATCCCACAAATCTACTTTATTAAGAAATACTCCCTCTGTCCCACTTTACTTGCAACATTTTGATTGGACACGCTTGCCGATGCACATGTTTGACCGTTGATATCTTTTATTATATATTTAAATAAGTTATAAAAAGTTAATATTTGTGAGTAATAACCAATTAACTCTGGCCCAAAATGGATGGGGCAATTAATAAGAGACATTCATTTATGGAAATGGAGCGCAAACAAAAGAGACAGAGGGAGTACTATTTAAGAAACTTTGGGGACTAATGTAATTAATTATATTATTATTTTCAAGTTTCAACACTTTATCAGTTTCTGGTACTACTACTCTACCAGTACATAAGTACATTCATTATTAATTTCCGTTAACTTATCACATATTTACATCTCCATTTCAAATATTTTTGTCCGTTAACCAAACCAATCACCAAAAAAAAATGTTATTTTCACGTTCAGTCATATACCCATATACAATACACCCGTTACACATAATTATATCTCAAAATTTCATGAATTTCAAAAGAGAGTCAAAACTCATTCTTGATACTTTATAGACATCTTCATCGGTGTCTTATGGTTTCAAACCACCTTATATGATCCCAGGGATCACACCGCGCATTCAATTCATTTTTTGGAAAATTGTCAAAAATTGACTCGAAATCGTGTATAGCCTTCAATTTTGGACAATATTCAACTTTTTTTGACTCGAAAATAAAAATTGCCGAGATGCTTACCATGGACCCTAATACACCTCGGGAGTCCATTTGGGTGGGTAAAACCATCCAATATGCCTTTAAATAGTCAATTTACCAGTTTACAATTTGAACCGATTTCATAAAACCAAGCCTACCGCAGACATTTATGACAAGATTGACAACATATAATGGTCACATATGGTTCCAAACGGCATTATATGACCCCGAGATGTATACTCTATTATCTCAAAACTTTTCGACACCGGGTCCCAAAATCTTCAAAATTGCTCAAAAAACGTGGATAATAGCCTTTAATTTTGGAATTTTATGACATTTTTTGGTATGGAAATAAAAATTGTCGAGATGTTTACCATGAACCCTAATATCCTCCGGGAGTCCAATTGGGTGGGTGAAACCATCCAATTTGTCTTTAAGCATACAATTTACCTGTTTACAGCTTGCACCGATTTCATAAACCCAAGCCTACCACGGAAATTTATGATAACATATAATGATCATTTATGGTTCCAAACGACATTGTATGATCCCGGGATGTATCCCCTATTATTTTAAGATTTTTTGACACCGAGTTTCGAAACCACCAAAATTGCTCAAAAGTGTGGATAAATAGCCTTCAATTTTGAAATTTTTTGACTTTTTTTGGCCCGAAAATAAAATTTTTCAAGATGCTTACCATGGACCCTAATATACCCCGAGAGTCCATCGGGTGGGTAAAACCATTCAATATGCCTTTAAACAGTCAATTTACCCGTTTACAACTTGCACCAATTTCATAAAATCAAGCGTACCACAGACATTTATGACAACATATAATGGTCACATATGGTTCCAAACAGCATTATATGACCCCCAAGATATATCCCCTATTATCTCAAGTCTTTTTGACACCGGGTCTCGAAACCTCCAAAATTACTCAAAAAGCGTGGATTATAGCCTTCAATTTTGGAAATTTTTGACTTTTTTTGGCCTAGAAACAAAAATTGCCGAGATGTTCACCACGAACCCTAATATCCTCCGGAAGTCCAATTGGGTGGGTGGAACGATCCAATTTGCCTTTAAGCATCTAATTTAGTCGTTTACAACTTGCACCGATTTCATAAACTCAAGCCTACTGTGGACATTTATGACAATATATATTGATCATATATGATTCCAAACGGCATTATATGATCGCGGGATGTATCCCCTATTATTGTAAGACTTTTCGACACCGGGTTTCGAAACCACTAAAATTGCTCAAAAGCGTGGATAATAGCCTTCAATTTTGAATTTTTTTTTTTTACTTTTTTTGGTCCGGAAATAAAAACTGCCAAGATGTTTATCATGATCCCTAATACCCTCCAGAAGTCCAATTGGGTGGTTGGAACCATCCAATTTATCTTTAACCATCCAGTTTACCCGTTTTCGTACACGCCTCTTGTATTGGCTATAGGTTTTCATGGGGCCTTTACGTAGCCGAATAATGGTCTTATATGGTTCAAAACAATATTATATGACCCTACGATGCATCCCGTAGTGTTCCGTGAATTTTTGAAACTGAGTCCCGGCGACATCTCCTGAATTGCTTCGGTATCGTGTATTAGCCTTCATATTTGGCTTCTGTATGTCATTTTTTCACCCGGCGAGATTATGCATCCAAGTGCTTCCATGGGATCTTAAAGGGCCTTGGGAGTCATACATAGTGCCGGAACCATCTCATTCATTCCTAATCATCATGTCTTAAGGCAAAGTCGACATATCCTCAAATGCAAAAAAAATATCCAACTATGCCTTGTCCTTGGGTGCACATGTCTTGTACACATGCCACACACCCCCTTGCATCATCCAACATCCCAACATTTAGGCTTTGTGACTTGTCTTAATCCCGTACTTAGCATTTTTTAGCATATAAGATGAATCGCTAACCTCATTTTTCAAAATATAGGTATTTTTAGGGAATAGGATGTGGGAGGGACAAATAGAATTGGCATATGGCTGAATCTCAGTGGATCGTGGCAGCAAGGTAATATCTCGTGCCCCTTATAATATCTCGTCGCATGTTTAAGTCGGTTACAAAGAATTCAACTCGCCACTCGGTAAGAATTTGCTTAGTGTAGGGGGATTCCTTACCTCCCCATCTACTCTCAAGTTTGATCTACGGAAGTAGGCTGGATAAACCTATAAAAAGTGTCGATTCATTAGGATCTTTCATCTTCCCTTAAAAAAAAATTGTCCTCAAATGTTTTCTTTTCAACCCCTAGTTACAATTTATAATTGGGCCTAGTGTAAAACATTAACATTAAAAGAAAATAAAAACCTAATTTTGATTGCCCACTCTCAAATTTGTTGAACACAAAAAGCCCACTTTCTAATACACCACTCTTTCTCATCTCACCTCCCCCTAGAAGAGAGAGAAAATTACATCACTCAGAAAACACAAATTTCTGAGATAGTCGCCATTTCCAAATTTCAACCTTCTTCAGAAAAAAAAATGTACCGTCAAGCCACCGCCCGCCTCCTCCGATCCGCCAAATCAAAGGCTTTTTCAACGTCAGCGGAAGTTCCGGCGGAAACACCAGCAGGTGTGGCAACATTTCTGGAAAAATGGAAGAAAAATGTTCCAAACATAGATCCTCCCAATACCTCTTCTTCTTACATGAAGCTTCGTCCTCCTACTCCTTCTACTATCCCTTCTAAGCTCACTATTAATCTCGCTCTTCCTTACTCCACCTCGCTTTCTACTAAAGAGGTTCGCTTTTTTTGGTTTTCTCTGTTTTTTGGATTTGATTGTTGTTTAGTTTGATGGCGTTTTGATGAAATTGGGATTATTGAGATCTGGGTTTTTTTGGATTTGATGGTAATTTTTGTGGGGTATTTTTTTTGGGTGGATTTGGTTTTTTTTTTATATGGTCAATGTAATTAGGGTTTGTATTGATTTGTTTGCTAATAGTTGGTAGATGTAAGTTGCATTTGTATTTTTGATGAATTAATATGGCATGGATTGTGAACTGTGAAAGGAGATAGTTGACATTCAATTTGATTGGATTCTTCTAATTAGTATATGGGTAACTGGCTTTATATTATTAAGGCTAATTGTATAATTTTCCTTTATTTTTGCGTACATTGAGTAGTTTAAATGAATTTCCATAACCTTTAGCTCACTTATTGCTGCAAGAACTTTTTCCCTGTGCCTATCTGTTATTGGTCAGCTTTCCTGCCTTCTCTTTAATGGTAATTTATTGGGAATTCTTGATTGTTTGGAGGAAATAGGTTCGTTCAAGAGGGTTGGTGTGTGGTGATCTTGTAGCAGTAATTTTCCTGGTAGAAGGACATAGAGTGTGATATAGACTCTTGAGGAGGGTCGCAAATGAGAGATGGTTGCATCTATGCAGTGTGTGAGTTCGTGCTAATGTACACTATAGATGAACTGATGATATTTAGATCAGATTGAGACCTAAATGCTTATGAAAGGTAAGTCGTGATGGGGAGATAGAAAAAGATGCTTTGTGGAATTTGGTTAGTTTTGTACAAATGTGCATATTTATGAGATGGTAAATGAATCTGTCCCAATTATGTTTGAGATTAATCATGTATATATTTTAGCTTAATTTTTTCTTTCATGTCTTAGTGGCCAAAATGTTTGTCTTTCGTGTGTCCTCGCTTATTTTGTGTGAACAATGTGCTTCTGAAGGCCTTACTTTGCTGGTCATGATTGTGCTCTTAGCCTTTCACCAGTGAGAAGCACCAAATTAGGAAAACATTGTTGGTTTATAATCCCTTGTTCTAGAGACTTTAGGCTCTATTGGGTCTCTTAGCTTTTTTCTGTAGCATTTTCTGCCAGTAAAGGGTATATTTTTTCATTGAGCACCATTATAAGCTGCATATGCTTGTTTTATGAGGTTTATGTCATAAATTCTGCCACTTCTCATTATTTGTAGGACTTTTCTTGATTCCTTGTATGTGTATGTGGTCTCTGGCATGCACATGTGTATGTTCTCTGGTGTTTAAACCATCATCTTTTATACAAAGTTGTGTGTAGTAACTTTGATATTTGATCTAGAGGGTTGTAATGTCTCTTTGAAGTCTCTATTTTTTGTTTGATTGAATGCAAATATGATGGAAATTATAGTGTTGGTTTGATTTTGGATTTTAGGGTATTACAAAGTATATACTTTGGATTGCGCCTATTTCATGATACTACCTATAAAAAGATCCATACAAAATCGGTCTCTGTGTGTGTGCGCGTGCGCGTGCGCGTGTGCGTGCGTGCGTGCGTGTGTGTGCGCGCGTGCGTGTGCATGAACTAAATGAAAATGGCCCATTAAAGTGTCTGTGCTTCTACCTAATTATGATGAAGTAATTGACGGTTGCATATTGGATGAAGGCTCAATTGGAAACAACCTTAGTGTTATAACAGGATTGTGGCTGTAGGCTCCTTAACCCTACCCAGGGTGGAATCTTCTTTTTAAGAAATTGGACGTAATGTTGATAGCGGTGAATTTTCCTTTTGAATGGACATCACATATCATAGAAGCACCCTTGTGAAATTCTTTATAGTTAGTGATTACTTACTGAGATACAGATGATGTGAATCATACCGTAGTATAATTTTTGAGTTCCAACAGAGTTCAAAAGTGCAAAAATTATGGGTAGCTGATTAAGTCTCTTAGATCTTTCAAACCTTCATGTTAGAAATTATCAAATTTTGTGTTTGGTTTCATTAGCCTTATACATATATAGACTACATCTGAAATCTGCTGGACATTATCCCATTTTTCCTTCTTGGTAGTTTATGCCCTGACATTATCACTTAATTAATTTATGTTGAGGCTCCAGTGTGACTGTGTGGGAGTGTGTTTTGCACTTTTGACATGTATTTTTCTCCTTTGGGGTTGAGGTGGGAAAATTGATCTGTCTTTTCCCTTTATTGGAGAAGTTTCTCCTAAAAATTGCAAAAGTAGGAAGACAAGTAACACAAATCATGCTGCTCAACACTTCTATTTATTACCCCCCCTTCTTCCTGCAATTGAATTAGTTTCCGCACTCTTTCATTTTGTATTTCGTCTTCTTTCAGGTTGATATGATCATAGTACCTGCAACCACTGGTCAAATGGGTGTGCTTCCTGGTCATGTTGCAACAATCGCTGAGTTGAAGCCCGGGGTCATGTCAGTTCATGAAGGCAATGATGTGTCAAAATACTTTATAAGCAGTGGGTTTGCATTCATCCATGCAAATTCATATGCTGATATTATTGCTGTTGAGGCTGTACCTGTTGAACAAATTGACCTTGCTGCTGTTCAGAAGGGCCTTGCAGAATTCACTCAAAAGCTCAATTCTGCATCCACTGATTTGGAAAAAGCTGAAGCCCAAGTTGGAGTGGATGTCCACAGTGCTCTTAATGCTGCCCTCACCGGCTGATATTTAAGCTGAATGTGATTTTTCTTCCATTTTGATTAACTCTTATAAAGGCATGTTGAATGTTTAGGATCATTATACTGTGCAGCTCTCTATGGATATCGCTGTGTTGGCCTGGAAAGCTTAATAAATTTTATGTGAAACAAGAGCCCCCCTGCCTTTCTTGTTGCAAACTCACAGATACGCTGTTTTTGATGCTCCGACTATTTTTTTTTGTTTGTATGGCCAATCTTAGGTCAATAGAAAAGCTGCATCATTTGACATGTATCCTAAATTGTTGAGTTATTAGTTTTGAATGCTAAAGTATCTTTCTATTGTAACAAATAACATCAGTACATCACCAAGCTGTCCTGTCAAACGCCAAGAATGTTTTTGTTCAATTCAATTTTTTGTTCCAAGAATTTTTCCTTTTTTGTTAAACTTATACAGTAATTACCTTATCTTTCTTCTTCATCAACTTCAAAAGACACTTTGAAAATTTTGAGGCTTCTTTAAAGGTTCTCGACATATGAGAGGTGATCTTGGAATCGATTCTCATCACCCGACCTTGTGGTTCTCTAAGCACCCAAAAAAAAAAAAAAAAAAAAAAAAAAAAAAAAAAAAACACACACACACAAAACAAAGACATACTTCAGTGATTTTCAGTAGCAAACTTGTTACTTGTGCGAATTAAACATAAATCAAAGACATTTTTCGTATAGTGGAATGAACTTCATTTATCAAAAGCCACCAAGTATAGCTTATACTAAAATTTACATGGTAAAGCTTTAGAGCTGTAATTATGTGGTACAGGGCTTCTGTACAATTTACAAGACTAATAATTATAGCTTTCAGAGGTCATATAGAGCAAAAGGAATGATCTAACTCATCATCTCTACTACATTTAGCAATCACTGGTCTTTGTCCCGAAGTTCTCCTCTTCATACACAAAAACCACAGATGAATACACTTAAGCCTTGCAACCCTCTGCTAAACTCGAATGCCTGACCGGTCACTGTTTGCAAGATAAATAAATCTTTTGGTTCTGTCATAACCTTGAGCGTTGTCTCCATGGGCATCCACCTTCAAAAGCCTGTTCTAATACGTCTTCCATTCGCTTGGCATAAATTATCTGTTGGTTGAGAGAAGTGAAATCATTAGGGAACAAAATTAATGGGCTCCTTTATATCAGACATCCACATTTTACTTCAAGGGTTTCTTTTTTCTTTTTTTTTCTTTTTTTTTTCCTAATTAAAACATTTTACTACAAGTTTTCTAATTGTGCAAGGCAATTGGTTCATTACTTCAAAAAAAAAAAAAAAAAAAAAAAGGACATTACTTCAAGATTAGAAAGAACTGCTGAAGGCACTTCAACCAAATCTTTTGAATTCCTCTGAGGCAATATGATTCTCTTTATACCATATCGATGTGCCGCCAATACCTGTTACATAGCAAACAAAGAAAACTAACAATTTAGATAACCCAACTCCTACACCAAAGACCTTATGCCAAACAATATGCTAAAATTTTTAATGAGTGTCACTTAGATATAGTTATGTAACAAATTTACTTGACAGACAGATAGAAGTTTGGTATTTGAGCAGAAATTAAATCATAGACTCAAATTCCACTTATACAATCTAATTATCACCATTAGAACATATGCACTGGTGGAGTAGCAGTACTCTGGTTATTCTACTGTTCATGATTAGAGTTTCACAGTTTTTTTAGACTAATGCAGCTCCCACAAAACAAAGTAAAGAGCTGATACAAACAAAGGGAGCACATATCAAGGTTAAAAGTGAAGAATCCAGCACATGTGATACAAAAGCAAGGGCACATATGTAAATTGGTCTCTCAAATTCTCACATATTGGCAGTTGGCAGTTTAGGCACCCAGTAACCAAGACCCGTGAAGAAGATTGTAATGATCAAACAAGTCCCAATGATTCATATATATGGAAAAAACTGCTGAAAGGAAGTAGCATGAAAATTGGGGGAAAAAAAACATTGCAAGCCAACCTTATCCTTAATACCACCAACAGGCAACACAAGGCCCCTTAAAGTCATCTCCCCAGTCATAGCCGTATCTGCTCTCATTCTCTTTTGACTTAACAGGGAGACTAGTGCTATCACCAATGTTACGCCAGCTGACGGACCATCCTTGGGTACAGCCCCAGCAGGAAAGTGTATATGAATGTCCCTTCCCTCCATTAAGCTGACTTCACCAGTATCAACTAAGCTCAGCTCCATGGCCCTCGCTCTCACCTATTTACATTTAGATTGTAAAAATTATGTTAAGTGCCATTATTGATTCAAGGATCTTGAACTCAAAGAGAAAAAACATTCTTACCTATAGATTTACAAAACCTGGAAGTCAACGAAATTGAAATATAGTACTCTCAACATTCTATAATCTATAGTATTACGCATATCTAACAGTAGCAGCTAGCTATACAAAGAGAAAATTTACCCAGGTAAGAGCTATTTGTGCAGACTCCTTGATAACATCGCCAAGCTGTCCTGTCAAACGCAATTCACCTTTTCCCGCCATTGTAGTAGCCTCAACAAACTGAACCTCACCACCAAAAGCTGTCCACACCAGACCAACAGAGACCCCAGGATTTGAAACCCGTTCTGCAGTTTCTCTATCATCATACTTTGGTGGCTGCAATCACAAGGAACCCTTTCTGAGAAACCTTCGAAAGATAAGTGTGATTCGAAGAAAATCATGTGTTACCAAAGCAAGATGCTTTTAGTATCTAAAACTAATTCTTGATGTAAAACACAACACTCTTGAAAATAGAAATAACGTTCATGCTTTTTAACTTCAGCCAAAGCCAAAACCAAAACTGATTTTATTATTTTTTATTATTATTATTATTTTTACCACAATCCCTTTCCCACTAGGATGACATGCTGCCGTGACAAAATCAACAAAGAAATTATGACCAGTTCCACCTTATCTGAAAATTCCTGTTTTTTTTAACCCAGCCTTTTAATTCTCTTAAACTAGTCCTGGCAAGAGAAATAAATTTTAAGAAAATACTGCCATTTTCCTCTAAAAATCTAATACGAAGTAGTTGTTCAAAAAAATCACAGAAATACATTGCTGTGAACACATGATGAAACCAATTGACTAAGCAGAAGCTAAGAGACTGTAAATCAGAAGAAGCTCATCAACATTGTCATATCAAAGGTAGCAATGAAAGACAAAAGGCACCCTAGATACTTACTCCCAGAACATTTTCAAGCATAGTTTCATCCACAATCAGAGGCGATATAACCTGCAACGCATTTGAAATTTCTCGATTGTTAACGCCCATTGGAATAACCTCCATTTCAACTTCAGCCCCTTCAGCAAGTCTGCTTTCCTCTACTGGCGAAGAAAACTGATGGAAATCTTTACTAACAGCTGAAAAGTTATCTTGCTCAGCAACTTTTACAGCTGCTGCACGAGCTAAGGCAGACAAGTTCCTTTCCAAACTTCGTACACCAGCTTCTCTGGTATATCTTTGGATGATGAGTTTCACCATACCCTGCCAGAATTAAGACCCCTCGTATCATAAAAGCTCATGTATGTAAAATTCATAATATGATCGACATAAGTCCCAGGTAAACATGACCATAACACAGAAGCAAAAAAGAAATTATTTTATTTTCACAAACCCAGAACTGAACTGAAACTTATTTTTAAGGGGACACTTGGATTAGGGGTAATATATAAAGAGAGATGAGTAGATTAGGTGGTGATATAAGTAATTATGTAGTTAACCGAAGGAGAAGGGAGGAAAAATATTGATTAACCTTTACCCTTGTGTGGTGATGGGTAACTATTGCCTTCAAAATGATGGTAATAATTTCCTCATTCCTCTCTCCTCATACAATCACTACCTCATTTCTTCTACAACCACCTTCATCCACCTCCAATTTCTTTATTTTTCATTCCATTGCCCTCTTGAATTATTTTCCATCCAAGCATGCCTATATATGGTGGAACTGAGCCTTGGTCACCCCAAAGTCCCAAACCCCATATGTTCATAGGCAGTTGGTAGATATAATGTCTCCAAAACACACTTTAAACTTAATTGTCAGCTACTGATTCATTTTAGCAGTTAAATGATTAGTTTAAATTCTTTCATGCATGCATGCACCTACATATATAATGAAGTATCAGAACAGTAAGGTTAACTAACTACCTCCGGAATCTGAAGGAACTCAGAACTTAATCCATGTTGGTCCATGACTCTGGGTATAAGATACTGCATAGCAATTTTGGCCTTCTCTTCAGGTGTATAACCAGGCAGCTCAATGACTTCCATCCTATCCAAAAGTGGAGGGGGGATAGGCTGCAACTTATTCGCAGTTGCCACAAAAATAACTTTGGATAGATCATATGGAACATTCAAATAGCTGTATAACTTTGGTTAGGGATGACATCAAATTCGAATCTACAGTCATGAGATTAGAGTGACTTGCTAATGTATACAAAAAATTCAACTTCAAATGCTGCTTCATGCTATCATATCACTTGTAATCCAAGAGGATGCAGTAGCCTGTGGTCAAAGGCTTCCCAACCCTAATCAAAGCTTGTACCTCCACTTTGTCACTTTTAATTGAAATTTTACTGGGATAAGACTTGGAGATATAGTTTGAAAGAAAGAATAAAGTCTTGCTCCTGTTCAATAGAATGGAAAAGAGAAGAGCAAGGGTTGAATTTAAAATAAAATAAAACAAAGTCAATCTGTCACTGTACCCCTCCATCATTGACCCATCCACTCTTCATCAACCCCCTAGGTCCCTAACAAAACTTATAATAAAATTTAATTGGATCAAACATTTTCCCAAAAAAATAATGATTAAACAATGACATTTGGAGACACTGAGAAACCAAAGCCCCCAGCCGGACCCCTCTTGTTTCCCTTCTTTCAAAGAGGTTGTGAGGAATGAACAATAGGCAATACGATGAGATAAACCATATAAATCTACCGCATTAGAAGATTGGGAACAACCACAAGAAGTTACTGTTTTAAGATACAAACTTCTGGGGATATTATAAGTCATAAAGGATACTGGTCATTGAAACTCTTGTTCTGTTCAGGATCAAGGACTTCTAGCAATGCTGAAGCAGGATCCCCACGAACATCAGAGCCAGTTTTGTCAATCTCATCCAACAGCATAACAGGATTGGAGACGCCCACTCTCTGGAAACCCACAAAAGAACGTAATAACGACATTAAATAGCGAGCAAAAACAATAAACAATTGAAATCAGCATGCAGATGTGACTTTCAAAGATGGAAAATGTGATTCCAAGAGAAGAAGCAACCACTATTTCCAAATGGAAGTAACATCAAGGGAACAAAAAGCATTTGATTTTGTATTAATACAAATTGTTTGATGATACAATTATACAAGTAGTTA